ACAACAACTACAACTACAACAACTACAACTACAACTACACAACAATACACAACAACTACAACTTCTTTAACTAGAACTTACAAACTACAACAAATACCAAACAACAACAGCCACAAGAACAACAACAACAACAACAACGGTAACAAACACCAACAACAACTACAACTACAACTACAACAACTACACCAACTACAAACTATACTACAACTTACACTACACAAACAACTACAGCCACACAAAAAACTTACAGCTGACAACAGCAACAACAACAACAACAACATAATCTACTACAACTACAACTTACAACAACAACAACAACAACTACAACTACAACAACTACAACTACAACTACAAAACAACTACAGCTACAACTATATGACTGCAACTACACTACACAAATTACATTACACCACAACTACAACTCCACTACGCTACAACTACAACTACAGTTGCAGTACATCACACTACATCCAGCAGGTGAGGAAGAGGTGACCACTGCAACCATTGCAACCCCTCCAGCAAACACAACTCCAACCACCTTTCGGTCAATCAGTGGCTTCGCTCTGCCATCCCTGATTCACAACAACCAACGTCTCCTATAGGTTTCCTATTTTTGAAACTTCCGCCACCGCCTTGTGCGGTACTACTGGTAGATCAATATATGGATAGATTGTTAGATAGCTTTGATGGATGGATGGATAAATGGATAGATGGAGACATCGGTAGATTGGTAGATGGATAGATCCATCCACAATAGAGAGGTAAATCGGCAAATAAATATATATATATAGATTGATGGATAAAGATACCATCTGGTTATTTAACATAGCCATGGAAAATCACCATTTTTAATAGGTAAACCATCTATAAATGGGCCATTTTCCATGGCTATGTTAAATAACCAGAGGGTAAATGATCACCATGACACAACATGTACACCTAATATATTCAATGTACACCTAAAATCCTGTCGCCACTCTGTACATTTTGTAAAGCTGCGTAGGTCTGGAAAAAGCTGCAGAGCTATGCGTAGAATTTCCTAGTTTTCCCTAGGAAATGATCTACAAATCATGTTAGTTTAGAGGGCACTCGTAGCCCATGGTTTCTTGCTGACATGATTTTATAATTTGACCATGGATTTGACTGGCATCGTTGACCAGATGGATTTTTTCCTGGCATCGGAGACTCACTAAATTGTTTGGTGAAATCCCCATATTTTGTTGGTCACCATTAACCATCATTAATCACCATTAACCACCATTAATCACCATTAAACACCATTAATCACCATCAAATCCGACTTTTTGCTGGTCATAGCCATTGCTGGTCGTTTCCGACTGTCAAAACCAGTGTTGGTTAAATCCAATTTGGTTGGATTGCTGGCCAAAGTCTGTTTGTGCCGGTTGAATTCAAGTTATTTTTGCATTGAAATCCAATTTGTTGCTGGTCAAAACCCTTTGTTGTTGCTGGTTAAAGCTATTCTTTTCTCATTAGAACAATGTTAAACATGCTTTTTGGCTTGGATCCAGTTTTTTGTTGGTGAAATCCAAGTCGTCTTCGCTACAAGTTGAGTCCCCTGGCTGCATCCAGCCAGGATCATTATGTCATATTTTCCAAGGGATGATCACAATTTTCCCTATGATCATATATCATATATATCATACCCTCTGGTAAACAAACATAGCTATTGAAAATGACCATTTATAGTGGATTTCCAGGAAAAATGGGTGGAATTTCCATAGTTATGTTAAATTACCAGAGGGTATATCATATTATCATTTATCATATATTATCATATATCATATATATATACAGTATACTGGTTGATGGTTTGAAACATTGTTTATTTTCCATAATATATGGGATATTCATCCCAACTGACTAATATTTTTCAAAATGGTTAAAAACCACCAACCAGTATCTATATATACCATTGAATCATATTTCATATTTCATATATCATATATCATATATCATATCATCTACTTAGATGGGCAATAGGATTAGCGATTCCTGGTTAGCAACTGGGGTTATAATCCCCTATATCCCAATGAAATAATCCATTTACTAACTAGTTTAACTAACTCCATGGCCCATCTATGTAAAATATGGACGATCCATATTTGTTCCTCTTAAAATGACAACTTCTTGGAGGATCTGCTCCACTTTTTCCTTGGCGCCAAGCCGGACTGGAGCTCCACCGAACGCCGCGCCGTCTTCGCCAAGCTGAGCGCCATTGAGTGCCCTGGAATTCATCAAGTCGTGCGGAAAAACCATGGAAAAACCACCTGGTTGGAAAAATGCCAAAGAAAAACATAGGTATTCCGGTATTCCACTAAAGTTGGGGGGTTAAAAGGGTTAAAGCAGCAAACTTTGAGGGTTTACCAACAAGAAGTGGGGTGTCTTTCGAGGTTTAATTAGCCATATTCGGTTGGTGAGATATTATGAGGAAACCAGGAATATAAAAATACAAGCATTTACTGAAAATTTGCTGATGTCACCAGCAAGAGACAAGCACAGGATGTGGATTTTGCCAGCTCAAAGATGGGGATTTGACACATGAGAAATGGTATAACCATCAAACATGTGTCAAAGTATAGGGTTTCTATGGAATATTGTGTGATCAATAGCAAATGATCTAAGATCTAGAGATATCCTACAGACATCTATGATCCAGGAATGTTGCTTTCTTGGGGATGTTTCTTTCTGACGGGGGGATTCACTCCTTTTCTACGCCGCGGCGGACGCTCCAGGATCCGAGATGTTTCTGGATTGCTGTGTGCACTCCAGGCGGAAGGAGATCGATCGTTGAATGCCAAGCTCAAATCTGCTGGCCAAAAGCCCTTCCATTGGCAAACGCTGCAGGTTCGGGGGTTGGGGGAAGGGGGTAGCCTCTAGTAAATAAATGTAAATAAACACAAACTGCTGTGAAAAATTAGTGATTTAGTTTGTTGATTTAGCTATTGAAATGATGATTTTCCATAGCTATGTCAGTTTCCCAGAGGGTTGAAGGTGGAAATTGAATCCTGTTTGTGGCTGATGGTTTCAGGTGTCCTTCGAAAGATTGGATGACGATACGATTCGACGAGTTGTCGTATTTTTGGGATGGGTTGAAAACTATCAGCCAGAAAACCATTTGACATCTTGTCACTGGCCATCTCAGGAACCTAAATTGGAGGTACCTACCATATATAAGGCCTATATAAGGCCTATGTAAGGGAATATCCCCACAAAATATGGTCTTATATGGTACAGTACCTCCATTTTAGGATCCTGAAGTTCCCATTGATCTTGTGTCGCGTCCAGCCTCCATTCCGATGAAGGAGAGGTACCATTCTACTCAGACTCTTGCGGATGTTCATTGCATTTGGGTGGTGTTTTTTCCTTTTCCATGTCTGCACGCACTTGTGAAAGATGTTTGGAGCTCAAAATTATCTCGAGATATAAACTCTATGAGCCGGAAAAAAGTGCACAATGGTACCTTCTCTTGGACCAGCGGTGCAGCAGGTTTGTCATCAGTTGGTGCTGGTGAATCTCATCCTGAAAGTGCGCTTGTTTGAGTCAACCGCCTGAGTTTGTTTTTACCAGGAAACTAGTCGGTCGATTCAAATTTTGATCCTCCTACTGGAGTTGCAGGAACGATTAGCAGGCAGACCTCACTTTCAGAGCGCAGTTTGATGCAGTTTGGCTCAATCTCCAGGAGAAAATCTGACATAATGTGGTAGTCATTTCAGGCTATGTGTTGTTTCCCAAAACATTCGTGGTCTTTCGAATGATGATCTGAAATTCCAACCCTGACTTCGATGTATTTTTGGGTGAAATGGCGATATTTTTTGATGTATTCCCTATGACAGTTGTACCCCCCAGTCATAAGGTGGTTTATAACCCCATCTATATAACTGATTATAACTGTAGATATATCCAGCACAAATACCACTTAGCCTACCTATATATGAACCAATTATCTAATCCCATCCCCCTAATATTAAACATCCCCCTTTCTATAGTCCCAGCTATAATGATCGGAGATTTCCCAGCTTGCCATGATTGCCAAAGGGTACATATATGAAATACATTCATTCATATCCCAACATTTCAGGGTAAATCTAGATCTATCCATGTCTCCCAATATTATACAATATTATAGCCCAATATTATCCCATTATTCTTCCCACTAAAGCCATTAGATATTTTTTTAGATGGGTAAATATTGTTATCCTATGACTTTCCCACTTCGGGGATTTCCCACCTATCCTTACGTTTGGTAAAACCTGAGAGTCATTTAGGTTCCCCCCAAAGCATATTTAGGTCTCCCCCGCAGAGCTTGCCATGATTGATTTCCTAAATGGTACCCTCTGGTAAACTAACATACCTATTGAAAATGGCCATTTATAGTGAGTTTTCCCATTAAAAATAGTGATTTTCCATAGCTATGTTAGTTTACCAGAGGGTAGATTGTCCTTCATATCTCAATATTCTCCCATCATTATCCCATCATTAAACCCATTTAGAGTATTTTAGACGAACCAGTTGGGTCCAGGCATTTCAGCAGCAAGCCCTTCAGCAGAGCTCCGACAGTCAGCTGGTGCTGCATAGCACCTCAATGGGCTGTTTGGAAGCGACCAAGGCGCAGGTTTCATGGCGGCATCAAGGCGTTGTTCATGGCGGCGTTGGGATGAGCAGTTCACCTCAAAAAACTGATGATTTTGACCAGCAAAATGAGGTTTGAATGGGATTTCACCAAGAAAAATGCTGGAAACAATGCGTTTTGACGGGAGAGAATGGAGAGTGGAGATATGACCAACTATGATGTTAATTTTCCTAAATAAGGTGGCGGCTGGTATTTAAGGTCTGTCCCCGGAAATAAGGTGCATGCAGTATGCAAAATGCATCAAATCAAATGTGCGGGGATCCTTGGCTGAAAAATGGTTGCGCAAATAATTTGGAGACACGGCCCCGATTTCGTGTTATTTTGTTCATTTCTTTACTGATCTGTTCAATGTAATTTTGTTTTTTCTTTGCAGGCGGAAACGCGGCCGGCTGCTCAAAAACATACTTTCTATAAATCTTTAAAAAAGGCCCGCTGCAGGCGCCGCTTTTGAGTGTCTGTATCGTCGCCAAAAAGAATTGATTCCATCAGTTTGAAAACCATGAAAAAGCAGACTCTACACATTTAAACAAAAACAACATTTTTAAAACATATTTTAGATTGTTTATTATTATTGGTGTGTTTTATTTTGTTTATTCAATGTGTTGTTTGATGGGTTTTATTTTTCATATGTGTTTATTTGTGTTGGTGTTTTTCTTATGTAATATATATATATAAATATATTTATTTAGTTGTTTTAGTTTGTTTTTATTGTGTTTTATGTTTTTATGTTGTTTTATGTGTTTTGCGTTTATTTGTTTTTAATTGTTTGTTTTTGTATTTGTCCTTATTTCCGCGGAATTCAAGGCCAGCCATTGAATTTAAGGAAAATCTGCGGAAATAATGAACCATAAAACAAAATGAGAAACAAACATAAAAATAACATAATAAAAATAATAGAATCACATAAGGCAAAAACAAGGTAAAAAATCAAAAGAGTTTTCTATAATTAATCATTGTTTTCAAAAAATAAAACATACATTTTTTTGGAAAAAAGGTAAGATTCAAAAATGAAAAATGAAAGCATTGAAACAAATGAATAAATGAAATATCCTTTAAAAATAAATGCATATTCGTAGTGTCTAGTTTTTAGAATGCTTTCAAATTGGTGGAAGCAATGTTCTTTGAACGACAATCCAAATGCTCAAAAGTGGCGCCTGCAGGGGGCCCTTTTAAAGATTCATAGAAAAGATTTTTCGTTGGCAGGCGGTAAGGCTTCTGTCTGCAAAAACAAAACAAAATATTTTCAGACACCATATATGAAAAAAACGAAAACCAAGAAAACTAATCATGAACCTGGTTAAACAAACTGTTCAAACAAAAGCGAACAGACTTGAAGAATTAAATAATGCATTTAGGTTATTTCCATTTTCATGCCCAACACCAACAGCTGCTGCTGTGCAGCAAGTCCAATGAGCTGTTGTAAGATGTTGTAAGTATTTGTTTTGGATGATTTCTTTAGGTGCCTGCATTCGTTTCCTTTACGGCTCCTGCTATTTTCTGCGCATACTTTATTTTGACCTACGCTGTGAACATCTACTAGTTTGTCACCCAAATTCTTCACAAAATGAGTCATGTGGATGGCTGCAGTTAACTGATTCAAAACAATTTGCTCAGAACCCTTTCAAACTGGATTTCAATCCGAAACAATTGGTTTGCAAATATCCTAAACCTTATTTCCGTGAAATTTGAAAGGTTACAAACTAGGATTAGGATAATATGATATAATTCTGGTTGTGTCTCTTGTTTATTGTGGTATAGAACTGGCAAATTTAATGGGGGTGCATCAGGCAAAACCATGTGGTGAGGTGGGTCGAATCTAGGATCAAGAAATGCGATGGCCATGTAGTGAGCACCTCAGTTTTGACCTATTCCTACCTGCGATACAGTGGTTTACTGCCCAACATATCCCAACATATGTTAAAACATATTAAAACCCAAAATGTGGGGATTGAAGTTTTTATCCATTCCCATGTCCCGGAGCTCTGGGTTGACCATGGTTGACGCTTCTTCAAGAAGGCCCGGGCCCTTCTAGCCCTCTAGCCACTTGCTATGGCTCGGATGATCGTCATTTTTCTGGGTGGCGGAAATGGATTGCTTGACAGGAAGAAACAGATATTACCCTCTGGTAATTTGTTACATAGCTATTGAAAATGACCATTTATAGTGGATTTTCCCATTGAAAATGGTGATTTTCCATAGTTATGTTAGTTTACCAGAGGGTAAACACATATTCACGCCCTCTAGCGCTTGTACTCCAAAGCTGGCATTGGACATTTCTGAAATAGCCACTCAAAGTTTACTGGGCATGACATTCCCATGATGTTTGAGCACTACCCCACCTCATCGCTGATTCATACCCCCCTATTCATGGGATAAGATAAGATAGTGTAATTTTTACGGATTCTGATCTCCACGGATTAAATATTCCATGATTTCCCTGTTTCTTGGTTCCACTTAATTTGTTAGATATACATCTGCATTCTTAGGGTATTCCCATCTTCATGGACTATTTGTAGGTAGATAGACAGACGAACAGATAGATACATAGACAGACAGATAGAGAGATATAGATAGATAATACAAGACACGACGAGGCGTTGCGACAAAACAAGGCATCGATCCTTCCGAAGTCTGCGGATTTGATCGACTGATTCAGTAGATTTGATTAGTTTAGACTATATATACATTGGATTATATGCATAATCTTTGGCAATTTATAACAGCTATGGAAACTCACCCTTATATTGTAGGTAAATCATCCAGTAACTGCGAAATTTGTCCATCGCAGTCCCTGCAAGAAATTACCGGAGGGTATGTGTTGATATTGGTTATCTACCCATGATCTTCCCACGACATATCCTATATTAGATGGTTACCCTCCGGTAACATGGCGTGTTGAAACATATCTTGGTCCGATGGTTTCCCAGCGAACTAAACCTCCATGGCTGGCTGGGGATTTCCCAGGCATGGCTGGTATTCCCTGATGGTAAACCCATATTAGGGTAAACCCATCTTAAACCAGGATGGCAAGTCATTTTCCCATCATTTTCCCGTGAATTTCATATGAAGTCCCATGAAATCCAACCATTTTTCCAATCAAAATAGGTGAGACCACCGCCTCCTGGGACCTCGGAGTCGCCCAACTGGGAGGCGCTGGTGATCTGGTGGAGGTGTACTGAGACAAAGGTGGATTTCAGGGATATGTTACTGGGATTTCATGGGAAAATACTGGGATTTTACTGGGATTTCATGGGAAATTTATGGAATTTCATCGGGATTTCACGAGCAGGGGACAAGTGTTTAGTGGAATTTCACCGAGAAGTATGGGGATAGAAAAAGAAAACCAACATGTTTATTGGAGATATTATGTGGATATAGATGCATAAGCAGTAATACGACATGTGGTGTCTAAAAATGTGGTATATGTCCTTTAACGTATTGTTTTCTATGATTGATTATTTAGAATTAAATGGGAACAAATATGCTACGTCTTGGGAGTGAATTCTATTTTCAGACAGACTCATATTTAAACATTGCTGATATCTGTCAACATAAATTGAGGATATCGGTGAAAGTAAAAACTATAAGTATAACTGTATAACTTATATGACTAAGAATTGACGGTATCTGAGGCTGTGATTTGAGTTTCGTTTGAGCGTCGGCTCGTAAGGCTTTCGTCAGTGAAACTTGGAATTTTTCTGCCAGCTTGAGGCCTAGTTCTTTAGAATTCTGAGCTCCCATAGTTTGTTGTGATCAAAACTGGCACTTGAAACCTGATCTTTTTCATGGCACCAGGCTGCTGGACATTGGTGATACTTTCGCTTGTGCGATCATCCTTGTCCAACTGATTCATTGTTGGATGTGGCTACCATTGGCTACCTGTACTACATTCCAATATTTACTTTCCAAGGTTTGAGTAGGTCGGTATGTCAGAAATTGTCGCCTGGAATGGTGCTGTGTCCCATCAACTTGGGAAGTCTCACACTTGATGGTTACTGTACCAAGAATTGCAGGGCTGGGATCATGCTGACCCAAGCTTATGCTCCTTAATGAACGCAGGTTGTGCCTATTTATATATATATATATGATTATATATGTATTTACTTGGCAGTGTATTTGGGTTGAAATGCACCCACAATTTTCACTTTTCACGATTTCTTATCATGCACTTCTACGAACTGTGTTTGGATTGTCCTGCTTTTGTCATTGTCCCAAAATCTGTGCATGAGTAAAGTTGAAGCTTAGGCTCCAGCCCGTCAAGATCCTTCGGGCCCATTGAGAATCTTCGACTGTAGATGAGTTTCCCATCTATATATATACAATATAATATAATATAATATAATATAATATATTATATATTATATATTATGTTATATATATATATACTATGTTATATTATATTTTATTTATACTATTTAATAATATACTATATTATATCATATCATATCATATTATATCATATCATAGTATATTATATTGCATTATATTATATATATATATTATACATATATAGATGATTATAGATGCTAATTTGGTTCGGATTTCCCAGCCATCTTTGATGATCAGAGTGATGACCTTTGGTTCAGTGCCCACTCCAGGCGCCAGCTTCAGCCGGCTGGTGGCGCGTGGTGAGCAAACCCACCGTCTGGGCCCACTGTGCGCCGGACACCAACTCAGCTCACATCAGCATCCATTGCTACGGCAAGCTGCTGGCGATGACTCAAATGAGAGCCTTGATGCTGTTGGAATCCAAGTTGGGGGAAGTTGATGGAAGTTGACGCTTGAGCCTTGATGTTTGCAAGTTTCTTCCAGTGAAGCAAGGAAATTGCGGACCAATCCTTTATTTCTGATAGAGCCACTTGTTTAAAATTCAAGAGGACATGATATTTGCATATATGTGCTGTCCCATCGCCTAGGATATGATATCTCCTTTGATGCTTATTGGTTGAAGCTGCGCGATGAAAAGAGCTGTGAGGGCACTGGCCAGTGGATTCTATCCAATGTCAGCAGGGCATATGGTCCTGACTCTGGGGTATCCTTCGGTGATTTGCTTGAAAAAGTCTCCGAACCCGGGATCGTCCCCAGTGCTGTGGCTCGAGAATCGCATCGCTTGTCGGTCAAAGCATTCCAAGTTGCACAAGCGACGCATCCGACGCAGCTTCCAAAGAGTCAGAATGGAAGTCTATGGGGCGAGTTGCATCAGAAACTGCTGGACATGGTGAATGCTGCTCAGTAGCCAGTGGCTGTGGGAATGACAGTTGAACGTTAACAGTTCTCAAACAGGCGACCCTTATTTGGGCAGCTCATTTGACCTTCAAAATTTGGACCAACGAGTTCCTGCAAAGGGCACATTCTGAGCTCACACCCACTCTTGTTCCACTTAGATGTGCATCCCAGATGATAAGTGGTTTATATGTATGTATAATTGGTATTAACTGGTGATATTCCACATACAACAAGTTCATGATGCGGTTATTACCCGCTTGCAATTCCTTGGATGCATCATTTTTCTGCCCCCAGGCTGCTTATCAATCCATCCTCACAGTTGGATGTCACACCCTACCCTTCGCGGGGGAGCTTCTACCTGAGCCCTTCGGCCCGAAGTTGTCCAGCACCATTGAGCAGCTGTGCTCTGAGAGCTATGTGGTGCTGGATGAGTTTCTGGATGCGGAACACACAAAGAGCTTTGTGGAGGAGGCAGCTCTGATTGAAGAGACCATGAAGAGACCATGAGTTTCACATTCGCATATATATTTTTATATATATAGAGTATATAATGATAGTAATAATAATAATAGTAATAATAATAGTACTATATGTTACAGCTACATATACCCTGTGGTAAACTAACATTAACATAGCTATGGAAAATGAACTATTTGTGGACGATTCACCTATTATAAACTAGTGTTTTTTTAATAAAAAATCTATAGTTATGTTAGTTTACCCGTGGGTATGTATAATAATATGTGTATACACACATGCATGCATGCATGCATACATACATACATACATACATTGATGGAAGGATGGCTGCAATGGATCGTGGAGACCCCACAATCCTCGGTTATTTCTTGAACGCTTTGCTGGAAAATCACCATGTTTCAAAAGGTAAATCATCATAAATAATCATCTAATTATCTGGGTAAATTATAACGACCTCACTGCGACCTCACTGGAATCATAGTTAATAAGGGAAATCATCCCCAAATGGCCTTATTTCAGGTCAGTGAAATATTATAATTTACCCAGAATTATATAATCATCTATTTTCATGGGCCATGGCTTCCGCAAATTGTTAAATAACCAGGGAGTACCTATAGGATTAAGTTTGATTCCCAATTTCCGATCACTTTCCAGGCCAAAAAATGGATGCTGTGGAAAGAAAATTGCGCCTAGGTCAGGGGAGTCCATGAAAGTGGCAAGATGGAGAGAGCTGATCCACACCAAGCGACCTCTGGTCAACGTGACGACTATATCTGCTGGATTGATCCTTGGGGCATGACGTTCACACTGGCCATGGAAGTTGATTTCATCAAAATAGCGATTTGTGGATGGTGATATGGTGATCCCCAGTGATCCCCCAAAAAAGTGGGATGTAATCATGATGGTTACTGATGGTGAATGATGGGATATAGTAATATGGTTAATGGATGTTAGTGGTGGTAATTGGAGTTTCTGTTGAGACATCCCCATAATGAGGTGTCCAGACATGAAGTCTCTCGGACCTGTTTGATAGAGGACCGAGGACAGTTCATTAGCTGCGACAGTGTACATGGCAGAAGGTGTACACACCTATGCTATGTAAAGGTTCTACCCTCTGGTAAACTAACATAACTATTGAAAATGGCCATTGAAATAGTGAGTTTTCCCATTAAAAATGGGTGGATTTTCCATAGTTACGTTAGTTTACTAGAGGGTATCCTCAAGCGATGTTGGATTCCACATGATCCCAGGAGATCCCGTTCCTATCCGTTCACCTGCCCAGGACGAGACAAAGATGGGCAGCTCCCCCGCTCTGCAACGAGCCATCCGAATGTTGAAGGCCGTGGCCCACGCCTTGTCCCCCGCACTCTCGCAGCCCGACGGCATCGCCAGATTTCTGGGGAGATTTCTGGCCCTGCCCTTGGTGAAACAACATCAGATATCAGTCTCCCAAAATGCAAGAAACTGGTTCATTATGGTTCATTTACAATCATTTACATATTTATCCCATCCTATGAAAATATATTAAGCACAGCCCTAACTGGTCCCAAATATGTGGAAATCCCTCATTATACCAGGCTTTCTGGGGAGTGTTTAATTTTGGGAAGGGATTACAGCGAACTGGTCCACTTCACTCGTGAATTTTCACCCTGTCTCCGTAAGCCCAAGTCGTGTTGCCAGGGAGATCCAGAGAGTACATTGCCAGACGACCAAGTTTTGTAAGCACACATATTGTCAATTGTGTCTAATGCTGAAACATCTATATGTTTAAATAATATATATATATATGTACATACGTGTACAAGATTAGCAGATTACTAGATTACATTTACGATTTACAAACATTCTATATACGTAGTACAAACATTTGATAAGCATATCATGAGTCGACCGTGAGCGTGTTTAGAGTATATATATATATATAATCTATATACACAATATAAATTAATGGTAATCCTAAAGTAAATGGAAAAAGGACTGTTCAAAAACACTCATATGGGAATAATTTTGAAATTCAGTATTCTATCTACTGTAGGATGACCATTTTTCAGTATCCAGTTAGACCCACCTAGAAAAGTTGGTAAAAGTTGAAAAAATAAGGGGTGTACTACCCCATATGTCAATGTCCAGGTACTTGGAGGGTCTAGGCATATAGATATAACCTGAAGTAGATAGAGTATCAAATTTGACTATCATATTCCCATGTGTGTGTGTGATGATTTTTTGAAAGTTTCATATTCTACTCCAGAATGATTATAGATATCTAAGTTTACTTATAACCAGGTTTTCCCTTGGGTTTATGGGTCATAGGATTATAATTAATGGGTTTACACACTTACTTATAACCGGGGGCCACACCTTGTAGATATCAAATGGCATTCCCAGTTGAGCCATTAAAAATACACACATCCCATCTCGTTATACTGGTTGGTTAATAGGTTTCCCCACTATGCATTATCATAGTCCTCATTAAACCAGCTAGTATAATCCATGACAATCCATCGTATTTTTCATAGCCATATATGATGATAGCCGATATTGATTGGTAGTATAATCCATAGTATAATATCATAATCCCTTATATTTCACCAATGAACAATGTTCCACATGGTAGAATCCATGAATAGAGCTTAATAAACCAGGTAGTATAATCATAATTCCCTATAATAGATTGTGGTTATATATAATTCCCTATAATGACCAGTCAATAGTTGGTTTATAACCCCCTTATAGTTATACCTACCATAAACGATAGTTCACCTATAGTTACAAATAAACCAAGTTTGCTGGGTTTCCCACCTTGCATCATTTTCAGTAATTAGCAACCAACGGGATTTTGAATAATGTTGGTATAACAATGACAACAACAAACAATAATAAACCATCCCCCAAATCACCACCATTCCCAGTCATGGGTGCTTTATTATGGTTTATGGCATTGTTTTACCCACAATAAATGAATTATAGAACCACATTAACCATTAACCATTATATAACCATTATATAATCATTATATAACCATTATATAACCATTGTATAACCATCATTAACCATTATATAAACATTATATAACCATTATATAACCATTGTATAACCATCATTAATCATTATTTAACCATTATATAACCATTATATAACCATTGTATAACCATCATTAACCATTATATAACCATTGTATAACCTAACCATTGTATAACCATCAGTAACCATTATATAACCATTGTATAACCATCATTAACCATTATATAACCATTATATAACCATTATATACCCATTCTGTAACCATTGTATAACCATCATTAATCATTATTTAACCATTAACCATCATTAACCCATTATATAACCATTATATAACCATTGTATAACCATCATTAATCATTATTTAACCATTATATAACCATTATATAACCATTGTATAACCATCATTAACCATTATATCACCATTATATAACCATATAACCATTGTATAACCATCATTAATCATTATATAACCATTATATAACCACCATTATATAACCATTTAACCATAATCATATTTAACCATTATATAACCATTATTTAACCATTGTATAACCATCATTAACCATTATATAACCATTATATAACCATTATATACCCATTCTATAACCATTGTATAACCATCATTAATCATTATATAACCATTATATAACCATTATATAACCATTGTATAACCATCATTAACCATTATATAACCATTATATAACCATTATATACCCATTCTATAACCATTGTATAACCATCATTAATCATTGTATAAACCATTATATAACCATTTAACCATTATATAACCATTGTATAACCATCATTAACCATTATATAACCATTATATAACCATTATATACCCATTCTATAACCATTGTATAACCATCATTAATCATTATTTAACCATTATATAACCATCATTAATCATTATATAACCATTATATAACCATCATTAACCATTATATAACCATTGTATAACCATCATTAACCATTATATAACCATTATATAACCATTATATACCCATTCTATAACCATTGTATAACCATCATTAACCATTATTTAACCATTATATAACCATCATTAATCATTATATAACCATTATATAACCATTATTTAACCATTGTATAACCATCATTAACCATTATATAACCATTATATACCCATTCTATAACCATTGTATAACCATCATTAATCATTATTTAACCATTATATATCTATCATAAATCATTATATAACCATTATATAACCATTATTTAACCATTGTATAACCATCATTAACCATTATATAACCATTATATAACCATTATATACCCACTCTATAACCATTGTATAACCATCATTAATCATTATTTAACCATTATATAACCATTACATAACCATTGTATAACCATCATTAACCATTATATCACCATTATATAACCATTATATACCCATTCTACAACCATTGTATAACCATCATTAATCATTATTTTCCATTATATAACCATCATTAATCATTATATAACCATTATATAACCATTATTTAACCATTGTATAACCATCATTAACCATTATATAACCATTGTATAACCATCATTAATCATTATATAACCATTATATAACCATCATGAACCATCATTAACCCATTCACCAATCCTTCCCAGGCACCTCCACCTTCAGCGGCAAGCTGCCGCCGACCCGGCGCATCTGGCGGACTGTGCGCCGCCCGCCTCGCCGGACGCGGTGTTGACGGTGCCACCCAAGGTGTGGCGTGCGGGCTGTGGGGCATCCAAAAAGATGGCGAAAAATGGGGCGAACATTACATATCCATAAAATATCCATGAAATATCTAAATATCCATAAAATATCCATAAAATATCCATAAAATATCCATAAAATATCTAAATATCCATAAAATATCCATAAAAGATCCATAAAAGATCCATAACATATCCATAAAAGATCCATAAAATATCCATAAAATATCCATAAGTATCCATAATACCCTCTGGAAATTTGTTACATAGCTATTGAAAATTGCCATAGAAATAGTTCAGTTACCCATTAGAAATAGTGATTTTCCATAGTTATGTTAGTTTACCAGAGGGTAGTTATGTTAGTTTACCAGAGGGTAGGTGGAGAATATTTGGCTCTAGATTTGAGGTTGATTTTGTTTTTTCGGGGTGAGTTTGGCAGAAGATTTGGAGATTTCAGCACGATTCAACAATGAACATGAGGGTTTTGAGTCATGGTGAGGCTTCAATCATTGCACACAGGAGAAGCCAGGATCTAAAAAATAAGGATATAGAGATTTTCCAACAAAGTTGGGGTTAGTTGTTTCTTTGATGTATATGCTGTGGTTTTCTTGTCATACTTGCACCATCTTGCACCTGCCCGAGAAGATTCACCCCAAGCAAGCCATGTTGGCGTGCCGGAGCCATCTTTGTGCCAGGCCATGTTGTCATGCTATCCTGGAAATGGTTCGAGATACTCAGTAGCACGGTGAAACTTCGGAGACCGAAAGGATCCATGGTCCAAGTGTCCTCCAGAGCTGCATCGCAGCTGCAATAGGTAGATATACTTACGGAGCGCAGAGAATCCTGTGAAATCTCATAGATTTTAAGGAGTCCTTCAGCACATCTTCCAGCAACTCAGGATATATTCCTCACACCGATTCCAAATACTTGGACACTTGGCTGGTGGTGGTCAGGGAATAAAAGGCATCCGCTGGTACTGGTACTGTAGTGCTTTGTTTCTGATTATAGTGATTCTAGTAAGTGCATATGTGATATCAAAGTGCAAATGTTTCGCAGGAATTGCTGCTCTCACAATTTCAAGATGCCGTTCTCACAGTTGCAGGATGAACTTGGGATCGCGATCGTGTGCATCCTCGTCCAACGCAGATGTATTTTGACCAAACATCAGATACTACTTGTGCCTCACACATCCTTCCGAGATTTTGGACTTGTCTGGGGTCACCATGTGTCCTTCAAACTTTGAAAAGAACCAGCTGAGCACAATTCCGTGGTCAGCAAAGTTGCAATATGGACATCATCTTTGAAATTCAGCAGAGGAATATGAGCATTTCTCCTTTGAGGTTTTGTCTGGTTCTGCTTCTCTTTGCATAGAGAAAGAAGACCACTGCCTTGATCTATTTTGTTGTTTTTACACCAGCATATGGGTCTGACTGAAAGTAGGGTACCCCATTCCATCCATTGGTGTATCACCATTTGCCCGCTCAAATGGCACATTTGGGGGTATGCACATCCGATTTCAAGACAAAACCATACAAAACCTGTAAATCCGCCACATTTTGCCAGGAAAAACTGGGCGCGAAGAGCAATCCACGGGAGCTCACGGTCGCGGAGTCGCAGATGGATGGGATGCAAGTGAAGTCTTAAGAATACAGGGAAACGAAGCAGATTTGAAGGGATGTTAATGTGTTTCTTCTGGGATTTTGATGGGATGTTAATGTGATTTTCAGTTGGCAATGAGGGATGAAATATAGAGGGAACATCAACAACAATGATGTGGTTGCGTTTGAACACGGGGAATAGCCCAGAAGAATCGCAATTTCATTGTGATTCCAGTGATTCATCAGTTGGGATATTGGGGAGATGCTGAAATCCAGGTCAGGTGAGCCTCGGCACTGGCCACCGCATCTGGGGGTTGCAGTTCCTGGAAGATAAATAGTCATACTTATAGTATTATAGTATGGTTATATCCCAACTTATGGGGTTGATTAGCATAGTTAATGGCATAGTTAAACCATGCAGCCATGAGCTGCACTAAGGCCATTGTCTATGCCAATCCTCCTGATTGGACTGAAGTTGATGGTGGTGCCTTGAAGATCTATCCGCACTCTCAGGGCCTTGAGAGCTGTCCAGATGATGTTACTGGGCTCGGCCATGGGAACATTAAGGGCCATGGGGCATGGGCTGGGGCCCGGCAAAAAGATGCAGCATGCTGTTTGTGTTGCGGTTAAAGAGGTGGTCTTCTGGTTTTCTGATCAATGTTTATGTTGGCTATGCCTGGCTATGTGGTTATTTGTAGCTGACATTGAGACTTCAAGGTTTTGGTCTAACAGACAAGCCCGGCAAAGTGCAAACCGCAAAGGCTCCTGTTTGTTTGGGGATTTTGGGGGCATAGATGCAGTTTGATTCCCAAAGGCTTAGATCAAATGTCCCCTACGATGCTCAGATGTGTCAGCCTGCCGTTGTTGAGCCGCCACCTTGATGCACTGGGGCGGTGGGCTGGTTTTGTGGGAGGAAGTTTCAGCACTGCCTCAAGTGGGTGTGTCCAAGGATTGGGGATACGGGGATACCCCCAAAATCCCAAATTGGCAATTTCAACGGGGAACAGAACGATGGACGATGGGATTTTGGGGTAGCCTAGTTGCGGACAAACTCAACTGGAGGAGAACTGTTGTGCACCTTGGCTATGCTTAGTCCTGTCAGGCCCAGTATCACGTAATCATAAACGATCACCCAAGATATTGCCAGAGTTTTCGTTCATGAATTGATGATGGCCGGCTCCCAGGATGAACCTGGCACCATTGACTTGTGTTGAAACTGTGCGAATTTTGGATCAAAGATCATCAAAGACATCTCCGATGCTCCAAGGGTCCGCTATTGTAGGCCAACTTGTGCCACTAGCTGAAAGTATGCAGCCCTGTACACCCCCATTGTTTCATCACTCAAGCCGAAACGCATTCATGTCCGCAGCAATATAACAATATATATATATATATACATACATGTGATTTCCAGTGGGAAAGCCATACGTTCATCCATGTTCATGCATTTTCCAAGCCACCATAGGCCACCATGTCTGGTGATGGCCCAAGGCTTGGGGGCCGCCTGGTGGTCTTCTTTTCGGACCTCTGGTAAGCTGGCCCTGGGAGGACGGGTAAGCCAATTTCGAGGCCATGAAGAATGGCAGAAAACAGGGGAATTAACAACACAGTGATATCTAATATATGCATAAACACATGGGCATAATTTGTCAATTTCAGGCGAAGTTAGCCATGATCCTGGCGTAAGTAGGCGGCTCCTTTGTGCCAGGCTCAAGGCGTTTTTTTGACCATGCCCGGCTGATATCAGGATACAAACACGGATATAAAACCAACTAATTTGGGATCAAAAAAGGCTACAGGTGTGTCTGAAAATGCTGTATACCCCTATCATCCCCTTTTTTAATATGTGTCCTTTTGATGAGGAACATTAAATTATGGATGTGTATTATCATGTACCCAGTTTTCCGACCAGAGTAGCCTCTTATATGTTTACCCAGCAGAAGAATATCCATGAATATCCTACCTAGCTTGTGGGAAATCTTTGGAAATCATCTATGCAATGCAATGTGAAATCACTCATTGGCTGCTACCTCGGTTCATCATTTTCCTCATCAAGATGCTACATCTATATATATATATTATATTTACTATATATATATAATATAATTTATATTTATATACATTTATAGAAGTGGGCTAAAGTGGACGGACCAACCCACATGTTGCTAATACTATCAACATACATCAAGATACCATATCCTTTAGCATATATACAGTAATATCATATAATCATGTTGTTCATATAAATATACATCAATATATCATATAATAGCATCAATATCCTTTAGCCATGTCCATTTGTCCCGTTAAGATCCTATATCCATTCGCATGTTAAACGACATGAAACTAGGCAGCATATCCCATGCCATATACCCGTTTAATCCCGCCAAATCATTAGATGCAATTAAACCTCATCATTATACAAATTTCAGTGGGTTACTAAAGCCACCATCAATTTGGGTTTATATTATTTGTTTATCTATTCATATTATACATATATATATATGCATATATGTACATTGTTTCCATTACTGTCCTATTACATCCTCATAAAATCGTTGGTTTTTGCATGTTTTCCTAATTTTGCTGAAGTCCCATGGAGAGTCGCCAGCATCGATACGCAAGGCACGAAGTGTTGCCGGCCTTTCGTCCACGGAGGGCGCTGACGCTGTGGATCTTTCGGCCAACGGTGAAATGCTGTGCGTCCAGTGGGGGGGGTGTAACTGGAACACTGAAGAAAGAAAGGTCAAGTGGCTATGGGTAATATCCAAATCATGGTAGATATATGGCATTATCAACTATGGAATGATGGATATGTAATTATAGATTGGGTATGGGCAAGAAAAAGGTAAGCTGAGAGAGATGAAATGGGGTTAGGTAACTTAGTTAACTATGATTTGGATAGATTTGAAACAATGATTTAGGCATCGGTATTTTGATATCCAAAGCATGGTATAATCCAACTTGACCAACATTGGAATAGTACGATAAATCTATAGAATTGGGCTTAGTCAACTATGGGGTATATCTCCCAGATGTGGAACTTCATCCAAATCATAGTTGATTCATCTCATCCCCCTTTCAGATTGAAAGACCCTCTTAATTCCCACATCCCAAAGATGTGGTTTCATCCCATACAAAAAAAAACATGTTTCTTGATCTTTAAGGGCTGAACGGGGGTTGGGGCAGTCCAGAGGTGCATAGCTGGGGGGAAGACAGTAGAAGGCACAAGATCAGACCTTGCGTAAGAGTTGATACTGTAGTACGGCAGTAGCTGCCTGATCCAATTTGATAAGAATGTACTAGCACATATATGTCGAAATGTGCGAAGTTGCAAGGATTGAAGATATTCCGGGCCATTCCAAGCCTGTCAAACAGATGGCTGTGGTTGAGTGGGTGTTAAACCCACGGGAACGCACGCAGATGTTTGCATGTTTTAGTCTGTTTTTGTAAGTTACCAGATGGTGATCTGTACCTACGTATCAAACAGACACATTTGGGAAGCTGAGACATTTTGAGGATGCTGGTTAAGTCATGTTAAGTCTATAGATTCCAAACGCTACTGTTTTTTTTTCCAAGCGCCATCACAACAGAATCAGCCACTAGCCACCCGTAGGGAACATTGGGTGAGGATGAAGCAATCTGGAGGAATAGTTTGAAATTGCAGTAGAAGTTGGATTGCTGTTGCTGGATCCGGAACCTGAGACTTTGTCCATCTCATTGTATATATATATATATATACATGTGATGTTGTTTTTTCATATATATATATATATGTATTATCTTATAGGTGTGCCATGGTGTGTATGTATGATATATATATATATTATAGACACATCATACGTATCCAAATGAGTGAAGTGTTTTGGACAGGTGCCGACTTTTTTCACGCCAGAGCCTTGGATCGTGGGAAAGATGAGGATCGAATTGGGATATGATGAGGATATTTTTCAGATGTTAATAAGCAATTATTATTACTGGTATCCTGATTTATATCATAATTATCATTGGGATGTTTTTATATCATAACTATCATTGGGATGTACTATCATTGAGATATATCGGAGATATTCTGATGTCAGGAGGGCACCCTGACATTTAAGGAATGTTCCTGAGAAACGTTGCTGAAGTGGGCTAGTCCAGGCATGGGCGGAACGTGATACCTCAGCCATCCTCAGCCTTGGCTCAAAAATCGGGCTGGGATCCCTGCGTCGAGGCCGTGTTTAGGAAACATCATATGGTTTGAACTGCTTGAACAGCGCGCCAAAAAAGTGTGTAATTCCACTCTGTAAGGGGTTTAAGCATTTAACCATGTTTAACCTGTATTGTTGACCTGTGATGACTGAAGTTCATGTGGCAAGCAGATCCTGAGAAATCTCCCAAGGATTCTGCCCGACCCAAAGGGACCCATTGATTTCACGGCCAAAGTGCCGACGGTGCCGAATGCGTCCACGAAGCAGCAGCGATACCATGGCTCGCTTGCAGGAGCGGATTCCCAAGGGTGACCTGGGACTGGGGGGCTGTCGTAGCGAAGGAAACCAGATGTATCCTTTGGTGTCAAACGTGGCTAGCTGGGAAATCCCCAAAAAATCAAGGTTTTAGGGGAAAATCATCGAACGAAATGGTGGGTTTTCCATCGCCATTGTTTGTGTACTCCCGCCTGCCTCCTCCCGCCCCGCCCGCCGCCTGCCTCACACACAACTTACTCACACACACAACTTGTCCACACACAACTTACTCACACACACACAACTTACTAACACACAACTTGTCCACACACAACTTACTCACACACACACACAACTTGTCCTCACACAACTTGTCCACACAAAACTTGTCCACACACAACTTACTCTCACACAACTTGTCCACACACAACTTGTCCACACACAGCTTACTCTCACACAACTTGTCCACACACAATTTACTCACACACGCACACACAACTTCCTCACACACACAACTTATCCACACACACAACTTACTCACACACAACTTGTCCTCACACAACTTGTCCACACACAACTTGTCCACACACAACTTACTCACACACAACTTACTCACACACAACTTGGCGACATGGACCTTCACTTTGCGTGGCAGGAGTGGCACTTGTGGCACTGGGCTGGCTCTGGTGGCGCGCTTGGTTCCCGTGGACGCCGTTGTCGCCGCGGCTGTTTGCGTGGCAGGCGTGGCACTTGGCGACATCGACGTGCACTTGGCGTGGCAGGCGTGGCACTTGGCGACATCCAGCTCCACTTTGCGTGGCAGGCGTGGCACTTGGCGACATCGACCTTCACTTTGCGGGGTAGGCGTGGCACTTGGCGACATAGACCTTCACTTTGCGATCCCCGTTTGGGGCTCCTGGATGAAAACCAGGAGCTGGAGCCTGTTTTCTTTAAGCCAGATTTCAGCCAAATTTAGCCTCAAGAATGTTAGGCCTCAGCTTTTTAGCTTTTGGTCCCTTTTTACATATTTTAGAATTTTGATTTTGAATAAACTATGAAGCCAAAGGACTTCAGCCGAGGGAACACCTCTTGAGAGCATGTTTGCAATAGGTTGGACGCAGGTAGTTTAAGCCACTGAAGCTCACTGAGAACCATTTTTGACTTGAAGGTCGCACACAGGTTTTCATTCGACCGTGTCTTCTTGCAAGACTCGACATTTTTGCCGCATATACGGTGAACATTGAAATTTTGAGAAGTGTATCTTGGGAGGTTGGATGAGGATGGGTTTGCAAAATTGACTCATTAGTCGTTTGTGATGTATCTTGGGACGTTGGTACAGGATGGGTTGGCTCAAATGCGTGGTGTAACATGGCGAGCTGTTCCGACAAAGTTCAAAACAGGGATGTGTGAGATGAAAATGTTCGGATCTGAAGTTTGTAGTGTGTCTTGGGACGTTGGTTCAGGATGGGTTGGCTCACATGCGTGGTGTAACATGGCGAGCTGTTCCGACAAAGTTCAAAACAGGGATGTGTGAGATGAAAATGTTCGGATCTGAAGTTTGTAGTGTGTCTTGGGACGTTGGTTCAGGATGGGTTGGCTCACATGCGTGGTGTAACATGGCGAGCTGTTCCGACAAAGTTCAAAACAGGGATGTGTGAGATGAAAATGTTCGGATCTGAAGTTTGTAGTGTGTCTTGGGACGTTGGTTCAGGATGGGTTGGCTCACATGTGTGGTGTAATATGGAGAGCTGTTCCGGCAAAGTTCAAAACAGGGATGTGTGAGATGAAAATTTTCGTATGTGAAGTTTGTAGTGTGTCTTGGGACGTTGGTTCAGGATGGGTTGGCTCACATATGTGGTGTAATAGAATGGGCTAACGCCCTGGTGCCGCCGACCCCTTTTCAAGGGCGCCCACTACAAGAGAGGGCTATGTGCAGGCAAAGGGCAGGCTGCAATGATGGAACGCTGACGGCCAGGAAAGGGCAGGCTGCAACCCTGGAGGCTTGGTGGAAGCTGCCGCGGAGGGTTTTAGGGGTTTGAAGGCTGGCAAAGCGCAGGCTCGAATGCCGTAACAAGAGAGGGCTATGTGCAGGCAAAGGGCAGGCTGCAATGCTGGAACACTGACGGCCAGGAAAGGGCAGGCTGCAACCTTGGAGGCTTGGTGCAACCTTGGAGGCTTGGTGGAAGCTGCCGCGGAGGGTTTTAGGGGTTTTAGGGGTTTGAAAACTGGCAAACGGCAGGCTCGAATGCCGTAACAAGAGAGGGCTATGCACAGGCAAAGGGATGCTGGAATGCTGACGGCCAGGAGCTTGGTGGAAGCTGCCGCGGAGGGTTTTAGGGGTTTTAGGGGTTTGAAGGCTGGCAAACGGCAGGCTCGAATGCCGTAACAAGAGAGGGCTATGTGCAGGCAAAGGGCAGGCTGCAATGATGGAACGCTGACGGCCAGGAAAGGGCAGGCTGCAACCCTGGAGGCTTGGTGGAAGCTGCCGCGGAGGGTTTTAGGGGTTTTAGGGGCTTGAAGGCTGGCAAACGGCAGGCTCGAATGCCGTAACAAGAGAGGGCTATGTGCAGGCAAAGGGCCGGCTGCAATGCTGGAACGCTGACGGCCAGGAAAGGGCAGGCCGCAACCCTGGAGCAGCAAAGGCTGACGGCCAGGCTTGATGGGAGCTGCCGCGGAGCGTTTTAGGGGTTTTAGGGGTTTGAAGGCTGGCAAACGGCAGGCTCGAATGCCGTAACAAGAGAGGGCTATGTGCAGGCAAAGGGATGCTGGAATGCTGACGGCCAGGAGCTTGGTGGAAGCTGCCGCGGAAGGTTGTAGGGGTTTTAGGGGTTTGAAGGCTGGCAAACGGCAGGCTCGAATGCCGTAACAAGAGAGGGCTATGTGCAGGCAAAGGGCAGGCTGCAATGATGGAACGCTGACGGCCAGGAAAGGGCAGGCTGCAACCCTGGAGGCTTGGTGGAAACTGCCGCGGAGGGTTTTAGGGGTTTTAGGGGTTTGAAGGCTGGCAAACGGCAGGCTCGAATGCCGTAACAAGAGAGGGCTATGCGCAGGCAAAGGGATGCTGGAACGCTGACGGCCAGGTCCTTGGTGGAAGCTGCCGCGGAGGGTTTTAGGGGTTTTAGGGGTTTGAAGGCTGGCAAACGGCAGGCTCGAATGCCGTAACAAGAGAGGGCTATGTGCAGGCAAAGGGCAGGCTGCAATGATGGAACGCTGACTGGCAAACGGCAGGCTCGAATGCCGTAACAAGAGAGGGCTATGTGCAGGCAAAGGGCAGGCTGCAATGCTGGAACACTGACGGCCAGGAAAGGGCAGGCTGCAACCCTGGAGGCTTGGTGGAAGCTGCCACGGAGGGTTTTAGGTTGAAGGCTGGCAAACGGCAGGCTCGAATGCCGTAACGAGAGGGCTATGCGCAGGCAAAGGGATGCTGGAACGCTGACGGCCAGGAGCTTGCTTGGTGGAAGCTGCCGCGGAGGGTTTTAGGGGTTTTAGGGGTTTGAAGGCTGGCAAACGGCAGGCTCGAATGCCGTAACAAGAGAGGGCTATGTGTAGGCAAAGGGCAGGCTGCAATGATGGAACGCTGACGGCCAGGAAAGGGCAGGCTGCAACCCTGGAGGCTTGGTGGAAGCTGCCGCGGAGGGTTTTAGGGGTTTTAGGGGTTTGAAGGCTGGCAAACGGCAGGCTCGAATGCCGTAACAAGAGAGGGCTATGTGCAGGCAAAGGGCAGGCTGCAATGCTGGAACGCTGACGGCCAGGAAAGGGCAGGCTGCAACCCTGGAGCAGCAAAGGCTGACGGCCAGGCTTGGTGGAAGCTGCCGCGGAGGGTTTTAGGGTTTTAGGGGTTTGAAGGCTGGCAAACGGCAGGCTCGAATGCCGTAACAAGAGAGGGCTATGTGCAGGCAAAGGGCAGGCTGCAATGATGGAACGCTGACGGCCAGGAAAGGGCAGGCTGCAACCCTGGAGGCTTGGTGGCAGCTGCCGCGAGGAAGCCATGCAGCAGTTGGAGGGTTGTAAGGGTGGTGGCAGGTGGCGCGAGGGATTTGGAGGGTTGTAAGAGTTTGAAACGTTTGAAACCTGGTAACGGCAAGCTTGAATGCCTCAATAACAGAGGGCTATGACAAAGCAGGTTTGGCGAAGGCCAGGGTCGGCGGATATGGAGAGCTGTTCCGGCAAAGTTCAAAAGAGGGATGTGTGAGATGAAAAAAATCGGATCTGAAGTTTGTAGTGTCTTGGGACGTTGGTTCAGGATGGGTTGGCTCACATGCGTGATGTAATATGGCGAGCTGCTCCGGCAAAGTTCAAAAGAGGGATGTGTGAGATGAAAATCTTGGGGTCTGAGGTTGTGTGGTGTATCCTTGGAACGTTGGTTCAGGGTTGGCACACATGTGTGGTGTAATCTGTTCCGGGTTGTTCCGGCAAAGTTCAAAACAGGGATGTGCGAGATGAAAAAAATCGGATCTGAAGTTTGTAGTGTGTCTTGGGAGGTTGGTTCAGGATGGGCTGGCTCACATGTGTGGTGCAATATGGCGAGCTGCTCCGGCAAAGTTCAAAACAGGGATGTGCGAGATGAAAATGTTCGGATCTGAAGTTTGTAGTGTGTCTTGGGACGTTGGTTCAGGATGGGTTGGCTCACATGTGTGGTGTAACATGGAGAGCTGTTCCGGCAAAGTTCAAAACAGATGTGTGAGATAAAAATCTTAGGGTCTGAGGTTTTGTGGTGTATCTTTGGAACGTTGGTTCAGGGTTGGCACACATGCGTGTGTAATATGGAGAGCTGCTCCGGCAAAGTTCAAAAGAGGGATGTGTGAGATGAAAATCTTGGGGTCTGAGGTTTTGTGGTGTGTCTTTGGAACGTTGGTTCAGGATGGGTTGGCACACATGCGTGGTGTAATCTGTTCCGGGTTGTTCCGGCAAAGTTCAAAACAGGGATGTGCGAGATGAAAATGTTCGGATCTGAAGTTTGTAGTGTGTCTTGGGACGTTGGTTCAGGATGGGTTGGCTCACATGTGTGGTGTAATATGGAGAGCTTTTCCGGCAAAGTTCAAAACAGGGATGTGTGAGATGAAAATCTTACGGTCTGAGGTTTTGTGATGTATCTTTGGGAGGTAGGTTCAGGATGGGTTGGCACAAATGCGTGGTGTAATATGGAGAGCTGCTTCGGCAAAGTTCAAAAGAGGAATGTGTGAGATGAAAGTCTAAGGCCAAAGGATGTGAAGTTTAGTGGTTTATCTTTGGGGCTTTGGTTCAGGATGGGTTGGCACGAATGTGTGGTGTAACATGGAGTTCGGTTACCTCAAAAAGTTGTTTTTTTGATATGCCAACGTTGAAAGCTTTGGCATTTGCTATGCCAACAAGGCTTTTTGCTATGCCAACAAGGCTTTGGTACGATGTGGGAGCGGAAACTGGGTGGGATGAAAAGGATGTGGTTGACCGTTCTCTGGGGAAGTGTGCTGTTTTTATAGTTTAAAACTTAAGGTATTTTTTGAACACACGCTGAGCACTGCTGTTTTCATCTCTTGTGCCGTTTTTATTTTTAATTTTCAACATACCCAGAGACACTGGGTTTAATCTTTTGTACCTTGATTTTTCATTTTCAGAAATTGGGGTGAGGTCGGCTTTTCATCGTTTCACTTCTTTTGCTCATACCTTAGCCCTCCAGGTTTTTAAACTTGGTTTTTGGGATGAAAACCTGGTGCTGCACCCTAAGTTGAACGCCCAACGGGGATCTTTGCGTGGCAGGCGCAGCACTTGGTGACATGCACCTGCACTTTGCGTGGCAGGCGTGGCACTTGGCGACATCCACCTACGTTTTGCGTGGCAGCCGTGGCACTTGGCGACATCGACCTTCCGTTTGGCATGGCAGGCGTGGCACTTGTAACATCCACGCTGCAAGTGAGTCCGTCTCTCTCAAATACGACTTTGTCACACACACACACACAACTTTGTCACGCACAATCTTTCACATCTCTCTCTCACATGCAACTTTATCGCACACAACTTTGTCAAACCCAACTCTTTCGCACACAACTTTTTCACACACATCCCTCTCACACACAGCTTTGTCACCCACAACTTTGTCACACACAACTTTGTCAACTTTGTCACACGCAACTTTGTCACACACAACTTTGTCACACACACAATCTTTGTCACACACACACAACTCTTTCGCACACAACTTTTTCACACACATCTCTCACACACAACTTTGTCACACACACAATCTTTCACACACATCTCTCTCACATGCAACTTTTCTCTCACACATCTTTGTCACACACCACTTTGTCACACCACAACTTTGTCACACACAACTCTTTCACACACACCTTTGTCACAGACAACTTTGTCACACACAATTTTGTCACACGCAACTCTTTCACACACAGCTTTGTCACAAACAACTTTGTCATACACAACTCTTTCACACACACACACACACAACTTTGTCACAGACAACAACTCTTTCACTCACAATTTTTCACACACACAATTCTTTCACTCACAACCTTTCACACACAACTCTTTCACACACAACTTTGTCACACACACACAACTCTTCACATACAACTCTTAAAATGATCGACCCTCCACCATCTCCTTTGCTTTTGTCCGTGCCGTTTCAACCATTTTTTCTGATTATTGGATGAAGTTGACTTGTGAGGTTTTCCGGTCCTTTAACTTTTTCTGGCAGATCCATTTTTGTTTGTGTTCCACCTGACCATATTATGTTTTTAACCATCCCTCCAACTAGCATTGACCTGGGGGTTGGAAGGCTACTAATGGGCGGCGTGAAAACGTCACTCGGACTGGGACTCTCCAAGAATTGAGCAACATAAAACAGCATTGCCTTTTGATTTTGCCATTTTTGTTTCTTTCACATCAGTAATTATCCCATGTTGACCCATGGTGATCGCCCATGGTAGTGAACGGTTCCCCGGGGTTCTGGGGAAAGTCCATGCCAGGAATATCAGCAGAACACAGCCTTCGTGGGTTTCATGGGCTTGGTATGCAACTTGGTAGATCTAAGTGGCCCGGTTGGAGTGAAATTTGAACCCCTGGTTATTTTTTTTGTTGATCATTTGGGGGTTCTTATTGGAGGGTTCCCCTCCTCCAAATGTTGAAAGATATTGAAATTGAAACTGTGCGTGTATTATATTTTTTTGATTTTTTTTTGGCAGTCTAATAATCTAGTCATGTCTACTGGGCACAAGATCCATCGATTGGTCATTTTCCATGGCTATAGATGTGAAAAAAAGTACTAGAGGGTAGATGCATACACTTGAACTTAAATGCCATCTCTCAAGACCCTGGTTTATAATGCTCGAACTTTTCATTTGGGGTTTCGTGACAAGGGGGTTACATGAACGCAATGATTACGTAGTGTTGATACATCTCTCTATAGAAATATACATACACAGCATCCGGACGCATGTATATGTATATATATATATTGTTTATTATATATACATAGTATAGATAGATATGTATGTATACATATGTATGATTTAATATGTATATATGTATATATATATACATACACGTGTATTATATATATATGAATATATCTATATATATATGAATATATATATATATATGAATATATATATGAATATATATATATATGAATATATATATATATATGAATATATATATATATACACATGTGAAAGACACATAATATATATGTACAAAAAATGTAAACAGCTCTCTACACCCCAGATCGTGATTCGTCCCACCACCCAGGTACATCTGCGATCGTCTATTTGTCCCGCAACCTGAGTGAAGCCACTGAGCACAATCATGATTCCATTTTTGAACAACCTGGGGTAGGTTTTATTATTCAGGAGATCTTTCATCATAGGATGAAGGGATTGAGGCTACATTTTTGTTCGACCCACAAACAGCACATTCCGAACCCCGCAGGTGCTGGTGCCCTTGATGTGGGCCGCCTTCTCTGCCCTGCCGTTGACGGGCCTGATCTCCGTCTTGAACCCGATGCTCATCAAAGTTATGAGGCCCGCGGCGCGCATTGGGAAATCCTCCAACGACTTATGGAGGTTGGAAAATCATCAAAATGGAGGTACCATTGCCATGTTTCATATCAGGTATATATCAGGTATAGATGACACTGATAGATGCCTACAAAAACAGGGATTTCACATTTGATTTCATCAGAGGTTTTTACATCAATGGAGACAGCAAGATAGGTCCAACCAGAAAAAAGGGATGCAGCCGCGATGCCCTGCCTGGGCGCCGGTTTGTCAGGTGTTGCAGCATCCGGCAGTATCGACCGGTGCAGACCTCAGGGGAAAATCCGACGACTGACTACTGTGGGTGAAGCCACCAACATATATATATATCATTATATACTGTAACTATATATAATTATATACATATATAGAATTGGTTGATTTCAGCTTTGTAACCCAAAACCACATTGTAGAAATGTTGGAAAATTCTGTGTGTACATCATTCTCTTGTGTGTTCTCCATATCACGATTGAGCTGTAACCCCTGTGTAAATTTTGATGCTAAATTGTCTGTGACATTCTTTTAGTTCCACCACAATTAAGAAAATTAATCATGTGCTACTCCAATGGCCGTTGATGATTCATGACCCATCCTGAAGTTACATGTAGTCGCACTCCAGGCACGCAAAGGGTCCGATGGATCGCATCCGAAGCCCTACCATTTGAACCGGCATGTGGAGTTTCATGCAAACGCCGGGGAGGATGCCTTGGCCGTGGGTGCTGTGGATTTGGATCCTAAAAAACCAACAGGACTTTGGAAAAGTTTAACCAAAGTTGTTACAGCAATGTCAACCCAGGATTGCTAAACTTATTAATTTGACTTAATTTGGTGGTTCCACTCATTTTATAGTGATAGAATGTGATAGATTACCATATTAAATACTAGAAGTAAAATAATTATATGGTAAATGATAAAGTTTTGGTAATTAAATTGCAATATAATATATATATATATATAATTATATTTTATATATATATATATATTTACTAAATATAAATTGCAGAATCTGTGGTAACATTCCAAAAGCGTTTCCGAGCCATCGATTCCCAGGACTTTCTGCGTGTTCCCAAGGCGCCAATCTGGTGAAATTCCTCACACCCCGCAGAAATATGATCTGAACGGAAGCTTAGAATCCTTTGAAATGGATTATGTATATATATATATATTGTTTTTTGTTTAAAAAAAACTAAACTATCCTTAACATCGAAATTTTGCCGTTGCATATTCTTCGACATGGACGGTTTCCTACGCGGGGCCACATGTTTTTGTTTAACGATCCATAACCAGGCAGACGGCGAGCTGCTACTAGAGGAGGTGGATGTGGGAGATGCCAGCTGTCGTTGTTGATGGAATGGTTATGTAAACTAAATAGGAAAGAATTATATAATCTATATCAACAGTTATGTTCAAATTATGTCCAAGAGTTTTATGAACTGAAATTTGTTTCACAGTTAATTATATATATATATATTATACATATGTAATTATACATATATTTGAATAACTCATAGGACATCTCTAAACCCCGATTCTTGAATAAACTCAGATGAAGCATAGTTGGAAAATTTTATGATCAGAAGTTCGACAATCGACCAGAGGTGGAGAGTAAAAACAAACATAAACTGGACTCAAAATTGGTATTCCTAAAGGACATGTGATTTCCACCTGACTCCTAGTTGGATACACGCCATTGTTTGAATTCCATGGTCCATTTTTGCAAGTTGTGTTTTTCTTTTGTATACTGTATAACTGTGCAGCCCAGTCATCAGTCGGGAGACAAACTCACTAGGGCTACTTACCAATGACTCACAATATGGAGGTTTCCTAAAATGAGGGCCCCCCCAAATCATCCATGTCATTTTCGGATTTTCCATGCAATAAACCAGCTACAGTATTGGGGTAGCATCACTTATGGGCCATATGGGAAGCCTCCGCAGTTCAATTCGTTCCCATCACCGGGAGATGTCCAGTTCGGTGATCGCAGGCCAATGAGCCAGACTGGGTGCTTTGCCCAAAGCCTGAAACCCAGATCTCTTAGACATTGGCCACGAAGATGGCCTGCACGAAGGCCCAAAGATGTATTCGATCATGATGAATAATGTTTAATATATAAATACATACACATGGTTCAATGATGTTCAATGTATCAATGTATGTATGTATGTATGTAGGTAGGTAGGTATGTATGTATGTATGTATATGTATAGAATATAACATGCATACATGATTTTCACTGAACCTCCCCAGCAGTACGCACACGTATACACCACTATCATTGACTCGAGCAGACTCTGTACGGTTGGTCTGGTGGATTGATTAGTTGGGGTCAACAGGCGGCTTATACCCACCAGTTATGCTTGTTTCATGTCGATCTGGGGGGCTGAGTTATTGGGAGTATGGTTCAAACATGGGGTACCAATATCTGATGAACTGATGAACCCTTTGATAGACAATTATCAACATTAAAAAAAACTGTTGAAACCAACATTTTGTTTCAATAGTTTTCAGTCGCAGCCAGACCGCTTCCTCTTCCAGGTGCTTCTATGTTCAATTCTGCTGCCGCCGGCGCGTTCGCGTCAAGGCGGAAATGTTTTTCGCCCTTAGATCCCACCAGCTTCATGGTTATCGGTTGGGATCCTAAAGTAGCATAAATCAAAGCAGTTCAGATAAATAATTAGTATGGATATATATATATATTAATTAATTAATTAATTAATTAATTAATTAATGTGTATATATATATATATGTATGTATATATATGTATTTATATATATATATGCATCCTTGGGTATTTCAAGCAAAGCTATGCTTTAGATGGCCCATGGATATATGATCTAACTAGGAAAACAGGGTGAGTTTCCCATTCTTCCAACCCTCACAGTTTCGGCCTCCAGAGGAGCTCGAGGTCGTTTATTCGCAACAGCACCTGCAACAGGAAAAGGGGAACCTCTGTGGGGACTCGATTGGAAACCCCACGTGGGGGCAAGGTGTATTATTTCAAGTCCCAAATGGGTGTGTCTGAAAATAGTGTACCCCTAAACCCAATGGTTAATGATCATTATCCCTATTAAATGGCTATAATTGGGAATATACCCTATTTTCAGACAAACCCAAATTTGGCGAACTTATATAACTATTTTCATGTTGTTTGGTTTAACACATGACCAGTTTTGCATGTTTTTTTCTGAACAGGCCATGATTGGGTAAAAAAAAAGCCGGTTATAAGTGATAGAGGTGTATCGTTGTGGCTGGGACATCTTCACCACTTGTTTTGGACCCACCACGCAGAATCATTTTTGCCAAGTTGATTCATCCAACTGCGTTCCATGGCCGTGCTGATGATTTTCCTGTTGCTGAGACCCAAATCAACGAGTTTGCAACTCCGCAAGAAGTTGTAACAACTGTAACAACCAAATAAACCAACTTGTTTCAACTGGTGGTTTCTTTTATAACCCTTAAATAAGCAACATGTTTTAATATACTGAACTTGTAAATCCCGAATTCCCACGCCAGCGATCCTCTGAACATATCTCCAGGACGATGTGGATCGGCCCAAAGTTCCAGAGAGGGAAGTGAACCGCATCGTGGATTGTGGGAGAGCTCAGCTCCGAGATGTTTGGGAAGTCTTCCTTAAAAGTGGAACTGACCATTGCAGAGGATATGAGATGAGAACATGATTGCAGCACATGGGAAGCCTTTTGTTTTTGTTCGGGCAAGTGGCAAGCATGGGTTCATACCACAAACCATTTGAATCAACCACACAAACATGAAGCTGGACAACCATCAATTGGGAATATTACCATATATTATTAATACCTACATGAAAAGAAAACATTGTATTTTATGTTTCTCATATGAGATGACGATGATGATGATGATGACGATGATGATGATGGTGCTGGTGCTGCTGGTGGTGGTGGTGATGGTGATGGTGTAATCGTCATCATGATGATCAAGTGACTAGTTTTTCGTGGAAAGTTGAAATCGGCAACCAGAGGCACAGTGGGTTTTTTTGAACATATTGAGCTTTTAAACATCACCAGAAAATGGCAATTGGGGAAAGCCCATTATAAGTCATATTTCATATCTGCAGTTGTTGTTGGACACCATGGCAAATGCGCCTTGCACAGATTTAGGGGCCCCATATCTTATGCCGGCTTGAAACCCCATGGTATTCTATTCTATCCAGTCTTTTTTTTTTCGCCCCATTCCTGCTGCCACTGCTGAGTATGGGAATACTACATTCGACGGGCTGAAGAAGATCCAGGCGGTTTTGCTCATGGTCAGGATTTGTGGCTGGACTTGCGACAAGATAATATGTCAAGATACAGGAAATTGGAGGACCGGTAAATTTCCTTTTTGCTAGTGTTTTTTGCTGATACTTTGGCTCCCAAGGCAGCAATTGGATCTAATACAATTCTATGTATTATATCCTGAAAGAAAAATCGAAGAGTCGGAGTTACCAGTGCAGGAATCCTTTAACGGTGCTCCTTGGCTCATGTTGTGGGAACACAAAGATCCATCCCCCAGTAACTGGGGGATCTCCTCACTGCTTCCTCACTGTCTTCGTTCATCCCCATGAAACTATCACTATGAGACCCTCGTTTTTTGTTTCCAGTTAAATCCACCAACTAATTAAACTAGTTGAATCTATACCGAAAACGATTCATAAAAATATGTGCATCATATGCATCATTTCATATTCATTATAAATACTCATTACTCAGTATTTTGCTCCACTCCCCCAGCTTTGGCCAGGTACTGGGCCCGACGTCTTCATCAAGCTCTACTTGGATCACTCGGAACACTACCCGGCCCTGGTGAAGCCACTACCCAGCGAGGTACCTGATTTGTGACTCACCTGCAGCTTGAGCTTGGTTTTTTTTCGGGAAAAACTGGAAGTATAGTGATGCTTTCAGAAAGATAGAACAGTGATTCATTACTATTTTAGGGTGATTTTACACTTTTTTTTGTGGATTACCAATTGAAGATTTTCAGTGATGTCGAACAGGAACAGGATCTCCAAGAAATGCTCCGATTGGAATCAATCGCGAATGTTGGATGACCTCACATTTGAAATCAGAAAAATCATTTAAATATATCATGAGACTTGCATGACATCATGCATTGCTGATTCTTTTGAGAATTGACGCCCTTAATATGGTTTCTATTATACATGTAACATAATTATATGTATATTATATACAATATGTATAGATAGATCATATCTGTTGGAGCACTGGCTGCCATGCGACATCCACAAAATCCCTGAGGAGAGGCCTTTTGGAGGTGTGGAGTTGCTGGATCTGCGGTGGGTTGGGCAAGGTTTATGGGGTATCGTATCCAAAGGAGGGGATATCAATTGATTGATGAGTATATAAATGGATAGATGGGTATATATATACATATACATATATATGTGTATACACTGAATTGTACAAATATATGATATATTTATATATATAGATGATATTAAATTCCATATATATATATATATATGCGTATATCATATGTACATGTATATATATATATGATCAGTTCAATGTTTGTTGCAGTGTTCATCCCAGTCCATTGGTATTGGTATTTCATTGGCAATTGCGGTAGCATATACGGGTTTTGTGGAATGAACAAGAAAAACAGTGAAATCATGGTCATGGTGGTCGATTTGGTTCTTTGGTCCCCGGTGAGTAATCTTGTGTCAAATGGCGCACCTTTTTGAAATGTAAAAAACAAACAGACCAAAGAGTTGTTTGTTGTGACGAAGGGTTTCTTGAAGCAGATGTGACCATTTCTTTTGGCTGTGATGGAGTGACGACTCCATTCTGCAACCCTGCCCCACCTGCCCCTACATGTTATCGCACGCACTAAGTCACAAAGTGATTATTGTTTGATGGTTTCCCGTATAGACACAAAAATCAATGGATCCGTTGGTATACCCACGTTGGATGATGTTGATGTGTTTATAAACGAGATTATCGATTTACGTTGTGGTCAACTGGAGGATCACTATATATATATATATATATATCGTTTACTGAATATCGGTACCCCATGAAGATGAACAGTTGGGTTGATAACCATCAGCCGCTTTAATCGTGGGTCATTCCTAAATGTTATTTGTTCAAAACAAGTCATCATTTTGTTCTTGGACCCCAAACATGTTCATGGTTCGACATGACCAGTTTTTCGTGTTTTGACGGGTTAAACACCCGTTTTTGACCAGTTGCAATGCACGGCTTTGCCGGGTTTAAACCATGGTTTAAGCCGTTGTTAAAAATCGCATGGCCGTGCAGGTGGATAGCACCCATGCCGTGTCCTACGTGATTGCCACATTGGTGGCGATGGCCTTTGTGCTGTGCGCCATCCCAGGGCTAACCACGGAATGGGAAAAGTGATGGGATTTACCTGAGTTTTTCCTGGGATTCTTCGTGGGGATAGCTAAGAAAACTTACTGCTGCTTAGTAGGGAATGGATGAGAATGGGGGAATGGGATTATTATTGATAGTTATTGTGGATCATTCCCTCATTCCCTACTAAGCACAAGTAAGAAAAATGTAGAAAAATGATGAAAAATGGGATAGCATCTTGTTTTTTATCATAGGATGATGGGATTATGATACTTGTATGGGATATGGGATTTTGATGGAAAAAAACAATGAGATATACCCCAACTGATGGGATATTGGGATATCATTTTTTGGGGAGGATAATTGATTGAGATATTATATAGATTTTTTGTCTAATGTTGATATAATTTTGATATGAAGGGATCAGTAACTGCTTGGGGGTTGTTTAGAAATGGGTGGCTAACCTTTTTTTATTAGCCATTGACAGACTTCTTTGGGAAAATGATGAGAATCCATTGGAAGATCCCCTTTCGGGAATGGGATCCCCTTTCGGGAATGGGATGAATGGGAGAAGCAACCCAGTGGGATGTACAAAATCCCCAGGATTTTGGGAAAACATCAGTGATATCCAAGTAGACCTTGTTAGTTGGTTGAAGCATGTTGAAGCATCACATGTTTTTTTAATTACAAAGTCTTGACATTCTGATTGCAATACCTAGTTGGTGAGATGGTCGAGTGTTGAAGCTGAAGACGGTTCAGTTGCTCAGATGGAGCATGGCCTAGCAAAGTCATGATGAGTGTAATTATGTGTTAAAACCTATGAACATATGTTTTCGGATTTCTTGGATTAGTTATGATTAGTTTACCACTAATCACATTTTTTTGATGATATACTTTATATACCAAGTTTACTTGTCTGTTAAAATTGGTTTACCCACTTTTTTGGGGGAGTTCACTATAGTCTATAGGGTACCGGGTGTTCTTTTTTTGGCGCCACATGAGGAGTTCACCAGTGGCCAGGTTGTGCTTGGGGACCTTTGTTTGGCTTATCTCCGTTGGGGCCAACAGTCTCACTGACAATGCCCCTTGGCCTGGCCTCGGTGAAGGGGGTACCTGGTAGCAGATTTGGGGATTTTGGTACCCATTTCTTCAGGGTACTCACTTAAGTGTGACGTTTTTTCATGTTTTTTTTTTCTGCTTATAATAGATGGCATCATATCTACACTCACAATATCTCACAATTGCCATTTTTTTCTGCTGAAGAAGATGGCATAATATCATATAATATCGACATCCCGCGTATGCACATGTGTTTTTAAAGCTATCCATTAGGTATATAACATCAAAAAATGGATTTCAACTGTTGTGGTACCCCAAAATCTGGTGGTTTATCATCATGTTCCCCAACAGGGTCACAACTGGGGCGTTAAATCATTTTAAATTCACCATTTTTTGACACGCCCATATTGTATATATATATATATTAATATCTATGTGTATATCTCTATCATATTGCCGGTGATATATTATATCCTTGTGATATCCCCATTATCTCCCTGCAGACACCCATCACCGTGACTTCGTTGTTGGTTAGATCCCATTAAATCCCGCCAAAAACAATTCAATGCCATTAAATCACCATATATTCTCATGAAAAACATTGACATTTAAACCATTAAATGCCACTAAGAAATTATCAAATCACAAGAAATCACTATGACATATCCCGAATTTGTTCTAGACATCACTAGATACATAAATTTACTAAGAAATTATCAAATCAAATCACTATCATATCCTTATAAATCCATTTGAGGTATCTTCACAAAAAATGGGGGTCACCATCCGTCATCACAGGTGGGCGCCTACCTCCGGGGAGGTCGTGAGTTCATCGAATGGGTCACCTACTATTCCCAGGTGCTGCCGAAAGGGGGGGGCGCAAAAAGGAGTCATGGATTTGAAATGGGTCTGTCTGAAAATGGGGTATACCCCCAATTATAGCCATTTAGTAGGGATAATGATCATTAACCAGTGGGTGTAGGGGTACACTATTTTCAGACAAACCCAAATATCACGGGAAATATCATGGAAGTATGATGGACCATCCATATCTATGGAATTGTCCATGGAAATACATCATTGATAGATATGACCATGGATCAATAATGACCAATACCTATATAGTAACAGAAGTTTTAGGGGGATGAAATGGGATCCATTTTTACCAGCTATTTTGATGTGAACAGAAGGGGTACAAGGTTTTGACCCATTCCCAGATGGGAAATATGATGGAAATATAATGGACATATGACAATTTAACCTGAATGTTGACCCTGGAATCCCTCGGTTCGATTGGGAGATATTTCTGGAATCACTCATAAACTGTGTAGGTGAACATCCAGAAATACCGTCCATTCTGCATGCCATTTTGGTTGATCAAAACTGTTTTCTTTTCTGGTGAATTCTAAACTTGTGCTGGTCAAATCAAATGTTTGCTGGTGAAATATCTCTTTATATCTCTTTCACCGCTTGAATATTTAATTATGTTTTCTGCATGGTTAAATCAGGTCAGTTTTCACCATTTGTTTGGCTACAATCCCAATCTTCATATATATAATATATATATACATAATATATATAATATATATATAATATATATATAATATATAATATATATATATATAATATAATATATATATATATGTTCCACTGCAGATTTCGATTCCTGTCATATTTCCACTTCGCCACTTCGTCCAGGAAGTTCTTCCGAAAGAGATCACCAAAGACCTTGACCACAAGGTGGGCGGCTCAGATCGACGACCGCAAGTTTCACCAGGAATGGAGGTTTAAGCATCAAGGGGATGATGGTAAAGGCATAAATACATGGGGTGCTGGCGCTGGATATATTTTGACAATTTTTAACATATATTCACCTGGGGATTCTCCTTGTGTTTTGTGTCGGAAGCCATTGATATTCTTGTTGTGTTTGCGATGCTAAGGTTCAATCGCGAAAAGATGAGATTCCGGTAGAACATCCAAACAGAAACATTCTATACCCCATAGGATCCATGTATGGTATATATGCTAACATTTGGGGGTATATTGATGGCAAATGTTACCATATATAGCATACATGGATCCTATGGGTTATTCATGGGACTTTTTGCGGCTGCCCATTTGGGGATCATTTGACACGATTTCGCAGTTCGTGTCACTGGTCGAACCAAAATCATCCCGCCATGATGGGCTTGGCGGCCCACCGTGCTTTCACGCAGAAACGTTTGTTGGCGTTGCCTCAAAACATGGAAAGCTATGTCAAAAGATGTCACCTGCTTTTTTGATTAAATCTGACCTAGTTTTCATTTTTATATGTGTTTTTGTAGTAGATGCCAATATATTTTTTTTGTTCCCACTGTTTTGGGGTTTATCCCTCATGTTGACATTCTCACAGAGATTTTTCCTTTAAGCGGCCTCCAAGGCCCAAGCGTATTTGGATGAACATGTGCCCATTTTGGCCTCTTCACTCTTGACAATGGTGGAAGGCCGGATCTTGAAAGAGAGGAGAGCTTGGAGCGGTTCAACTGAGTTCAACTGGTTTTTTTTAAATGGGATTCGATCATCTTGAAAGTTGCTTTTGTTCCCTCATGTTTTGTTCCAATTTGCTTTTAGAGATCCACTTCTTTCTGAATTTTTGTGGCACCATGACCATGACCACGGGTATTACGATAGAAAACGGAGGCCCGGTGGAGTCCTGTTGTTCTGACAGGTCTCGGCTTTGAGATTGTGCTCTACACTCTGTACCTCTTGTGACTTGCTACATCTTGGTGTCCGGTCATGGGCGAAATCACGGTTTAGAACAAAAAGATATGAGCAAAATTGACCGGTCACACATACTGGTGAACCATATAGTCGCGAAGTTCTCATCCCAACTGACGAACTCATATTTTTCAGAGGGGTAGGTCAACCACCAACCAGATAACCATGGTTTTCATCATTATTAATTAACCATTGTTAATCCACTATAATCCACTATAATCCACTATATAACCATTATAATCCACAGAAATGGATACTGCTATCAGCTGCTATCGCTTCTGGATCGTTCCGAGGTTTTGGACCCTGGAGCCTTTACCCATCAACCGAGAGGTGGGGAACGGACGCACGGGAACGTGAGGACTGGACTGTTACAACAGGTTTTGTAGATATAGCAACCCCCCCAAAAAGATATATGTATATATAATATATATATATATAATATATATATAATATAATATATATACATAATTATAGAAAAAATAGTAAGCCGGATATATAATATAGAAAAGCTGGTAACCCGGGATTTTTGAGGTAAATATCATCCATATCATCCCGATACTCCTAACATCTCCTAGGTCCCTATCTACTTATCTACTTATCTACCACTTCAATGGGCAATGCTTGAAACCTCGAATAGCTTTGGAAATCACAGCTATAACGGGTCATCATGTTATTTGATGTTGTTTGTCTACGACTTGCATGTGCAGCCCAACCCCTAGCTGGGATAACCCTTGTGGCTGTGGACCTTATGGACCCCAAATGGAGAGTACTCGTAGCCCTGAAAATCCATGAAAATCATTGAACCATTGGCTGATACGAGTTCCTACACATCCTCAAATCCTCAAAATTGATTTCTGAAGCACCTTCCACATGCTACCTTGACATACCCACAGACGCTGTCGCACTGTGCAGGTGTCCAATTTGTTCAAGACGTATCTACTGCAGAAATCGTTGGGACCTCGTTTCTCTGAAGGTGAACCAACCATTTCTGGTCCCAGATGGCGGTCAGCATGGCGTAGCAAACCCTGGTGATCGAGCCGCCTCCTGGGATTACCCTCTGGTAATTTAACATAGCTATTGAAAATCACCATGTTTAATGGGAAAATCCACTATAAATGGTGATTTTCCATAGTTATGTTAGTTTACCAGAGGGTATCCCATGTTTTGCTGAAGGTTGGTCTGTTTGCTCTTCGCTGCACTGAACAGTAGCTGCCTCAGTCATCTCCGGCCGATCAAGCTGACTTCCATCGACCGTGTTGGGTTCAGGGTGCCCCCAAGGAGGCAAATGCCTGGGTGCTATGCTTTTCCACCATCATATTTCCATTTATTTCCCTACATTCGTGGCTGTCGTCTTTGTGGTTCAACTTTTTTGGATAGATGTGGATGGCCAGAGGTCAACATCCCACACCACACCACCTAAACACATCCATCAAGTTTTGGGTTTAGTAGAAACGGTAGAAACATGGTAGAAATGTCCTGAAATCTCCTGAGTTCAGGGTCTTGAGGGCCTTGACGTCAGGTCGCCATGTCACCACATTTCCAAGGCATCTTATTGCTCTGCCTACACTGCGCACTGACGCTTGGCTGGAGAATCCACAAATCGGAAATGGGTCAAAATTGAAGTCCAGGTGGATCCACAAGTCCAGGCTGGTCACGTTAGGTCGGTATAGACATCACCCATTTTGGATCCATTTGGAGGATTGCTCATTTTGACCCACACCCAACTGGAAATAGGTCATTTCCAAGAGACGTTGTCGGATTGCCACAGGGGCATTCTGGTCAAAAGAAAGAAGATGATAGCACTATGAAGACTATGATAGTGTTGGATGTTGTTTGCAGCTGACCAGCGTTGACTCCTGTGGGGCTTCCTTCAGTCCAGTCAGTCGTTCCTGGAGTCCAGTCAGCACATTGAAGCTACGGCATACAGTGGGAAAAGGTGGCACATCCTCTTCCTGGTGGCCTTCTTGTTGAACTATATTCCCGAGGTGGGCCCCATTGTGCCTGGGTGTGAAACAGGGCCATGGTGTGATTGGGATGGTCGCCCCCAAAGGCCCAAAACCCATAGGAAAACTATAGGAAAAATCAGGAATGATTTGAGACCACCATGGAGATCCAGAAGGATCGGAGGATTTTATTTCTATAATGAATCATAAACCTAGGATTGTTTCATATATATATATATATTTGAGACTTTGCAAGTAGCAAGGGAGCTTTATATTTAAAATAGTTTTATTTATGTTTTTTTAATGATTTTAATATGATTAAATTTATGATTTGGATTTATTTGATTTGTTTTTGTATGAAAAAATATGATGAAATTTATGTTTTGTTCGTGCTGGCATGTGTTTTTTTTTAATGATTTGCTCAGGATTTTTTATGTTTTTTTTAATGATTTTACATGCCGAGAAAAACAAAAAATAATCATTAAAAAAAACATAAATAACCCACTTGCCATGTTTGTTCCGGAGATATCCTACCAGACACCCCATATGAAAAAGCCTCTCCTGCAATCGTTGTCTTTGATTCTCCAGGTCACTTCTCCGGCATGAAGTTGCCACCCAACGCAGAGCAGCTCAAATCCTTTGGGCCCAGTTGGTACACGGATGCCCTTCGCAAGTTTGGTCCCTTGGCCGAGCGTCTGGAGTGCTAAGGAATGCTAAGTTAAGTTGGTTCGTGCAACAGCACAAATTTGGATGATGACTACATTGTACCACTTATACCGGACATACCGGACACCCCATATTTGGATAGTTATAGACTTGAAAGATAATCGCCGACTACTTGAGCCATATTTCTAGGACAGGTGGCTCTGACCGCCCATATTTTAGCCGGTTCCGTAAGAGGTGATGGATTGCCGTTTGCTTCCAATATTCTCCCCAATACTGTATCCATCTATATCACCAGCTATCATCTATGACCGATGCCCTTGAGACCCGGCATCAACCGAACCGCAGCTGCCCTGAAAAACCCAAGCTCCCAAGCTCGCCCGGCGCCCTCACCTGCGACGCAAGATGGTCGGACCTGCCCAGCTCGTGGTCTACAGCCTCAAGGTCCGCAAGGACGGCAACACAGAGGAGGCGCGGCGAGAGCTGCACCGCCTCGGCTACAAGAGACCCCCCACCAGCCAGCTCCTGGCCGAGTGTAGCCAGTACCCTCCTAGGAACTCTGAGCAGCGCGAGCGCCAGACGTTCCAGGACCGACCGCCGTGCATGCAGCAGCAACTCAGATATAGAATATAGAATTAACTAGCACGAATGATGCATCATCAATTATCTTGCTTCTAGCACAAAGTGCTGGAGCAAGTATACAGTAGGTTGATCACCGATGCCCCGAAGCATCTCCTCGAAAACAACGAATTGAGAACAGACTTTATGAGGTCTAAAAAAATAACAACATCTAATGTTTATAAAAAAGACAGGATATAACGATCGGCCTGTCAGGATTGAGACATCTCTTCGTGCAGAAAGATCAATGGATGCAATACAAAAGGGAAAAAAATCGAACAAAGAGGTTACACACCTACAGTATAGATCCACTGTTTATGTAAATATCATGCAACATATATATATATAATTATATATACATATATCTGTATGTCTCTACGATCTAGCTATACCTATCTGTATAAGACCAGACCCCTTAAATTGGACCCCCCTGAACTGACTCGCATCGAAGGACGTGGTTGCGGGCACGATGCTGGAACTCGAACGAGTCCGGCGTGTGAGAAGAGTGGTGCAAAGAGCCGGCCGGAGAGCACTGAAGGCAGAGAGAGCCCGCAGCAGGCACGCAGCCTGGGCGAGGCGGGCGCAACGTCAAGTACGCGCCCTCCTTCAAAGGGTGCAAGAACTGGACAACCAAGCCTGAGGCCGGGGAGTGGGGCTGGGGCCCGGAAGGCGCACGAGCACTCAGTTACAGTAACTTTTCGCGAAGGGCAGCTTTCCATCTTCCATGTAACGATGTTTCAAACCCTTATACTTATAAGCATTGGTGTGCAACTTCAAGACTTGACATTTGAAATTCCTATTTGGCAAGACTAGTTGTATATATTAAAAGCCCGGTCTTTACATCCTGGACGCCCCGAAAACATTGACGCTACACCATGAAGTAGATCGAAGGATGTAGTGGCCATTGTAGGATCATCGGTATTTTTGACATTCTGTGTTTTTTTTATTGCTCCGTCTGTTTACCTAAATTGAAACCTGATTATATATGAAATATATAAACATATGAATAGAAAAAGAATCCCTAAGATCTTCAAAGGTCTTATATATATATATAAACAGATCTGATACTACCAGCCCACGAATCAAAATCCCGCTACCTCAGCACCATCATGGCACCATGTAGCCCTCTGAAGTCAAGAAAGAGACCCCATCGCTATACAATCCCAGAGAAGATGTGTGATATTATACTATTATACTATGCACCGATCTAAAGATGATGCAGATAGAGAGAGAGAGAGAGCGGCGAGAGAATGAGAATGCGTCCTTACATGAATGCACGCATATAAACATCTTGTAATGATACCGGACGACGGAAATTTTCCAAAAGAAAATCGAATGACCTTGTCGCCCTGCCAACGCGCCTTGCCGCAGGAAAAGAGCTGAGACAGGCACAGTACAGAAGTCGCCGCACAGGCCCCCCTCCCACTGGACGAGCACAAAGCCGTCCGGTGGGAGGGGGGTGACAGGCGCAAAAGCAACACCAAGAGCAGAGCAAGGCAGCGAGAGAAAAAAGACGATGTTCTGGCGAAATGGGATTTACCCCATGAAGAGAAAGTCGATGTTGTTCATCCCCTGCAACAAACTGTTCTGATAAGAGGGCGAATTTTATCTCCCGAATGCAGCCAGCTGGATGGCTGGATGCCGACGGTGATGGGGGGGGAATGGTGAATGTGTTTCCATGCCTCAATCAGACATGCCATCACCCTTTTATTTATCTGCTCATCTAGAACAATGGTACCCCCATTTTTGCCTGAATTTCTCCACCGAGGTGGATCCCGTATGTTGAAATGGCTGGGGCGGGCCAGGGAGAACCTTTCCCGAGGTAGAATGAAATACCTGGAATAATCATCCCAAAACCACCGTCATATTTTCCAGCGGCGTAGGGCTCGACCACCCAACTAGTATATAGATTCCCACTTGATGGCCGACTGAAAGCCCAGGAACTGGTTGGACCTCACCGTGGTTCTCGTCTCCTTCATGGAACTGCTGGCGGCTTCAATCCCGGGCAGTTCCACAGGGACTTGGACCGTCTTCGAATGCATATAATATATAACTATATATAGCTTATATATATATATATACTTTTTGGTTATATATATATAATCATGTATATATATATTTATTTATTTATTTACAGTATACATATATATTGTGCGGAGACATGCTCCAAAGAGATCCCAGTCCACATTGCCGGATCCTTTGTTTGGCCTGAATCCGGCAATATTTCAGTGCTTCTGGCATCCTTAGGTCTGGGGCCCGAAGTCTCAGCCCAGACTAGGGCTAGGGCCTGACCCGAGGTTAAGCCACGACGGGGGTACCCCAATAGCTGGATGGTTTATCGTGGAAAATCAGGGGGGTTCCATAAATGGGGGCACCCCCACATGATGGTTTATAATGGAAAAATATCATTAAAATTGATGGTTTAGGGGTACCCCTATTTCTGAAATCCCCCCACATCATTTCAACGTTTGATATGTTGGGGATGATCATAATCCATGAAGCTATGGCCATTTATAACCAGTAAAAACTGGTTATAAATGGGATTATACATCCCATAAATTCTGATACACGGCCACAACTATGAGTTTCTGATAATTAAACTCGGGTTTATATCTCATTCGTGAGTCTCAACCCCCCTTATGTCGTCAGTGGCGAATTTTTGATCCATTGTGAAGATAAAGTTGACATTATCATCTTCGTCAAAATTCGTTATAAAGTGTGGCGAATTTTGATCCCTCATGAAGATAAATTCGATGTCGGTGCCCCCCCCTTTAACAAAATGGTCATAGGAAGTAGCGAATTTTGAATACTCATGAGTGAAGTTGCTGGAGGGCTCAATCAAGCCCAGATAAATTTCCATCGGGTCTATTATTGGCATCAGATCCTTTTTTTTCTAGATACAGTAGATATGAGAGGTCGTTTTGTTTTTTATCATCTGACCGTCCGTGGGGGGGAGCGAAGCGCTCCGGGTGCAGAAGTTTCCAAGCAGGCACATCCCCACGGGCGGTAGATGCAGACATGCTAGATATAGACGCATTATGAATACAAAAGATAGATTTTTATACGGTAAGGGAGAAGCGGTGAGGAGCGAAAGGGGCCTTCGCAGAGCGCAAATAAGCACACTGCCGTTTCCCCCAAAAAATATACATGGGAAAAAATCAGTCAAAAAGCAAAAAGACAAACGAAAGCGTAGTCAAAAAACAATCAAAAAAAAACATAAAGACGCAAGATCATTAAAACAAAAAAAACATTTAAAAAAAAACATACAAAAAAAAACATAAAATTCATAAAATTATTTTTTGTTTATGATAGTTTATGTTTTTGCTTATGTGTTTTTTTTAATGATTTTGTTTTTATGATGTTTTATATAATGATTATTGTGTTTTCTTTTTCTACTTTTTTCTTCGAAACCAAGTGAAACTAAATCATAAATTTCACCATAATAAAACATAAATTCAACCATAAAAAAAACATATCTGAAAATTTCCCGTTTTTCCAACACAATGAAATCATTGAAAAAAACACTAAAAAATATTTAAAAAAATATATATTTATTTAATTCTCGTTTAAGATTACTTTTAAAGTCTCAAATATATATATATATATATTTATATTTAGTAGTATACTATATAATATAATATATACATACACATATACTATATAATATATACATACACATATACTATATAATTTAATATATATTATTTTTTGTATGTATATACTATATAATATACAAGTGTATATATATATATACATACACATATAATCATACATATATATATATATACCTCGTAACAAAAAACGACCAAACAGTGGGAATGAATCTCTTGTCCAGTCCAAAGTTTCCCCAACCAAGGTGGTTTACATCTTAGTCCTGCCTTTACTTCTGCTGGATGGCAACCAGACACTTGAGCAAAGGCTCGGGGATGGCATGATTACCTTCTGGTAATTCAACGATTAGCTATTGAACATCACCATGTTTAATAGGTAAATCATGGTAAAACATCTATTTTCATGGGCCATGTTCAACAACGGATTTGTGGTCCCAGTGGCTCAGTGAGATCCCGGAGTCTTGTTCAACAGCCAACTAGAACTGGCGATTGGGCTATGAATTTGACCATCTATGTGGAATCTATGTGTTACTCCCACCACGGACCAGCTACGTATGGATTGGGACCAGAATCCAAAGAGTTTTTCTATTGAAATATGCCCATCTTAGTTCTAGGGGATTCAGAATATTCCAAGGTTCCTGAAGTGTACCCTCTGGTAATTTAACATAGCTATTGAAAATGACAATTTATAGTGGATTTTCCCATTAATCATGATGATTTTCCATAGCTATGTTAAATTACCAGAGGGTAAGAACCACTCTGAACATCATGTTTTTTTGTATCCCGTGCTATCTCCATTTGTGGTCTTTCTGGCGTGTGGAAACCGCCAGGGGGATGAACTCATTGATGTTTGGAGCCCCGGTGGACGGTTTGGAGTGGTTGATCAGTGGTTTATCCAGAGAACGGATATATAACTGATATAACCCATTCATGATATATAGCATATATATATAGTTGATCAGCTATATTTCATCGGGATATAACTGATATAACATGATATAACCCATTCACCTAATTAGGTGTATAACCCATTTACCAGGTGGGGCCCGTAAGCCCAAGTACTGAGGAGCATGTTGAACATCCACTGGTCCGCTGGGCATTTGTGTGTCGCTCTCACGGACTGCAACGAGTTGTTGAAACTCGCCTGCTGAGTTTCACCTTGTCCTTCTTGATCATCAAGTTCGTGACAGGCAATATCATTGAGGCCGGTCAACCGACCAGACAATACGGACAATACGCGTAGACATGGGATTAAACATCAGACGTTTGATCGGGATAGCCTTTGGTGAGCAAACGTGGCTAGCTGGAAAATCCGCTATAAATGCAGGTTCATTGCTGGGAACATCAACGAACTAAATGGAGGATTTTCCAGTGCGTTGATTGCTGAAGAATATGTCCGTCGTCTGTAGAGCACCAAATGTGCAGAATGTTTAGTGAAGCGCTCAGCTTGAAGGAGTGAACAGTGGATCCAATATATACAATTGCAGATCGCCAAGTCTATGTGTCCTTTCCCCTTTTGCTACTTGTATGGGTCAAAACCCGGGGTACCTTGGTAAACCCCAAAAATCGCTTGTGAATGGATGCTAGTCCCCTCCCCTGGTACAATAGGTTTGATTGCAGCCACATCTGGATTTTAAAAGTGATTTGGGTCTTGCTGCACAAGACGGACCCACTTGAAGGATGAACGTGTGTTATACACCGACGAGCATTTGCACAAGTACAAGTGTATATGCACAGCTCGCGCATGTTGTGTTTACTGTACATTTTTTATATGTCGATGTGAATTGACATGACATATACATATATATATATATACACATACATACATACATACATACATACATACATACATACATACATACATACATACATACATACATACATACATACATACATACATACATACATATGTATGAATATAATTTGCATTTTTATATTCATATGTAGATTCTTGGATACGTATTGCCATTACATAACATAAACATTATATATATATATATATGTAAATGTTTAATATTATTAATATACTATACAACAACCCCAAGCTACAGCTATTGGGGAATTATTGTGGTATATATTATATATGGCACATGTCATCAGCTGCAGGTGCAGCTTTATGCCAAATCCGGAGGAGATTTGATGCGAATGCATCCAGCCGCACGACGCGCATAGGGCGCATAGGGGCGGATTGTAGATGACTTTCAGCACCAAATGGTTGGCACTTTAGCATCCAAAAATGGTTGGAATTTTGCCATCAAACAATGGGGATTTGCTGGCATCAAACATTGGGGATTGAAGATTTAAAAACATTGATTGATCCATCAAAACTTATGACTTACGCAGTTTGTCGCATGATTTTTGTGCATTTTGGCTATCGAAATGATTGAAATGGCGGATCAACCATTCGAAGAGGGCATGTTGAGGGCATGGTCACCAGGGATCTATGCCATTGACTTCCGGGCTGAAGATGTGCCATTTAGCCAGTCCCACTAGGAGTCCCACTAGTCGCTAGTCCCTGGCATCGTAGGAATCCTTATGATCCAGGAAAAATATTGGAAAAATGCATAGATGAATCATGATGAATCTAGATATAGATGCCAGTGATACCGTATCCATGAGACCAACCATTATGTCCAATCCACAGTGTTGGGTTGGACCAAGTAATTTGCTGAGGTGGTGATGCTGGCGTTGATGATGCTTTTCCAGTCCTTGATGGGTATGACAGGCATGGACCGCTCCAACTGGTCACATCATCTCAATGTTCGTCGGGGATGGGTCAAGTTATCATGAAATGACATGAAATTACCATATTTGGGGGGAGTAAAGATGGATTAACCACGATGAACCAGCGACTTAGGGTGCCATCCGGGTAGCCAGTTGTGTTCAAAGCAAATGCCGGTGATTTGATGATCTGGGAGAATCTGTCGGACCATTCACAAGGAAATCATGGTTTTATGATGGTTTTATATCATGTTCTGTCCATCAGCTGATCAACTACAGGTATGGCCCTTTACCAGTTATAAGTACTAACAAAACCCCATTTATAGAATGTATAATCCCACTTATAACCAGTTATAACTGATAAATGGCCATAACTGTATGGTTGTTTTTTTCGTGTTTTTGACAGGGTCTTCCCTGTCAACTCGGCTCCCCGCGTGCAGGCATGTTCATGACGGTCCCCGTGATGGCTGCCGTGACTTGGTTGCGATGAGGGTTGCGGCTAATCCAGCTCTGGGGTATCAACTTAACAGTGGGGATAATATGGAGGTCTCATGAGCTTTCCATAGGTTTCCTATAAAATGGGGGTACCCCAATTTATCATCCAAATTAGACCATGGTTTTGGGAAGATTGAAAAACATCTGAATTTACATGAATATGCCATGAACGATGTGTTTTAATGTTTTTTTTCAGACCATAGGACACACCAGCCTGAGCAGTTCTGCATACTTTGACCACTTCTCTAGCTGTTCATGTCACTTCTCTTGAGCAGTCAAAAGGCATAGTTCGACCCGGTGCGACATCAGAAAGTGTGAAAAACAGATCTGGCAGTGGGTAAAAGCAGATGGATTTGTCATGATTTGTCCGCAGGGAGGATTTGCACCCAATCTATCGCATTGCTGACGTGGAAAATGAAGTTTGGAACATTTGCAGACCCAGATTTGCGGTGTCGCAGGCAAAATACTACATGCTCAGCATGAACATGCCGGCATCAGTCGGGGACGCCCAGAGGACACAGCTGCAATGTTGTCGCAAGAAATGTATCGTATAGGTGTCGTCAGTACCCTCTTGTTGGAAGAAGAACTGCGGTTTAGTAATTCAAACCAGCAATGGAATATAATGGAATACCGCTATCTTTCAACAAGGTCAATCATGCAGAAACTGGACGGTTTCAATGCCACTTTTTGATAGCAGAGGATAGTTCATGCATTCAATAACTGTTGCAACCGTCATGATAGTTGATTTGTGCAAGGGCATGCATCTCCCAAAGCAACATAACATATGTCCCTGAAAAGGAACCCGGAATCAAAAAAAGCAGGGTGACGTCCCGATTATTGGAACTCACCCCTGGGTGGCGTTCCACTTTTCATTGCATTGTTGTATATATATAAATGTATTATACATATATATATATATATATATATCCCATAGGATCCATGTATGCTATATATGGTAACATGGATCCCATCAATATACCCCCTTTATGTTAGCAAATATACCAGCACCATGGATCCTATGGGATATACATCATAAATCATACCCTCTGGTAAACTAACATAACTATAGAAAATCACCAGTTTTAATGGGAATATCAACTATAGATGACAATTTTCAATAGCTATATGTTAGTTTCCCAGAGGGTACATCATAAATCATATATCAAAATATATCTTTTCTCATTGCAACTGAGGTACTGGATCCCCTCTTGACATGTATTGAAGGCCGGTGCCTGATGTGTTTGGGGCATCACTTCACACCATGGTGTGAGTTAACACTGCGGGCAGTGTGACCCTCGAAACGAAACAATGTGCAGGTCTTTACGTTTCAAAAGCAGCCCTTGAAGATGGCTTTGCCCATAGAAAATGCCTTTTGTCTTTTTGCTGGACATGTGGGTCATGGGAGCGACAGTGCACCAAAATGACCATGTTCATGGATTTGCACATTGATTTTCCATAGTTGTCCAAACCGTGGGAATTTGTTGGTACCCCCTTTGTTCGAGAATCCTAGTGATCCAAGTGCCTGCAGGTAGTCATCAAGGTCCACATATGAACTTTGTGGAGCAGCAGTTTGGGCACCCCAGAGGGCTACCCTGGATCTGCCCAGTGGTTTTTTAAAAGTGGCTAGGGCATACCCTCTGGTATTTTAACGTAGCTATTGGAAATGGCCATTTATAGTTGATTTTCCCATTAAAAATAGTGATTTTCCATAGTTATGTTAGTTTACCAGAGAGTATCTGTTTTTTTGCACAACGAATGCATAACAGATCATAACAGAGTGAACATTGTGGGGGTATGCACATTTTTGTTATGCAAACATACCATGGTGGGATATGGTGGGGGTATGCTACTGCATCATTGTGGGGCGACCACATTCAGAGCTAGTGACCGGTTGAAACAGCGGCGTTGATACCCCAAGGCGGGCAAGGGCATCAGATGAGGTGCACGGGGTGAAGATCACTGGCAGTTGGTGATACGAAGCAAATCACACAGCTGCCCATAATCATATATTGACCACTTGAAACTGAAACTAACTGCGTTGGACAGATAGATTAAATATGCCGATACAAAATGCCTGTATCTACTCCTCCATGATCCCAGGCAGTCAGAAGCTCCCAGCGACCAAAACATTCCCAGCTGGCCAGGATGAGAGCCGCATCGCATGGGTTTGTGACGGTGGCCCCACGGGGGGCAGATGGAGTTGCCCCAAATGTGTTCCCAAGGGGATACCCATGGATACCCTGACCTCAACGAAGATGTGGAACATATATGTGGGGGTACCATGGGGTACCTCAGGAAATGAACTATGAGTGGACCTTTATTGGTTGATCATCTACAGGCTGGTGTTTTCTTGTGAAAATTGCATGTTGTTCTACTTGTACAGCTAGAGGGTAGCCACCTCCACCAATAGTGGGGGTCAAACTTCATACCAAATGTGGAGGTTCATGGACAATTAGCCAACAAATGAACAATATATATATTACATACATATATATATATATGTATATACATACATATATATATATATATGGATCATTTGCAGTCATTTCTCCAATGTTTTGCTGGATGAGTTGGCAGGTGATGATAGTACTGATGCTGAGTCAGAGAGGGTTTGAGAAGCCGTGGCCTGTTTAGTGCGACTCGAATCGACGTTGTTTCTGTTTAGATCTGTTTACTTAATGCTGCAAATGGACTCTCGGACAAAACATGATGCGGAAGCGCGCAAATGTCGCCTGGAGCGTGTTTTTGTGGGGTAATCCATGGAGATCCCCTATTTTTATGGAGGAGGTTTAAAATGGGAAAATCCTCGTTTTTTGCGGTTGCATCCAAGTCCCAAAAACCGAACTGAACACCAGGGGGAAGCATCAGTTTGCCAAGACAAATATGCCAGATTTATCCAGATCCAGTATAACTTGATAGATTGGATAGATATGATGACCATAGATGACCTGTGAGTTTTCCAGAAATTTTCCAGAAAAGTCCATAGGTTTCCATAGCCTAAATGGATAGTCCATGTCACGAAAATGTCATCAATCCATGTAGGAAACACAGCAGCACCTGAAGCCAGTGGAATTGATCGGGGATGGTTTCTGCGCTGCCAAGGTCGATTTCAATGACGGTGACTAGCGGCCTGTCCATGGTGAATCTCTTTATATATAATAATATATACATGTACCTCTGGTTATTTAACATAGCCATGGTATAGATGGCCCATTTATAGATGGTTTACCATGGTTTACCTATTATAAATGGTGATTTTCCATGGCTATGTTAAATAACCAGATGGTATATACATAAATAAATACATAATGGGAATATCTAATGAGGATACAGTGGGATATTGCAGGCATATACATGTTGGAACATTTTGGAGCTATGTATGGGCTCAAGCACATTGTTTGTCTATCACTTTGACTCATGCCAAACACGGCAAATTGTGAAAAATCCCGAGCTGATTTTTTCGCGCCCAAAGAGGTTCAGCAAAAGGCGTGGCGAAGCCAAGCCAAAACGTGGCCGCATAAGTCGTTTGGCTTCATGGCTCTGAAGTATGTTGCTAACACGGTGGCAAAATCTCAATTTGCTGTGTGCATCAACTCTACATCCAACAATTATTTATAACCTGAGGTGTGGTTCCTTTTAGTTTCCCTTCATGGATACCAGCCCCGCTCTTGTGTTCTCTTGAATGAACTTTGTAGCCAAGTCGGTTCACAGGGTTTTTCATGACGCGGAAATCCGCTCCAAATTTCTTGTCCTTCACCAGAATTCAGGGGCTCTCTCTCTCTCTCTCTTCAAAAATGGTGGGTTTTCTATGGTTTTCTATGGTTTTCGGGGGATCCCACACTCAAAAGCCTCGCTTTCCCCGGGTTTCCGGGACCTGCCTTGGAGAAGCCTTCGGGCTTCACTCGCCGGGTTCCCGGGCGCAGGAACCTGCTGCTGGAAATCTACGGCAGATACCGCGCCAACCATGAGGTGAAGTCCAAGGAGGCCCCGCCTTGGTGAATGGAGGTGAGGCTGGCACGAAACCATAGGATGGATGGAAACTGTATGAACATGTTTCTTTAAGCAACAAAAATGGTGATTTATTTAATAGTGAAAAATATACAGTAATATACAGTAATGATGAAAAAATAATGGTGATTTAATAGTGAGTGATATATACAGTATGTAGTGAATGATAGTGAATGATCGTGAATGATAGTGAATGATAGTGATATAAATCGTGATTTATCCAACAATACAGGTGCATAAGACCAAGCATCATCATGGGCCCATGGGGAATTCTGCATTATGTATCCAATGGATATCATATGGCTTTGTCCAAAAGTGGGATTTACCACCAGGAAATTGCTGTTCTTCCAGTAAAACAATGAGGCTGTAAGCCATTTTCAGGTGCCCTATTGTCAGATGAATAAAGCTCATTTCATTCAGTCTCATCTAGTTTTACGCGGGATCCATTGAGCTTTCTGAAGACCTTCTTGGTCATATCATTTCTCCGTTGCTGCATTTTGTTGCCAGTCGCCAGTAGCAACTGGTAGATGTCCAGGTTTTGCTGTGTCTATCTGTTTTTCATAATCTCTCATAACATCACCAGTTTGATTGCATAGTTTATGTCACCCCCCACTAGTGGACTTGAAGTTTGCAGAGTCGCGGAACATCCGAAATCCATGGATCCTGGCGTCATGGGATGTCTGAGCTCAGAAAATGTGTGGTTTCCAAGATTTTCCACTGATATCTGAAGATGTGTTCCCATGCGTTCCCAGGTTTTCCCATGTTTTCCCATCCATCCCAAAAATCGACATCAACCACCACCAGGTGGAGAACCTGGCTCAAGTGCTCCAGCCCTTCACGGAGCATGTGACGGTCGCCGTTTTTTGAACGGCCGCCTTTTTTGATCCACCAGAAATGGCCATCAAAGCATCAGATCTGCGGGATGTTTCTGGATTTTTGGAGGTTGAGTTGAATATACAGACACTTTGACATTGTACATGTGGCTATGCCTCAAAACCCTGGTACCATAGGTACCCTAAAATAGCTGGTTAATGAATGTTTATTCCCCCAATATGGTAATAATAGGTTTTGACCCATCCCCATGTTATGGATATGGAAATATAGCTCAAGTCTTTGGTATCCTAGCTCCAATACGTGGATTCTACAAAGCTTTTTTTCAGCCCAATGAGGGTCAGACGGGAACAGAATTTCAATGTCAGGTGGCCGGCTATGACACAGCCGAAAACTACCTCCCTCCAGAGGAGTTCCCACGTGAGAAGCAGCGGAGCCCAGCTTGGTGTAAAGTGACCAGGGATCGAAGCTGTAATGAGAACTACTGTGGCTAAAACAATAATAAACCATTCCCCAAATCACCATAAGTATAGGTGGTATAAACTATTCCCCAATGGTTAGTTTATTGTTTTGCCCACATTACATCATTTAGATTCATTTCAACTGCTGCGGAATCTTAGATTCAGTTGATTCATTGGGCATCATTGGGCATCATTGGGGTCCAACAAGATCAGCAGAAACAGAGGCATCGCCAGGATATCTCGGACTCTGAGATCCATTGGATTTGATCGCGAAGGGATTGATGTTTCAAGCGGTATCTCTTCAAGGTGTAAAGGGATTCTGGTGTGTGTTTAAACAGCTGTGATCGATTCTGAAGTTCGAGCAGATTTCTAAGATTCTTCATCAGTCATAATCTGGAGATTTGGGTGGTTGCCTGCGTCAAGGTATGCTTCGCACTCAGAGTGGTATTGGATACCCGCATCTTGTCTGCACTAGCTTTTGGACCAGCCCTTCCGAGTCCTGATGGTAGAAAATGCTACCAGCTGGGTAGAAATCCATTGGCAGCTTCCAGCTGATGCTGGGTTCAAGAGGATTGTGACTAAGGTATTTTCTTCAAAAATAACTGCCAATGTCTAAAAGAAACAAAACATGATGAACAAACCAGTAGAACCAGTCCACTTTGATCCTCTAAAATCACGAGGTCGCTGGATCAGCCACCAAGCTTAGCAAGCCAAAGAAGGCGCGGATCCAGGTTCAACAATGATAATCTTGGAATCTTCAGAGGAATTCAGGGCTGATTGGCTGAAGATGAATGACTTTGGTCATCCCAGGTCTATACAATGTAGGCCCCCCCAGGTATAAATTGGTTTACAACCCCCATTAACTATACTAGAGATATCTACAATAAATAAGAGTTAGTAGAGTTATAAAACAAGTTAGCTAAGTATGGGGCACCACCTTGTAGTTGAGCGCAGACTTGTTGAGCTCCAAGAGACGAGACTCTCAACTCTTACCTTTTCAACCGCAGCAGGGCTGACATTAACACATGATGACAGACTGGTTGGTGGTTTGGAACATGTCTTATTTTCCAAAATATATGGAATAATCCTTCCCATTATCCATTGACTAATATGTTTCAAGATGGTTAAAACCACCAACCAGCAGATGTATAGGCTTGCTGCCAATTCTAGGCATGTCTAAGTACCCCAAGTAGTTAACGCATATCATTAGCGCAGACTTTGCCTATGTGCTACATATGCATGTTCATGCATTCAGAAACTGACAGGACTTCACGCGGACTTCGTTCTAAACCCAACAAGATCAGGGATTGTATCACAGACACACCAAAGAAAACGCATGCTTGTCATGCTTATAATTATAATACCTACAATGTCCTATTCGTACAATATAATATACGCACTATATATCATCATATTATGTATATATATATATATACACACATCATCTTATATTATCTTATAATATATATATATATATAATAACATATATACATATATTATGTATATGTATACGTGGTTTGTTCTATATATATATATATCATGTGATTTTGGTTGCGTATATTATGTATTTGTATCTATGGAATTCTGAACAGCCATACAGCCATCATTTTCCCAGCATGTCCCTCTGAACAGGATGCCTCCATGAAGAAGGTGCTGCAGTTTCTCACTTCCCATGCACCGGAGCTGCAGCCGGGAGACTCGGCCCGGGGGATCCAAGGGGGTTCGGTCAGTAGCCACCGTAGCCATTGAGATGGGATGTTAGAATTGATGGGAACTATCGATGTTTGTGTGGTCGTGATGGTTGTTGATGATGTTTGCATGTTTGTGACTGTTGATAGAGTTGACAAGACATGAGATTTCTGGCTTGAAATAGTGCAAGTAAGTGTTTAACCCCATTCCATTCTGGAACAGACGAAAGCTCATAAACGGAATCGCCACCATCGTCATCGTCATCTTCAAAGGGGCGTTATTATCACCATTCTCCTCATCACGATCACTATCACCGTATTATTATTATCATTATTAATTATTATTGTTGTTATTCATAATATTCATCACTTCTATTGTTTTCTCATGTGTTAATTTGTTCATCTATATGGTATCTATCATCATCTGCTCAGCAGAAGTGACATCATTGATATCAGAAACTTCCTAGTGGGGGCATTGACTCCAGTGACTTGTAAGCGCTTGAAATTTTCATCCCACAGGTTGTCAGTGCCGGAGCTGTTTGCGAAGTGGGAGGCTGCCATGAAGGACTTCCGTTCTGTGGGGATTGGCCAAGACATAATGGGAACCATTTTTGTTTGGGGGGAGGGTGGTTTCACCAACACGGATGATGATCAATCCAACCAAAAAAAAATGGGATCAAGCGGGATGATAACCAGCTACATTGGGACTACAAGGCCCAACATATCGGGATGTTGAAGTCGGAAGATGGTCAAACTCTGGTTTGAAGGCGTGAATTTGGATCCATGCCTAAAGTTCAATCCAAGAAGAATTCCGCGGGATCCAAACGGGTGTAAAGGTTGTAGCCGGAAAATCTGGAAAATCTTGATGCAGAGGGGCAAGGGCCCGAGAGTTTGACTGTAGACAGGTATTGTTGAGATACGTGGTACCTTTCACCAAGGAATGGACACAGACGTTGTTTATTCATGTTTATTCCGCTACTTTGCAGAGTCGATGTCACATTCCAATCTTACATTTTGACCTATGTTTTTTTAATATTGAATTACAATGAATTACATTTCACATCATGTCACTATAGATTGGATCGCAAAAAAAATCACAGAGCGTTGTCACATCATTTGCCTTAACACATGATGGACTCAGTCTAAATTTGACTGAAAATCCCTCAACACTGAGAGGTGCAGATGTTCTGCGCAGGAGAACCCGCCGCCCGAAACAGAGACAGGAGGAGGTTCACGGAGCGAAACCAGCTCGGGTGGGCATTGTTGGACACGAATTTCTTGTAAGAACTGCTTGAATAATATGAACTGAGTAATATTTTGCAATATCTACTAAACTTACATATTATATACTTGATCTTACATCACATATTATATCAAATGCGAAATAAGCAGAAGTGGGAACAGATAGTGTGATTCACAGCGGCAGTGCGGTATCATTGTGGATTTGTTCCAGTTGCACACTTCGATATTAAGGCCATTTGGCACACGCTGTGAATGGCAGGAAATTCAATATCAAACAACAATGATAATCATAAACATCCAAACATGATGCTAATATCAGTACCAACAACAATGATGTTTTAATATGATAATCATAGTCATATTAATATAGTATAATTATGATTAATAATATTAATACTATATAATTACAATTGTAGTGATGATAATAAGACATCTGTCAATTGCTGGACAGAACAATGGAATGTTTCCAAAGTTCACCAAGCCGGGTACCTCCCTTCGGTATCTCAGGTACCTTCGATGTGTGGCATCTCAGATGGCTTTCGCATAGAAATTCATGAGAACTGGGCCGCAGGTTGATACTCTCCTTTCCATCGATTTGGACGTGCATTGCCAAAAAAAGTTGCACCAACTTGGACATGCATGTAGAAAATCATCCAAGTGTTTTGAGATTGTGTTCCCCCCTTTTTTGACATCGGAAACGATGTGTTCTTTTTGCAATCGCTCTAACCCAGCGAAAAAAGGCGGTCTCAGCGGTCCCCGATGCGCCCAGGATGGGTTTATTCGTGATGCCACTCCCCCGGGCTTGGAGGATTTTGAGGCCCAAGTCCTGTGGTGTAGTCAGGAACCAGGACTTCCATGAATGTTCACCATTATGATCCATCGTCGCTTATAAATATATGTGTATTATATATATATATTAATATTAATATTATTATTATTATCATTATTATTATTATTACTATTTTATATATATATATATATGAGGCACGGTCAAAATGGTTGAAGACCACTTTAGTATTGCCGGAGTTTTTTGTGAGAGATATGCACGAAACACTGTAAAGCGATAGGGGCCCCCAAAAGCGATAACCCGGGACCATACACGACAGTCCATTAAACTTGGCGTAACCCAAGCAAATACTGTTGCGCCCATTCACAGAATTGACAAAACCGATGAGGGAAATTCAACCTGTGGTGCCCTGTTTCCTGCAGTTACCATATCATTTGGCATCCAACTCGCTCTCTCTCTCTCTCTCTCTCACTCTTTCGTTTTTGTGGCAGATTTCCTTCGAACAATGTCATATGTTGGAGGGGTTATTTAGCGATAAACTTGGCGATAACTTAGCGATAACCATTTGTTGCACTCGGTCCCCTGGCCAAGCCATAGAGCCATTTCCATAACTTTAGAAAGGAAATCAAAGGACATTGATGCAAAATGAAAGGAACATGCATGTAAATGAAAAGATGAAAGGACATGAATGCACATTGGAATGAAAATGAAAGGAATATGAAAGGACAAGGAAGGGACATGAATGAATACAAATGAAAGGAGAATGAAAGGAAAATGAAAGGAAATGAATGCAAAATGAAAGGAAGATGCACATGAAAACCAAAATGAAGGAAGATGCATGCAAATTAATGCAACATTAAAGGAACATGAAGTGTTGCCGAAGCACCTGAAACCAACAAAACAACTCCTCGATCTATTTCCGAGCCTGTTTATGAATGGATTTTGGCTTCATGTTGGATCTCGAATATGCTGATTTCCACAAAACCCTGGAAAGCGATAGGGCCCCCCAAAAGCGATAACCATACCAATAGCAACTACTCAGATGTTTAGTGGATTTTGACGGGAGCTCCTTTAATTATATATATAATGTATGTGTGCATGCATGTATTTATATATATATACTGTATATATAGAGATACACTGATACCAATCATGATCAGTGCCATTGCCATCACTGCTTTTCTCGTTTGAAGGCGGAGGCGGCGAGTTCGCCAAAGGATGACCTGTGATGGATGGATCAGCCATGACTGGAAATGGTAATCATACCACCTATAAACATGGTGATGATAATTGGGGATTGTTTATGATTGCTTTATGTCACAAAAAAGTGAATCCTTTAGATTGTCAGGGCTTAAACCATGCTGAGTTCCATCCTGATCTGTTCATGTGGCGAATGCGTGCTACCAAGTGTGTTCGTGTGCAACTTACATGAAATCCTGTTGCAGCTCTGTTTTGGGGTGGTGGCAGCACACGACACTTCAACTTGGTTTCAAGCTTTTGCCTTGGTAGTCGGAACACGTTGAAGAATTTTTGTTAGAAGGCCTTAGCCGTTGCAGCACCGCTGCGTTTCAAGCACCCTCTCAGCGGTGTCTTTGGAGACTCAACTGGTGTGCTTTGTTGCCCAGAAGATTTGAAAGACATGGCGGAGCCAGGAGATTCTTGGGTATGCAAGTGGGACAATACCAAAAAGCAACAAGTTTGACTTCTTTGCCCAACATTAATTGCGGCCATTCTTCAGCTTTGTCAAAGATGTTGGGATTGACTGGCTGAAACACTCATGTCTCATTCTTGGTTTTATTGTGCCTTTACTGACAGTTCTGGATTCTGGCATGGGTGACTCAAACACAAACCACTTCTAAGCCTCGGACTGATTGTCCCTGCACCGCACTGATTCGTGAGCGACGGCAACCGCTGTGTTTTGATCAAGCAGGAAGGAAACCTGGAGACATGACGGAACCCTTTTTTTACCATGGTGAATGGTGGGCCAACTTTTGCTGATGCTATAAGTATCTTCAAATAGGTCATATATGATCATATATGTAGTTGATGATGAGAATGATACACGGCTTAAAGCCAACTTTTTGAAGGGCATTTAAGGTCAGCAATGAGATATGTCAATGGTTTCACCCAACTTACAGTTTCCCAAAGACTTCGGAGACTGTGTTGATCGCTCTGCAGTTTAGCATGTCTGTTTATGTTTTCAATATTTTTTCATAGAATCGGTTTCGGAAACTTTTGGAGCCCTCAAACAAAAAAAACACCTCCAAACACAGCTGGGTGCTTCCCAAAATTTCCAGTCACAAATGCCGCAGCTTCGACTGGTGGTCACGGGTGACACCAACAGTGCTTCAGATGGAGATCCCTGGGGTGTGAACATACGAAAGATGTGGAAAAACCATGGGAAACCCTAGGGAAACCCTAGGGGTTACATGATCCGAAAATGCTTGGTTTTCCAGACCGAACTGTTAGTCTACAGGAGGTACGTGTTGGCTTTTTCATGTTTTCTGAATGTACCGTCCAACCATACAATGATGAGTCTATATTCTATATATGTGTGTTTTTTGTTGAACAATTCTAAATCAAGCGGAATTGTAAGATATTTCTTTGACGATGATGGGTTTTTTTATGTAGTTGGGATATTTGGGGATTATGTTTTTTTCTGGACAAAGCGTGTGTCTGAAAATGGTGGAGTTCCCTCTGGTTTGATCAGGATTCACCAGTGGATGAGGAGTGGACAAAGCTGGAGCCATCCGAATATTATCTGCTTGGTGGTTTGGAACATGGCTTTTATATTTTCCATATATTGGGAATAGTAATCCCAGCTGACTCATATGTTTCATAGGGGCTGAAACCACCAACCAGTTATGATGTTTGAGACATTTTGAGACTATTGGGACCGGCCTATTGGGGATGAGTGGGGCTACTCCCCAGTAGACTCCACAAGCCTTATTTCAGGTGAATTAGTGAGACTGGCCAGTATGATTGGATTGGTTTAAGGGAAAATTTACAGGAAACCACAGACGATTTTCCCATTAAATATGGGGCTTTCCTGTAGATTTTCCCTTAAACCAATCCATTGACAGTAGCTTCAATGAGGCCATTGTTGCTCTTTCTGGGAGAAGAGTTGTTTCTTTTCCCGGAGTTTGACAAGATTTCTTGACCCAGTGGAGACCGAATATGACAATACCAAGAATATACGATAATTCAAGCATAGTAATTATAATTATTATTATACGTATATATATATTATATTTAAATATATTATATTATATTTTATTTTATTTTATTATACTATATTATATATATATTATATACACACAATTTAAGCCTGTGTGTCAAGATGTGGGATACTACGAAGCTCTTTGTGTTTCGTTGCTCCCTCCCTGGTGTTTCCCATGGACAACGGTGATGCCATGGCCGTGATGCCCTCAGGTGGTAAGTCCACCTTGACCAACGCGGTCATCGGCCGGGCTCTCGGGGCAACATAGATATTTCATCGCTGCGCTGAAATTGGCATCTATTACAATGTGGGGCCCCCCAGTGATGTTTGTTGGTTTATAAACCCCATTAACTATAGTTATTTGCGTACCATAAACCATAGTGAAATTGGAGTTATAAACCAACTTAGCTATCTTGAGGGCCCCACATTGTAGCAATGATCCCTATATATAATATATGTAAGATATATATATAATGATATATATATATTTAAAATTTAACATATACAAGTGTGTGTATGTGCATATATATATATATAATTATATATGTAATATGTAATATTAATATGTAATATGCTTGAGAGGGTTTGACCCATCCCCAATTCAATCATGTGAATTGTTTAAGCTTAATATTTTGCAGATTCCTTTTGTTTGGTGAATGAACCTGGCAATGAACAGCTGGTTTTCAGGATGATGTTTTTAGATGTGCAAAAGGGTTTACCTGAACGCACTGAAACTACTTGGGATCAGCTTTGTCCAAGAAGATTATATCTGAACTATCACCAGAGTCCACAACTTTGATGAGGATCTTCCATGTTCAGTGAGTCGTTCAATGTCTTTTTGGTTTACCCTCTGGTGAACTAACATAGCAATGGAGAATCACCATTTTTAATGGGAAAATCCACTATAAATGGCCATTTTCAATTGCTATGTTAGTTCACCAGAGGGTAGTGGATCCAAAAATTGATTTAAGCAAATAAAGATTGTTTGTTAGTTACATTTGCTTTCGAGGACCTGCAGTCTTCCAAACCAGTGTGTAATTTTGCATGGTAAATGCTTCACTTGATCAGCCTCACATTTTTCAATGGAAGGCTCAAATCCCAGATCCTCATCTGTTCTATGATAAGCAAGCATCCCACATATTTATCTTATAACCCATAGGATCCATGGTGCTGGTATATATGCTAACATGACTGGGGTATATTGATGGGATCCATGTTACCATATATATATATAGCATACATGGATCCGTCATGGGTAATATCCAACAGCCGTAACAGCCATAACAGCCATAACAGATATCCGGTGCTTACCCCGAGGGCGAGAGTTGCTGCCCACATCTTCCCAGAGTGAGACGCGCGGCCAATATGTTGGTCGTGGTTATTTTGGGCCTTGCCCTTTGGTAAACCACAAAAAAGCCTTGGAAAATCCAACTTACCTATGGAAAATCACCATTTTAATAGGCAAATATATAGGTGAGTAATCTATAAATGGGCAATTTTCTATACTATGTTAGATTACTAGAGGGTACATGTTTGGAATCTGCTTGATCACGCGATGAAGATGTAAGAAGGGCTTTCAGTCAGCACTGAGTTCACAATAAGACAATATCTGTTGTTCTAAAAAAAACTGGAGGTAAGAACCATCGCAGACCCAATCCATCTGTGCTGACATAGATGTCCAGGGTCATGGCAATTACTGTCAGGACTTGCATTGAAAGTCAGTACTTACATATGTCCTGAATTTTACTGCTTATGTTGTATCACTGCAAAAAAACAAACTGAAATCACTGGTTGGGTTTTTGGGGTACGTTTCTTTGAAGAAACGCCATGAAACAACTATCCGTTGGTTAGAAGGGAGCGATTCGGAGCCATGGCTATCCATATTCCTTATGGAGAGCCAGTTGGAGCTACAATGTGGGGCCCCCCAGTTATAAGTTGGTTTATAAACCCCATTAACTATAGTTATAAGTACCATAAACCATAGTTATTGGAGTTATAAACCAACTTAGCTATCTTGGGGGCCCCACATTGTACAAATATAGAGTTTCCCAACCACATCGACAACCATATCACTGGGATGTCGACAGTTGCACGGCGAGGCCCCCTTAAATAGCTTAGTTGACGAAAAAAACAACTTCTAACTTGGTTAACTCATAGTTAACTCTGGTTTATGGGGGATATAACATGATATAACATGATATAACTCATAGTTACTGGGCTGAAAGACACCAACTTAAAAACCAACTTACAACTACTACGGGCCCCCCCCGTAGATGAACCACTCAGCCAATCTTGGGATCATCCTGGCGTTTTGGGCCCAAGCGCGCGGTGGGTGTTCCTTCGCGCTGTCGCCACAATGAAGGGAATCTGCGTCCGCAGGGCGGGAGCCTTAAATGTGCATCCCAGCTGTGAAGTTGTAGATCTACAACAGATTCGGGCGAAGTTGTATAATTATGAGATATACCCTCTGGTAATTTAACATAGCTATTGAAAATCACCATTTTTCATGGGAAAATCCACTATTAATGGTCATTTTCAATAGCTATTTTGACATAACCAGAGGGTAATGAGATGTACCCCAATGATGTGATAGAAATTTTCGTATTATTCATAATATATGGGATGCATCCCCATAATCCTGGGATCCGAAATGAATCCTATCGACGGGGATTTTTCCGGGTTGATATGGTCCATTGCAGGATTGCTCGCACCTTTCTCTAGAGGTCTGAGCGAGAAGGGAGAGTCAATCTGAAGTTGCCGGCATGCTTCCCTCAGGTCAGTGTGATGTTCGCCACTTCCTTTCTGCTGCTATTCTCCAACTGCCAAGCAGTTGGGAACTTGGAGGGTTCTTTGCCATGGACATCGCTCCCCTTAGATATGATGATTCATAAAAAAAACTGATCAAACACCGGCCTACTTGACATAACATTTTCAGCCATACCAAGAGGATCCGATAAAACTTAACACGAAGCAGCTGTAGGTTTCGCAGCATGTCCGGAAGAATTTCGCAGTAAAGTCATGTCCAGAAGCTTGAACCTACAGTGTTTCTGTGCGGTTCACAAGTTGAACTGCGCATGTATAGAAATCCGCACAAAATTTTGTTTGTCCTCTACATTTCTGTGGACATGTACAAACAGCTCTGCAGTCACACAGTTGTAAAGCACAGCAGAATACAGTAGCTTCGGTAGAAACAGTATCCTGTCCTGTCTCAACATGTTTTTCTCCTCATCTTGGCGTTGGGGTCCTGACCGTCCACATCTCTACTTCGGACCTTTGTCCCACAAATGGCAGGTATAGTTGGTGGTTCTTGTCGAGTAAGCCGCCAAAGGATTGCGATGCCATCCTCCAAACAACTCGCAGAAACCCATCAGAACCCCAAAATGACCAGTTCCACGACCTAGTCACAGCTACTCAGGTGGTGTTGCAGGGCAGAGTAGAGCAGCCTCAGACGCAACCCGGCCGAGTTTGGCGAATGTCGCACAGAATTGCTGTGATCTATATTTTAATATGCACATCCCTATAAAAAATCAAAGTTTTAGATGGGAAAATCAAGTTTTATTTTTTAGTAGAGACACCCATTCAACTTGGTTAGTTACTTGATGTGACTTGCTTTTGAATGTTTTTCCAACGATCTTTTGATATTCGATATACCTCACCACCTATTTCATGAAGATTGAAGCAATAGTCTAAAAAGCATATATTTTTGCGACGGAAATCCAGTCCGTCCAAGTGGAGTTTTGATCCATAACCACATCAAAATCAGGTTTTGTATGGTTTTGTTAGTTATTTAAGGCTAATATATGGTAAACCCAATACCATAAACCATCCTCAAGTTTTTTAGGTTTATAAAGTTGGGTACACCCCTAGACCTCCATTGCACAACTGATCCGTGATGTGCAAGATGTTTCTGTTTCAACTATATATATATATAGTTGGCTTAATCCCAAGTGCTGACTTTCATAGTTAGTTTATTTGTCTCACACCCTTGCTTTCCCGGATATCTGGCCACCCGTAGGCATTTCTATGCGGACCGTGTTGCCTAATTGTGATTGACCGTGTTCAGAAAGAGCAGACATGTTGTTGATGAACTCTCCATGATCAAAATTCATGTGCATATTGCCCCCGGTCGCAATTTCATGTGGCGACAATCCAAGCTGAATTTCCTGTAGGAAATGGGGATTGTCTAGTGTCATGGTTGAGACATGTTCATACCGACCTCTGACCCGACTGTAAACCTGCAGATGGTGGCTACAGTATAGGGTGAACCATCCAAAAAATATCTAGAAAGATTAACAAGCAGTATAGTTTTCTGAGTTTGGCACTTATGTAGGACTATCTTAGAATGTTTGGAATTATGATAGTTTGCCCAGACCTTGGGTGGTTTCTTCATCTGCATCCAGTTGGTTTCCAGCTTCTAGATCCATGGCAGGCTGAAGTTGCACCAACTTCCAGTTGTTGACAAGGCGAAGTGGCGACTTGCGGGGGACCGTTTTTTTTTGGGTTGATTTTGGTAAGTGATCAAATCTGATCGTTCTTAGTTGATGTTCTTTTTTTGGTAGGCATGTCTTGTCCTTCTTGACGAGGGACTTGAATTCAGAGATGAACAAGGGCTCTAACTTGGGAGGGCATGTAACGGGCAGATTGCACATGCAAGAATGGAGACTGGAAGTTGTGAATGATGGTTTTGCAAGAACTGTTTTGGTGAGCTTAGGATGAGTTTTGCTGAGGGGGTTTTCATGTGTCTCTGTAGCGGGTCTTGATGTTTTAAATTCATGCAGGGTCTGAGAAGTGTGTTTTGCGATGGCAACTCCATGTACAGATCAGTTGTAGCAACGGAAGTCGGAGTCCCTGCAGCTGTGAGGCTTGCCCGCACTGCTGCTACCACGGTGAGAAGGAAGTATCTTGGATGTTGAGCATGGCTGCCTGGATCTTGCTGATGGTTTGCAACAAAAATATGATGTGTTTTTTCAGTTTCCAACCAGCCCTCCATTTGTGGAATGGTTGTCCCTGATTCACTCATGACTTGGAATGGATTGAAGCCTCCAAGCAGAAACGGATGCTTGTTTACTGTATGTATGTTGGAGGCAGATGTAGATAGTGAACGGGGAGCTTCCGGCACCCTTTGCAAGCATGGCATGGAGTACTGCAGTACACCGTCAAGATGGAAACACGTGTATATAAGGCACAGGTTCAGACCCAGAACTCTCACAGGTCTTGGATGCTATCGCCCGTTTTTTGTAGTACATTTTGCGGCAAGTTTGGTAATTTCCAAGTTTCACCTGTACCCTGTTCCCGTTTGGCCTAGGTTCCATGTTTGGATGTGGAGCAATGTGCCAAGAATGGCCCTGCTCATGGAAAGTTACTTGGACATGGGAGGCGGCGGGCTTCGTGGACAGGACGCGTCCCCCAGAAATGTGGGTAGGTGGATATCCCCCTGGTGATGGAATTCACATAACACGACTAAAGCATATTTAGTCTGATTAATGCTATAGATTTGATGGTTCTTACTTCTGATAGTGTTAAAACTGACTTCTTCTTTACACTTTCTATTCAATGTCTCTTCATAAGTTTTATAACTTAACTGATTACACACTTTATGCTTTACTACTCCTTTACTCTTCTTATGTTCTTTATCGTCACCATATACTTTATAGCAATATGCCTTTGGTTTCAATCCTATAAAGTGAGTAATGATTTTACCGTTCATTTCATCCTTGAATTTTCCTAATACCTTCTTGTTTGTTTTATCATAGTTTGGATGCTCTGGTGGATAATCGCTAAAATCCATATATTCATTTATTTCTTTAAAATCTTCATATAAATCATCAGTCTCAACTTTAATTACATAACTATCAGTATCAGTATATACCAACTTAATATTATCTTTATATTTTGGTTTCATTACATCATAATAAAACGAATACATATGAATTTTAGAATAGTCTAAAATAGACATACCCATATAAATTGGTTTATTCAATTCTACTGTGTGCTTATCCTTTTCAACAATTACAAGGTCTTCATGTATTATATGCCTATGTTTATATAATGGTTTATTAACCAGTTTTTGGAAGTGTTCAGGTGTATTAACTATTTCATAATCACCATGTTTTCTTACATTCTCCATGGTCTTACCATATACTGAGTTATTCATTAGCTTAAACAAATCCTTTTCAACATCATTTTTAGCATTCTTTCTTTTTTCAGTGCTGAATTCAATGAATGGTTTTAAGAAGTTTGCTTGTTTAAAACTTACTACTCTATGAACTTTTCTTAATGATAATCCATGTTGTAAATAGAACTTTAATTCCGATATATGTAAAACATATTTATGTTTATCCATTACATTTAATACTAACTTATTTGTTTTTTCATCACTGGCATCTTTTCCATAATAATATTTATGTATATCTTTTTGGACTTGTGAAAGCATATTCTCATTAATACTCATGATTTCAGGTGCTAATGGATAGTCTTTATGTAAATCATGTAGTTCCTTTGGATAATCTAAATCAACTTCTAATATATCTCCTGTGTCATCATCATCATTATATTTTAATACTCTCTTTTCATCCATCCTACCGTAATGCCATTTAGAATCATCATAAGGCAGTTTTTTACACATTGCTAATCCATAAAGATTATTAGCATCTAAATAACTTATATATGATGATGGTTTAGATTTATCATAATCTTCATTCATGTATTTATTGTTTGCTTCTACTTTCTTATACGAGCATTGCGTCATGCCTCCTCTTAAACCGTTTTCAATCATCTCATACATTTCCTTTATATGAATTTGTTGAAGTCTAACTCCTGTCAGCGATAAAAAGGCATTCCAAGAATAATTGGGTAGAGTTATATAATATGCTGGGTCTAATCCATAATAGTTTAAACACATATCCCTAAAATTTTCAAATACATCAGTTAATAAATATACATCAGTCATCAAGTATAAGTCATGATATTCACCAAGATTTTTTATGTTAAAATGGTTCCATTGACTGTAAAAATCGTCTTTCTTTGGTAGTTTTGTTTCATTGAATTTATCAAATGAATTCATATAGTCATATGGATATACTCCCTTATCAGTTAGTAAATTTAAATCAGTTTTAGATTTAATGTATGGGTTGGTGCTTGTATATCTGAAATGAGTTTCCCAGTCTTTAATCTTTTCATTTCCTTCATACTTATTTAATCTAACTAATTTATCTAACGATGCTGATAAGAAAGCAAAACTGTCTTTAAACTGACAAGAACCAAATGAAAAGGTTATAAACTTTTCGCTGTTTTGTGCTATTACATCTATTGTTTAAAAATTTTGGTTAAGTTCTATGTTTAGTTCATTTGCTTTTGCTATGATTAAGTGAGCGTCATAATGTTTAAGGTTATGAAAGAAAATAGGAATTTTAAAATACCTAAATGAATAATCTAAATTACATTTAACATGTGCCGCGCCTCTGTATTTGCCTGTGAAGTGGCAGTGGTCGCGAACTTTTTCATCGTCAGGTTCAAATTTCTTACCACAGATTGAACAATTAGATGCTAATTTAAACTCTATTTTTTGTTCGTTTGTTAAGTCATCCATTGGTTTATTAACATTCATTTTTTCAAACATATCATTCCTAATTTCAGTCAGTTTTTCTACAAACTGCTTCATACAATCCTCACCTCTGTATAAATACGGTTGGCATGTATTATCAATCCTGCTTACTACATTTAACATATATCCGCAAGGTTTATGTTCCTGATAAGTGCCTTTTATTCCATTGTTAGAATTAGTTGTTAAGCATTCAAAATCACCATAGATTACAAAAGGGCAAGTCAATTTAGTATTATGCTTTTCAAATTCTATATAACTATCTTTATCAGGCATTTTTGTTTGCTGTCCTTCTGATGCCATACATCCTTTTTCAAGATGCTTCTTATATACCTTTTCTGATTGAAATGGATTTAAGCAATGGTGGCAGTAGTGTTTTTTTTTGTATTAGCGTTGCTTTGGCAGTTAAGTAACCTGCTTTTATTTTTTACTAAGACATAATTATTATTTTCATCATAGATTTTTAATAAATCAATTTCGTATTTAGAATTTCTATTTTTAGTGCCTCTGTGTAATATAATTTTATTATCATTTAAGCAGTCATCAGTTTCAAAAACATTTATTGAAACTGATTTATTGTTCTCTTCAAATCGGTCAATGTCTTTATTTCCTGTTGGAAAATTTACACCATCCCATTTCAAAATGTCATCATTGAGTTTATTGTAGTGGAACATTTCTTCTGGATGATGTTTGCTTATTTGCTTATTTTATCAAAGACTACTGCTTGAATACAATATTTAAAACATTTTTGGTCTTTATTTTTAATGTTGATACATGCCTTTTTTAGTTTAATCCAGTCAGGTAATTCAATATGTCTCCCTGCTCTTGTTGGGTCATATTTGTCATAGTGAATTGTTATTGATAAAATCTTCTTGAAGATTAAATTAGATGCTGATGCTTCTAAATTTTGTATTTGTAATAAGATTTGTTTAACGCTGTCTTCTAATGCTTGTGTCAGTTCATCTTCATTACTGATATTGAAGCGAGTAGATGGTAAAGCATATACAAGTTCCTCAGTTCCAATTTCATTTCCTCCGTCGTCATATTTAGGTTCTTCAAATAATGCTTCCGTTCTTATGTTAAGTTTCATGCTTCTATTTGCTCGTAAAAATTCTAATAGTCTTGCTTTTTGGTGAGCAATCATTTCCAATCCTCGTTCTCCTTCATAGTGTTTGTTTTCTAAAACTATTGAAGTAGCATATCTTCTAAAAGCAGACTGAATATCCCTGACACGAAATTTGTTTCTTATAGCATGTTTAGTTAATAATTGTTTTACTCTTCCTTCGTTTAATTTATCTTTTGCCTTGTTTAAAGCATAACTCCTGTATTCATTGGTTTTCTTTACTGTTAATAATTTATTCGTTAAAACATTGGATATGGGTTTATCTTTATTGTATCTAATTTTTTGTTGTCTATAATTATTGACTTTAATTCGGTTCTTCCTCTTTTCGGTATTTCTGCTAAATCATTATTCAATAGATAGTCGATAACTTTTTAAATCATATAATAGTATATATTTTATTTAGTTAATTTATCTGTAAGTAGTTTTTTAAAGAATGTATTTTTTAATCTTTGAATATATACTTAAAGAAATAATATTTAAGTATATTTAATAAGATGAATTGTGTGAAGGATTTACCTGTTGATGTGCTGAGTAAGATTGCTTCTTATAAAATAGGAGACCCTAAATATTTGAAAATTAAATATTGCCATATTGAGGCATTAAAGAGAATACAAAACAAATATAAGATTTCAAGACTTGGTCCTAAAATAACAAGGCATTTGAAATCAAAAAAAAATATATAATTGAATACTATATTATGAGAGAGGGAGTGCCATTTAGTTTAAAAAGTATAAAAGACATAATAACAGAAGAAGAAGAAGAACTATTATCTTCAATTTATGATGAAGTAGAAGAAGATTTAAATTATAGAGTTAAACTTGATATTGAAGTTCATTTAGTGGCACAACTCCCAGAAAAGGAATATGGAGAAAATGAATTTAGTTATAGAGATATATATTTTATGAATGACTTTGAAGAATATGTAGATGAAGATAATATAGATGGAATATTAGAGAGAGCAGTTGTAGAAATACAGGAAGATATAGATGAAGACCGAGATAAAGATAGTATTATAGGAATACATGCATTTTATTTTAAATTAGCAATTATTGAAGGCATTTACTCAACATAATTCTAATAAAAATGATTATTAGATTTATGGATTATTTTAGAGGTTAAGGGTTTAGTCTTTATTACTGTTCTTTGTATTGTTTGTTGCTTAGGGGTGTTTGTTTTTTGTTTGGAATGGATGAGGTAATGATGTGATTTTATATGAATAAAATGAAAAATCTGAATACATGTTTAAGAAAATGAATGTTTTAAGATATATGGAAGATAAAACCTGTAAAACTTGTGAAAGAACTCTGGACATTGATAATTTTGATGAAGGGTTAAAAACTTGTAAAATGTGCTTATCAGATAAAAGAAACAGTTATAACAAACATAAACATAAACGAAATGAGGTTCAAAGAAAAAGATATGAAGAAAATGAGGATTATAGAAAAATGAAGCAGGACTACAATAAATCCGATAAATCATTTCAATCTAAAATTGTTAGTTGTTCTGTTTGTAATTGTTCAATGACCCAAGCAAATTACTATAAACATAAGAAAACAGAGAAGCATAAAAGAAAATTAGAAAAGGTCAGTAGTTAGGATTTGTTTAAAAATGAATGAGGTAATTATGTATTGACTGTTATGATTTTAGAAAAATGAAAGAGGTAATTAATGGTTAGTAGTTATGATTTTTAAAAAATGAAAGAGGTTATTATGTTTTGATATTGTTGAGAGAAAATGAAGCAATCAACAATATTTAAACTGACTTTTAGACTGTTATGCTTTTTCTATGAATAATTTTTGAGTTGTTATACTGTTAGAATATGAGATGTGAAAACTTCGCTCAATCAACCTTTTATACATTTTTTGGGTGGCTCCGCTGAGGTATGCCATTGCCATGTCCTTCGTGGGTCGGCCGAAAGATCAGATGCTGCCCTACATCAAATCGATGCAGGCCGCCTCGAAGTTGGCCAACAATGCCGACCTGCTGATGGTGATGATGAAATCCGACAGCAAACATATGACAGCAACTTGGCCTGAAATCGAAACGTGGAAAGCCGGCAGAAAATCGAAGTGATCATCACGCCGGAGATATAACGATATACTGTATGCATATATATATATATATACGGTAACGACATTTAAATATGTGGAGGGCGGGCCAGACCGCGAGGCCCCGGAGGTAGTATGAAATACCAGTTCGTATATTTAAATGTAGTTACCGTATGTTTAAATGAATTGGATTCCGTATGTTTAAATGGCCGGGCGGGCCAAGGAAAACTTCCCCGGGGGTAGTCTAAAATATATGTTCGTATATTTAAAAGTCCGTATATTTAAATGTAGTTACCGTATAAATATATATATATATATATATACGTATCACATCACATGTGTTTGCAGATCTATGCAAATTCCATATGTCTGTATGCAGGGACAGATTGAATTTATAGAGATATGATGAGACATGTAGATTTCAAATATTGATCTATAGTCATCTTATTTATTCTTATTTACTGGTGGGATTTGCAGTGGATCTCCAAGGGACCGTGGGTTTGCATGGTTTGCCCGATTGCCCAGGCATATCAGAAGGAACTCTTTCAGAACCATAGCGTGAAGTTGGTGGATGTGGACTGGGATACGCCTCCGAAGATGAAGGGCTACAAGGAGACTAGGGCTATAGGAATATAGCAGTATATATATATAGGTGTTTAAACAAAATTAAGAAGCACACCAGGTAGCTTACACACTGGAGTGGATTGCCATACCAAAAATCGAGCAGCACTAAGAACAGCTCAGAGGTTTTGGATTCGTTGGGTTTGTTCACACTCTGATAGCCAGAGACTTTGCCGCTTCTGAACCTCGCTGTAACAGCACCTCGGATGAATCTGATGCAAGGAACATCTTCCTGAGATGTCTTTGTTTATTTAGTAACCCTTTCACTCACTGGACCTTGATGCCTTCTCCCATGGAGGGTGCCATTCCGGCCAACCAGGAGGGAGGTTGGTGTGGTCATCAAGATTTCATCCGACTGCATGTTCTTGGCATGGAGGGTTTCTCGCCCTTCCTTTTTGCAGTGACAAATGGGGTGTAGAAGAACTTGTGACTGGTTTTTTTCGGGCGAGGATTGACTCATGTTTGATTTGGCCATTTTGGTACAGTACTATAAGCTTCAAGTTTTGGCAGACATTTTGCTGATGTTTGGCAGAGACTTTGCAGTTTTGGCAGTCTGTTTGGCTAAAATTAAAAGAAACCTGCTGTGGTTCCCGATGAGCCTACAACATTTACTTTAGTGGTAGAAAGCAGGTCCGTAGTTTACACGTGATATACCTTCAACAGGTCTCCATGGCTCTAAGTTGGCTTCTCCAATTTGGACATTAGCTCATTAGCATGAAATGCTGCACTACGGCACTACATTGCCTTGATGAACATGGGTTGATGTTGATCGGCGTGTCGATTCTACCAGTTTTCCACCATCACCAGGTGCAGCTGGGGTTGCCCTCAAGGTAATGTTGGTTCCTGATTAGTGTGAGGCCCCCCCCCCAGCCCCCTCTAAACAATATCTGGACTCTCTTTAAAGTGGAAAGTTAAAAATTTTCTTCCCAAGAGAAAAACAAATCCTTACTTAAGTAAGGATTTCAATTGGCTACAATTGAAATCTAATTAAAACTGATTTTACAGGCTCAGCGAGAGAGCTGAGCAAAAACTTGACTGAGCTTCAGCGTTTTTGAGAAAGAAGTCTGCCTCTCAGCAATTACAGGCTGTTTTTTTTCCAAAAAAAAAGCTATCCCATTTTTTTTTGCGACAAAAGTGAACCCTCCAAACAATACATGGGTTTCGTAATATTTTGGAAAAAATTGCCACAATAGCGAACCTAGCTACTAATCAGAGACCGACATTATACCTGAAACTTCGAACTGGAGCATTAAGACATGGTTTGGGGATAGCCGCAGTGGATCGCAGGGTAACCATGGGTAACCCCATTTCAATATAAATTTCTAGTAAGGACTTCATATACCTTTCATCTTGTAGTCGTGCCCTCAGCGTTCCGTCGTTCCGATGGTCAGATCCAATGAGGCTATGATGCCATCGCATACTACGACACGGATATCGAGTTCCAGGGCGACATTAGCCCAGTGCTGAAGTGCGCAGCCTCTGGAAAGTTCTTGTCGACCAACGGAGGAGTCTCTTGGAGCATTTGGAGCTGAGGAATCCAGGGATTTCTACGTCCTGCAAAAACACTGCAAAAAAAAAATGGTGGGCGAGGCAGAGGGTTTGGTTCCCACTTTTCTGATCTTTTCTGGATCTTTTATTGTGATCTATTGTTTGTGTCCATTGTTTGACCCTTCCAGCTGACCAGGTACTTGAAGCCCTTCTCAGAGCATGATATACTTGAAAGTGTGGAATTGTTTAATGGCCTCCATCGGGGTCCGCCGACCTTCTTAGAGACCATAGAGACAGAGAATCTAATGGATTGTTGGGGCTTGCTTCTTAGGATGTTTGCGATCCAGACTGAAAACATGATTGTGTGGGACTTCAAAACAAACTCAGCATTGCTTTGCCATGACCTGTAGCTTTGCCAGCACCTCACCACCATTGTAGACGAAGGTTGGTGAGCCATTGAACGTCGGGTTCTTCGCATTAAAACCCGACAAGCGCTTGTTCCAAGCTGCCTTGAGACTGGGAACAAATCTGCCGGTGGGTACTCTTTGAATGGTTCTGGGTGCCACAGCAACGGTTTCTATCAAGCAGGAGGTTTTGCGCAGTTTCAACGGATGCCAAAGGTATCCAAAAGTAAAAATATCCAAATTTCAAGGGCATGCATTATGCATTGTGCTCTATCTTCGTCTCTATCAGTCTGTAAGCAATGTTTTCGTAGACATCATTATATGTCCATAGTATCGACTTGGAAGTAAACAAAGAAAGCGGCTGATATTTTCCGAGCATACAGCTTGCACAGCCCATGTTTGGGAACATGTAATAGGCCTATACAATCCAAAAAACATAGGTCTAAGAGATTCAAGAGATTGAGGCCATCAATCATCTTTGTACCTGCGGAGCAAAGGAAGCCAGTTTTGTCACCGAGGCCCTGAAACCTGTCTGGGGCTTGAACAGTTTCAAAGGCTAGAAACCTTTAGAACCAAATCATAGAGGTACCCGTATATCCCTTATTATAGTCGACTATAGATTTTGCTTACAAAAGGTGATTTTACATCATTGGCCCGTCATTTTTGAGCAGCAAATCGTATCATTGGTTTTTTTTGGCCCCAGACTTTTGGGCCAATTGGGGGACCTCCAACTTGAAGCGGATGCCGCCAGCAGCCCCTCGGGGCCTTCAGGAACTTCGCCTTGGATGCCAACTTCTCGACCAAGACCAGCTGGGGCGAGATGGGCTGGGCACCTGCAGGGGGATATTTCATTGGTGGCGAGTGTGGGCAAGGCGCGGTGCTGATTGGTTGCTGGATGGGATGTCCCATGATAATATATATATACTGGTATATATAATTATATATATATAATTATACTTATTTATATATATATATATCATGTGCTTTCTATGATTTTCCAGTATATATACACATAGAATTATATTATATATATACATACATAACTATAATATATATATATACATGATTATAATATATATATATATGTTCTATATGTATTTATATGATTCTATAAATCCATATCAATGGATTATAGATTACTATAGTAGGTAATTATCCCCGTTGAGATGATTGCCAAAAACGATGTGCGAAGATGAGCCCAATATGTGAGTGTTTCTAAAAATAGTTGACCCCAATAATCATCCAACCTGATCAAATGTTTTAAAGTATTCAATTTGGGCTTTTGAGAAACACCCAATATAATGCATGACTCCATGAAATCATTGTTTTTCTGTTTGAGTAGAACTGCAGAAGCAATTTTATTGACCCTGTGCCAAGCCAGCAGAGCAATGGTTCCAAGATCGCTCAACTGTTGTTGGCTGACGCTTTTTCAGGATAAAAAGTTGAACAAAACTAGGATTCGGACCCTGAAACACAAATCGACCAAACTCTTGGAGCCACTGCACAGCCCTGGTCTGGCATCAGGCTTTTGGTATGCGCTCTTCTACAAGCTGCTTGGCGAAAGTCTCAAGTTCCAGCATCTTTCGGGGAAGCCTTCAGGGACCACTCAGCCACAACAAACAATGACACCATAGTTAATGGTTATAAACCATAGTTAATGCCTATAAACTATGTATAATCTGTAGTTAAACTAAATACTACTATGATCGTTTTTTACATTGAGCTGAGGAGTGGCGGAGCTGCTCACAAGGCCCTGCATTCTGTGGGTTTGTCTTCGGTCGATGCGGCTCAGAGTCTTAGTGGCATCTTTACGGCATATGGATGTTTTGTTTTTTGTTGTTTCTATGTTTTTTGTTTTTATGTGTATGGCATCATAATCGTCATAATCATCATAGGTCATCATAGGTCATCATAGGTCATCATAGGTCATCATAGGTCATCATGAATCATAGGTCATCATAGGTCATCATAGGTCATCACAGGTCATCATAGGTCATCATAGGTCATCATAGGTCATCATAGATCCAAAAGATTCCAAAAGCGTTCATTTACGATCATTTACTCATAGAATTGGATTATGGGAAAATTTACAGGAAAGCCCAACCAATTTGATGGTAAAAACCCATGGGTTTCCTGTAAATTTTCCCTTAAACCAATCCAGTGATTTACATATACTTGATGGACGATCCTATTATGGACGATCTCCAGAGATTCTGATCGTTAGTGCCACATGAAGCCACGGCCACGCCTGGCCCAGGATCGATCGTTGCATTTGGAATTACCAGACCAGCTACATGTGACGCTTGGCGCCGGGTTCCCCCATGATTGGTGATGATATAACTATTGTGACCACTGCGTAATATACATAGTATAGCACCTGAGTGTGACTCTATGGAATTTCTATGGTAAGTATGCGATTTCCATTACATGCCTATACGCAGATTGGGAAAGCGCTTCAATCTTTCACAACAACCAGTTGTAAACATGGAAGGGCTACAAGACCATTATTGGATGCTGAACTTTCTCGTCCCGTCCGAAAACAGACAACAGAAACAACAGAAACTCCATGAAAGGCTTAGTATGAAACATCTACCAAGGTTTCTTGAGATGGGGTGTCCCAAAGACACCTTGGTTTCAATACTAAAATGGTCATTCATGACTTCGATGATGTGGGGGTATCTCCATAATCCATATGTGACGCCACTGTCTTTTTCGCCGAGGCAAGAAAGACTTGGATTGCAGCCGGGTACGCGTTCATCACAAGCCAACCCGGAAGACCAACGCTCGAACGGAATGTCACTAGGTTGCCACTGTGGTGGATGTTCTATGACGTGGTGACAGTTTCAAAGGGTATAGCAACCCGCAATCCCTAGAAAGATAGAAGTTGGAAAAATCCTACTGGTAAATTAAACGTTTCTGTTTGTTTTGGGGGTTACTAAATTTAGGATGACACATGATGACACGAAAATCGAACATGGAACCGAAAAAAAGATAGTCCTTGAAGATGTTAGCCGTTGATGTTTTCCCATCCCTACACCCCTCAGCAGATCACCCAGTGTTTCTTTTGTATTCCTGAGGTCAAAAGTTGGCCTTCCAAGAACACCACTAAGTGGTTTTGGACTCAGGACATATCAACCGGTAAAAAAACAAAATTCTGGCGCTTGGAGGGTCACACCAGAAACTTTGGTGGTTTCTCTGATTGTGAATATACTGAGCATTGATGAGGATTTTGCAGGAAGAATAGAAACTATGTGGATTCCAGAGACGTATATTCACCTTGTCATACCTTGTCCCTTTCTTGGAAAGCTTTCAACTAACCTTGGCTGTTCCACCTATTGCATCAGCCATCACCAACCAGACTTAGGTCCCGTATCCCGCAGATTCGCCGTGACGATGTGCGGCGGAAAAGGTGTGGATGATTGCGGATGTATACATATTTTGTATGTCCTAGAAGTATCATGAAGTATCGATAGTTGATGATAGTTGGGATTAGATGTATATTAGTGATATGATATAAAGATACATCATGGGTTTTACAATGTGTATTAATGTATGTATGTATACAGTATATATATATATATAAACAATGTAGCACCTGGCATCATTTGACGTTATATAACTCCAACTCCAGGGCCTCCAAGGAGATAACCCCAATTGGCCAATATTGGCCATTCCAATAGGGAAGATCATGATAGACAATGGGATGTTACATGATGTTTGGGCTACCTTATTTTCAGACAAACCCATATATGTACAGCCTAGGCAACCCCTATTCAAAAGGTTTTATCATGGTGTCCCCTTTGAATGTTGAATTCCAATTATATCATAATTTATGATTATGTATCATGATATATCTAGAGATTAGTAGATCATACCCTCTGGTAAACTAACATAGCTATGGAAAATCACCATGTTGTATAGGTAAACCAACTATAAATCACCCATTTTCCATAGCTATGTTAGTTTACCAGAGGGTAATGGGGGGGCATCATATATCGTAATATGGTCCATCATGTTCCACATATCTTGTACTCCCAACATGACGTCAGCCCCAAGGACTTCCGTCATCACTTACGTCGTACCTCTGCAAGTTGGAGAGGAGTGTTCCTTGCTCCCAGTTGGGACGTTGGGAAACAAAAGTCACATTTGAGTACGAACATTTCAACATAGGGATATGTGCAACCACATTTACAGTGACGAAAGTGACGGTTTGTTGATAAATCCCTGATGAATGGGTAGAATTGCCAGCGAATTCTCAAGTTTTGCTAAGATGTATGGTATGTGGTCCAATAGGCATTAGAATTCTTTGAAATAGCAGTAATTTATACTCCCTATTGGCTTGTGGATGCAATTCCCATTCCCTTGAAGTGGTTCCGTTTCTACTTCACTGTCTGTCCCAGAAAGCTGTTCTTTCGCAGCCTGCTGTTCACATGGATCGAAGTTGGCGGGACCTTCTGAGGTACATCAACACCTGTTCTGTCCGGAACCTATTTTTCGCAGGGCGGCAAATAAGAAAAGATGAAAGACAGGGAGGTTTCCTGAAATAGGGATACCCCCAAGTCATCCAAGTCATTAGACGATTTAGTTTTGAAACCAATGGTCTTGGGGATCCCCCAAGAATCCCTCATACTAGATGGCAACAGTCCCTGTAAACGATTCTGTAAATGGTTGATGATGGAGTTTGCGGTCATGATGGTGGCCATGTTTTAGATTATCTTGAACAAACACGCTCATGTATACTGATGATGTTAAAGATAGAACATGATAAAGCTTGTTTCATTCTGTGGGATAGTTTTGACATGTGTTCACAGGGTTCAGTTTGCTTAAACATCAATGATCCTCAATGATCTAATTTTATTGGTGATTAGTGGCAAACCCAGATAAACCCATCTATTTGGGGATGATAGTTACAACATGTTACAAAAATTAGGGATGGTTTATGGCATTGGGTTTACAACATTACCCAATCACTTACTGAAAGCCATAGCCATACGCTGTTTTCATGTCATTTGCACCGGGCAAAGCTTTGAATGTTCGTTGCATCTTACCTCCTGGTCCGTTTTGTCCACTCATTTGATCCGTGATTTGGGAGTGGCTGAACAAAATGATGTTGATATTTAGTAGATATAAAGGATATACTGTGCTACGTTATCATATATATATATTATAAGATTTTTTTTGATATTCAACTTCAATCATGCAGGAAGAAAATTTGTTTATGGTTCATCCAGCCATTGAGATTGTACTGAGGCATTGCTATCAAGATGCCAAGCTTCAACCCGTGGCCGAAGGTGATCAAGCCGTGGCCTGGATTGGTGAAAATGCCGGGGTATTGTTATTTCCCTCTGGTAAACTGTCCCATAACTGTGGAAAATCACCATTTTTAATGGGAATATCCTCTATAATTGGGCCATTTTCAATAGCTATGTTAAATTACCAGAGGGTAATGCATTTTATTTGAATCCTGCTATTTCTGGTGTGAATGGTTTGAGTTTCGGCCGTTTTCATGGAGGATGACTCGATCTCTAGATGTCATGTGTGCGTTCTTTTTGCAGGGTAGCTGAGAGGTTTCAATATGTTTCTGCAGATACTGTAATGGATGAGTGGGTAGCCATTCTTGGGTTGCTTGGACCGGAAGCCATCAGTTCAGGATATTTCAGGGTCCAATTTGTAGAGTTTTTTGAGGTGTTTTGTGCCTTGTTTTGAGCATTCCCGGATTTGAAGAAAGACCCATCTCAAGTGAGGGCTCCGATGGTAGCAGTTCAGTGTTTGCACCACTGACTACTTAAACATGTCATCGACATTGATCCATCACAGCATAGATTATGAATAGATGCTCTCAAGAGTCAAAGCACAGTATGTAGCAAATCAAAACAAATCGTGGCTTAACCTCCTCAGATCTGATTGAAGGTTTCAAATCGTTCTCCCTAAGTCAACGTCAGTATGTTTTCTTTGGAAAATAGTCAGCTTTGGAGGGATACTGTATTCACAGAATCATATCATAAATTGTCTTCCAAACCTAAACTCTTCCAAGGTGTGTAACCCTTGGATCAAAGTTCATTGAATACCGCATTGTTTTTCGAAGTTTCACCATGTTTCACCAACGGACTGCTCCAAGGTTCAAGATTACCTGGAAAAGTTGAACCTTGGCGCGCGTACTGTGCTTGGGACGGTCCAGTGCGTCGAATGCCGACTGGATTGTCCTTTGCGGGACCGACATGTCGTTGCGCTGGAGTCCTTTTGCATGACTTTTGAGGTCTACAAACTCTAGCAGTTCAGAATGCACCAATTTTTTGGAAGATGAATATCCATGAAAGCCCATAGAACATGAAATAGTCATGGATGTTCATCTTCCATTATTACGAATATTCACCGTATATTGTCCGAATATAATATTCATGGATGATGGAATATTGTCCATAATTATATGTATTCAATATTCCTTGGATTATATTGTGAATATCTCCAGGGTCATGTTCTTTGTCCGATACATAACTTGGCACACTGGCCTTGGCTGAAGAGTTTTTCGACCCTGGAGATCCATGTAGATCGTTGGCGCTGGTTCTGTTACCAGGCCATATGTGTTGGTTGAATAAACCTGGTTGGTGCTGAACGGAACACGAATGAATTATGTTTTCCATAGATTGGGATAATAATCCCAACTAACTTTCATATTTTTCAGAGGGATTGAAACCACCAACCAGCTATGTTTTTGTGGATGAAATACTAATTTATCTTTGTGAATTCACCAGGTTTGCTGGGTGAAAACATGTGAACTCCACTTCTTTGTGTTGAACTTCGTATTCTTGGTGGATTAGATCCCCATTCCTCCCAAACTGTTGGTATCTATATGGTTAAATCCCAATTGTTGCTGGGTAAAACTGTGAAAAACCATGTTTTTTGGCCCCCATCCCAAGCCATCCCAATGGCTCAACTGCGGTCCTGTTTTCCGGAGGATTCTCTGAATGTGTTTGTTCCTCCAGCTGCTGAATGGCAAGATGTTCAATTTCTGGACATCGGAGGTCGGGCGGCCCGGGCGGTTTTCACGGATTTCAAGGGGGCAAGTTTTGCAGGCGCCCGAAGAATGGTGGTTTTCAACCACCATGACATGCTACTCATGATATTTCATCAATGGAGGGCAATGGTTTCATATCAGAAATTCATTTATGGCAATGGATACTGAATGATGATCCAGGGATGATCCAAATTACTGGCAATTTTGCGATTCCCAGCGATCAGTAGCAAGACTGCAGGTGCCAATGAGATTTTGAACCCGGCAGTGCAGGTTGGAACTTTGCTCGGGATGACAAGCGTGACTGTTAGATGGCTTTGGGTCAAAGTGTTGGACGAGTACATTGGATGGTTCCTGCTATGTTATATTTGTTTAATAATTATACAATGTATAATATGTATTTTTACTAATATATATATATAGTGATATAGAACAGAACTTGCAGAATGACAAACCTGTGCGAATCTCTCGGTTTCAAGTTCGGCAAACTCTTTTGGTCATAGTTCATTTCAATTTCATTCACCTCTCTCAGCGACAGCACATCCCACTTAGTAGCTGTTCATGAAGTTTGATCTATCCCATAGGATCCATGTATGCTCTATATGGTAACATGGATCCCATCAATATACCCCCTTTATGTTAGCATATATAGCAGCACCATGGATCCTATGGCTATGGCAACATGACAACGTGGCGCACTTGGATTTCTTCGCATTTCTCCTTTCTTGGATGAATCGGATTGATTTTGTGGTAATGAAAGACGTGGATGGTCGACCGATCGTCTTTAAATTTTAAATGGTTTCAACGGTTTTTGGGATGATTTGTTGAAATGGCGCATTTTTTTTTGAGATTGATTAAAACATGTTTAAACCAACAACCAGTTTTGAATCTCAATTATGAGGATGAGGTCACTATTTAATAGGTGACTATTTGGGCTGGGCCTGCGAAGGTGGAAAAAAAGAAACAATAAGAAACATATCAAAACATGAAAAATATATTTAAATAAAAATAAACATAAAAACAACTAAAAACAGATAAGGAAAAATTAAGAAAAATCAGGAAAAATAAGAACTACTAAGAAAAAATGAGAAAAAGAAAAAAAAAAAGACAAACTAAGAAAAATAAGAAAAAAATCGGGCCCTCCAAGGATTTTTTTTACTTGTTTAAAATTGTTTTATTGGTTGCCCTCCCAGTTGGTGCCCTACTAGACAGTGTCATGATGTGTCCACCATCCCTTCTCAAAGCCCTTTGCCCGCACAGATCTGTGCTGATTTGGCCTATGCTTTATCTCACAGACTAATTGTCTGTGTAAGGCGACTTGCTTTGAATCAGTTGGATTTGGATCTTTCTATGACTATCAGTTAAACATGATATATCCATTGACATTTGAATCCATGGGTTTTCTATGGCATCCCCATCAGTTGGGTTTTTGGGACACCAGGCGGACACCAGGCGGACACCAGGCTTCTCAACCGACTCCTATGATCTCTTGGATTTACAATGTGAGGCCCCCAAGATAGCTAAGTTGGTTTATAACTCTAATAACTAGGACTTATGGTAGATATAGTTAATGGGCTTATAAACAAACTTTATAACTTGGGGAGCACCACCTTGTAGGATGTTGGACAATGTTGGACACGAGGTTTCACCGGGGACTCCATGAGACTCCTCTGATCGAGGCATGATCAGATCACCTCAAGGGCTACACAGCAGCTGCTGTTGGACATCCGAGCCAAGGTAGCCATGGCGAAGACAGGGAAGATTCAGTTATGCTCAGTACCATATCAGTTATATATCATATATAAATGATATTCTATATCTTCCAGTTACCAAACCATAACTGATATTCTATATGACTATATGGATGCCATATATGGTTCGGTAACTGTCATGTTTCACATTCTTTAATCCAATATGGATGATGTTGAAACATGCTCCCCGCAACCCCCTGGTTCGCCCCCACGAAAAAACAACACATCCAAACAATATGATATAATTGTCACCAGAGGATGAATGAAAACACTGGCTATACGCAGTGATTTTGACTTTAAGTTTTCAGGATTTAGGGTTTCAATTTAGGGTTTAGGGTTTTAGGCTTTAGGGTTTTGGTGTTTGTTGTTTTGGAAAGTGAAAAACTTAAACCCTGCGAAGGGATTTGAGCATGTCAAAGGATATGCGGGATTGGCTGCGGGCAAACCTAGGGGTTGTTGCAGCGAACATGTTTTTTTGGATAGAATAATTTGAATGTAGGCTGCAATCTGTTCGTACTCATTTTGCCACTTTGACATGCCACATATGGCGTTCAACTTCAGGAAGTAGAAGCCCCAGGGGACAAATTTGCCAAGCCCCAGTCAAGGAGTTCTTTAGTTCTTGCAAGGTTTGTTTTGTTCAACCAGCAAATAGCTCACAGCTAGCAGCATCCATATAGCCATATAGCTAACAAGAAAAACATGCGCATGCGTAGTGGATCGTAGTTGCAACTCATCCAGAAGCGGCAGGCGCCCTATCATTTCAGTGACGATGTGGCGAGACAAGACCGATGTCCATTGATATTTGCAATTACTCAGGCGGGGTTGTGGTGGCATTGTATCGACGTCTTTTTTCCACACCTTGCTGGCAGTTGCAGCAACTAGGCTAAATTGCATGAGTTCCATGATGATTTTTTCCACCACAGCTTTTCAGCCTCCGCAGAATGCTTGTATCGTTGACTTTCAGGAGAAACGGAAGGCCACAAAATTGTTGTGACAGGTATTCCCTGAAATTTAGCAACACAAAATGTATGGGCCTTATATATCATATATATCCTTATATAATATGGTAGGTACCACAAAAAATCGATCCCTGAAATGGCCATGTTTTAAACATGCTTTTTCATAGCCAGGTGGATCAGGTTCTGGAGGAGGAGAAAGGAGAGAGGTGGGAAGTTTTGAGGCAAAGTCTCCGCGCGGTTCTCCACAGGCTGGCTGGAGTTGGAGGTGAGGGTGGAAAATTTCCTGGAAACAGAATTGGTGGGCGAATCTTAGGTGTTATTATATATATATATGGGTTTGTCTGAAAATAGGGTATATTCCCAATTATAGCCATTTAATAGGGATAATGATCATTAACCATTGGGTTTAGGGGTACACTATTTTCAGACACACCCATATATATATATATCCACTAATATATAATCATATAATCATTAATATAATTACATATTGATATGTGTTTTTTAAATCCTCCAATCTTAGTGAATATCACTGATCTAATATATACATAAGACATATGTATATATATATATACATTATATATATATGTAGAATTAGACATGTGTAATTACTAAACTCTAGAAAACATATTCTGAAGCATCCATTGTGATGGCCCAAATGATGGCCCAAATGATGGCTGGGATGGACGCCGTGGTTCCATGGGGTGTTTTGAAGCTCACTGCAACTGCCATGAACAAATGGCTGTGTCTGAAAATGGTGTACACCATATACCGTATATACCCCACTGTAATAATCCTAATGTATGGCACATTTGATACGGAAAACCCCATGGGGAAAACGATGATAAACCCTTGGACTCACCACCCCCTCGCAGGACCTTGAGCGATTGCGTGGAATTGTCACAGCTCATCCCCATCGTCCTGGTGAGCGTGCCATGTTCAAACTGGGTTCATACTGGGCTCATCGTCAGAACGACTCCCAACAGCATGAAAACTAAGGCGAAGAACTCTTTGGACACTTTGCAATCTGGCACCAGCAAGCCGCAATATGAAACTTGTCCTGTTGGCATTTAATCGTGTTGGGCCCTGCACATTATGAAATGTCGCTATATTATCCCTACAGTGCACCTCAGCTATAGCAGTTTCCAGTATGGAAAATGGAGCAAGTTTGCAAGAGAGCCTTGGGCATTCTTGGGCCCCGGAGAATGATAAGGAATGGCACACTTTTGAGGAGTTGCTGATCAACACAGCAGGTTTGAAGAGAGCCTGGGCATGGTTGATGCGTTATGCGACTGTGTCCGTGTGAGTGGGAATCTACTCAGGTACGCACCTGGAGTCCGCAGACAAAATCGATCTCATGCGTAATTGTTTTTGTTCATGATTTGGTTCTGATATTCACTGACTCTTACGTGTATATATTGTTTATGTACAGTAGCCTCCATGTGCTTAGATCGGAATTGCATCACTTTGTTCCTTGGACGAGGACACTGATATCCTGTCAGTGCTGTCAAAGGTCCTACAAATGTCTTGTATCTTGTATCAGGATAATGTCCCTATGTGCTGCATATCTTACAGTATATCTCGATATATCCAGATCTTATATATACATATATATACACAGATAGATATCAGTTCTTACATAAGTCTGGATGACTCGCAATGACCTCACGTGGTGAAGTCACTGGAGTGATGGTAAGGCTTTTGGGATCATCCCATTTTTGAAGGGGGCCAGATTATATACATCCATCATCATCCATCAATCCAGTTGAACCAAGATACCAAGATCAGCCAGTAAGTTTGGGGAACATTGGATATTTATGGATACCCTCCGGTAAACTAACACAACTATGAAAAATCGCCATGTTTAATGGACAAATCAACTATGTCTATGGCCATGTTCAATAGCTATGTAACAAATTACCAGAGGGTATTATGGATATTTATGGCTATTTTATGGATATTTATGGATATTTATGGATATGTTATAATTCAGCCAATAAGCTTCGAACCAAGAGCCAGATCATGTCCCCTTTGCCCAGCCCCCCAAGGAGATGTCATCCGTGAGAGCAAGGTGCAACGTTGCGTTGCCGGTGCCGATTGTCAGGGCTCATTTTATTTGGCCCTGGAGATCAGAGATATTGATGGGGGTGTCACCTAGGACAATGATCGAAAAAATGATGCGGACATGATGGTTCCAAAATGATGGAACAATGATGGAACGTTGTTGTCTTATCAACAAGTCAGGGAATTACAACCAACCAAGATGGCTATGCACATGGGGTGGCACGCTCGTAGCCTGGGGTGGCACGATGGTAGGGGCCCATCATAAAAAACGAACCCCCCTTCGATCATCCCACTGAACGCAGGTGGTAAACCAAAACGATCCACCTCCGATTCCAGGTCCTGGGATAGGTCAGGTCTATTATCCTAACTTTAATCTTGATTCTGGGTTACAACTATCTCATTTCGGAAGTTTATCTCCCGATGTTTGTTGTGTCCTCAATTGTTTTTGACACTTCGACAGGTTCGAAGGGCCAGCTTCATCCACGAGTTGCTGAAGGAAAATCTCCAGACCTACGAGACTGCAGAGGACTGACATCGACGGTGTCGCAGTACCCAACGGGGCAATCAGACACAACACTGGGAATTCCATCGGTTTAAGCGCTTTGTTTGTTTGATGATTTGAAGATTGCTGGATACCTCCCTGCTTTAATTTTGACATTAAAAAAAGCTCAAAACTGGAAGTGTATTCATATGCAAAGGTCGGCAGGCACACACACACATGTGTAGACATACAGTACCTCGAATGAATTCACTGAGCTTTTGGACGTGATTCTTGATCGGATTCAAGTCAGCAAGGTGTTGACTAGTCTTGGCATGCAGGTATGTTTTCGTGTCTCTGTCTCAAAAGATACTCAATGTATCTTGATGTGGTAAACCCAGTGATATGATGTGATATGTAATTATATATAGATATATTATACCATCCCCAAAATCACAATTCTTATGGCTGCAACCAGCCCCATATGGTAGGTTTATGGCATTGGGTTTCCCGCATTAATTATGATACTTGCGCACACTTGCTCAATGTGTGAAACGGCCAAGTCAAGTGTAACACATGTAGCTGCGCATAGTGTCCACTAAATGGGTTGAATTGACAGACATTGACAGGTTTGACTGTGAGTTTGCATAGTCCTACCCGGGAGACAACTTTTACAATATTTTCAATCTACATCTTTTAAAAAGTATGTTTGTTTGTTTTTTCCGGATTATATGTTCCTTGCCATTCACTTCCCGATTCCAAACAGTTTCATATCCGATGCAGCTTTCCAGGCGTGGCCATACAATGCTCAATGCTGCGTCCTCAGTTCCATTCAGACGGTGAAAAAGTCTCGGACCCTAGGCGTCGCATCAAACTCAAATGTATGTGTTCACAAATAAGTGACCATAGGAACTGAAATGATGGGATGTTATGCTCGTATTATGTTATGTTCTGTTTTAATTTGAAGCGTCTTGTACCTAAACTTTATATATTGTGTGATGTCTTCCCCAGCATTTTGCAGATATAGTTCCGGAGCTTCTGGGATTGGGTCCCGTTCAGCATGAAATGGCCCATCTTCATTGGCTCACTCCCCACAAGTGCGGCTGCTTTACCATGGTTAAAGTTTACCCATGTTCCCATGCTCATGTGCTAGTTCGACAAGTGTGTTGTTATTTGCCGATGTTTCTGAGTTGCAGTATCTATCCACTTTTGTTCCTTGTTGACTGTATTAATTTTCATAGATGACTTGCAGTAAATAATAGTAGATACTCGTACATGCTGTTTACATCTGTTTACCGGGTATAAGCGATATTCTTTTCTTTATACGGTGCCGGGCTCACTTGTAAATGCCACATTAGACATTAGAACTTGAATCATTTCGAAATCATGCAGTTCAAAGTTCAAACTGATGAAAATGCCCTTCACATACAAACTGGACGGTTTCTCATAGCCTAAACAACTGTTATGGTACAACATGTCCAAGAAATGGTCTATTGAGCCAACAAATCAACCCCAAATGATCTGCCAAACAACCCCGATAATGATCCCAATGGAAAACATCCTCCCAGCTAAAAAAAAAAGGTGACGAGTCCTCCTGCTAATCCAGGAATCATTTCAAAAAATGCCATTAACATCATCATTAAATCCAAGTCCCAGTAAACCACATATCAAACCATGATTATGTTAAACCGTATATTAAACCATATATATATTAAAATATTAAACCATATGTTAAACCATTTATCAAACCACATATCAAACTTAACCATATAGTAAACAATTTATTAAACCATGTATTAAACCATATATTAAACCATGTATTAAACCATCATTAAAACCAGCATGTTTGCAAAAATCCCCCAGAATTTCAATGTGTTGGTCGCCTTCAGTTGAGGCATTTGGCACTCGCGTCGGGACTTTGGCAAAAAGCTGGCCATTGGCTCCGCTGTTGCCGCAGGGTCGGTGCCTTGCTTCTGACGCATTCGGCGTTTCGGAATTTGGATGGGTTGGGTGGGTCAACATCTACTGTATCATACTGTATCTATCTGTATCTGACATGGTGATTTTTAGGGGATTCGACTGGATTTCACTGTGAGTTGAATGGGATTCAATGGGATTTCATGGTGAGTGACCATATGGTCTATCAGAGGTGGTGAAAATCTCACATGGGGAATCAACCAGCATCTAACATGGGGAGATTTAGCCATCTTTCTCCTGAGGATACTGGTTGGTGGTTTCAAACTGTGTCAAAACCGTTTCAATCTCTGTTTAGTACTACAATGTGGGGCCCCCCAGTTATAAGTTGGTTTATAAACCCCATTAACTATAGTTATAAGTACATAAACCATGGTTATTGGAGTTATAAACCAACTTAGCTATCGACCGGGGGCCCCACATTGTAGGATGATGATCCCCAATGTTTTTTTCAGGGTTGAAACCAGCAACCAGCAACCAGTGCATTCTGGTGTGAACTAAGGGGCATTCGATGTTGGATATGTTTGGTTCGTAAACAGATATGATGATATATCTGATATTCCATGTTGGGTCACCAGGTCGCGATATTATCCCATTTAGATTGTGTAAACTTTTTGGGAGTATATATACCCATTGTTCGGACAGGCCCATGCTGGTTATAAAATCTAATTCTTCATGTTCCCAGGACATGTTTTTTCTACAAATCCAACTTGGATATGTTGCTTAAATCCCACTATAAATCTTAAATCTTTGGATTTTGCTGGCTAAATCCCATCAACCTCCTCCGACTCTATCTCCATCAACCGGTTGGTTGAAAAACCGTGGTGGTTCACCCCAGTTTTTCCACTGCACCGTCCCTACCCTACTGGAATGGGATGAAAGTTACCACTTTCGATTCCTGTGAAGCGCCTAGCCCCAATTATTCTGGTATATTCTGGCTGGTGGTTTCACATTGTTTTTTCCATAATATATATGGAATAATCCTTCCCATATTTCCCATTGACCTTCATATTTTTCAAGATGGTCAAAACCACCAACCAGTATTTCAATGGATTGGTTTAAGGGAAAATTTTAACCGGAAACCAGAGTTATTTTCCCATTAAAAATGGGGCTTTCCGGTTAAAATTTTCCCTTAATCCAATCCATTGAGTATTAGTATCTATATATACCATTGTATCATATATCATATATCATATATCATATCATCTACTTAGATGGGCAATAGGATTAGCGATTCCTGGTTAGCAACTGGGGTTATTCCTCAGGTAGGCACAGCTTTGGCCTTTGGAGTTTTCCTCTCCGCCTCCTCCGCTGCTGCCGTGGCCGCGGCGGAAGCGGGCGCCGCGTCGGCGGAGGCGTGTGGTCTCTCGTGGTGAAGTGCAACAACGTTGGTACCGAAATTGAGAAAGATATTATGAAGGTTTCCTACAGTTATGGCCCGAAATACCAGTTATAAGTACTAACAAAACCCCATTTATAGAATGTATAATCCCACTTATAACCAGTTATAACTGATAAATGGCCATAACTGTAAAATGAGGGTACCCCAAAATGGATGGTTTATAATGGGAAATCCTATAAAAATGGATGATTTGGGGGGTACCACCCTTTCAGGAAACCTCCATAGGAGCAGTTTCATAAACCTCGTTGGTTGCTGATTATAGGCGGAATATACTGAGCATCTGAGCCCTATCTTGGAGATGATCGTAATCCATGGGAATCTCCACTCATCAATCTGTATTTGTTGATTTCCCCCATGATGTTCCATATGACAGAGGGTTATACGATATAAAAAGCATACATGCTAAGAATGATCCCCATAATCCTTAGATTTTCTCCAGATTCCATGGGTTTTGCAGGGTTTTCCAATAGGTTTGGGCTCCATAGACGTGACATATCCATGTGAAGAGAAATGGCATGTTTGCAGGCAACCGCAGCGGCAGCTGCTGCCAACAGTTGGACCATACCTCAGAGTGGTAGGGTGGATTGGTTTCGGGATGGGTCAGCATGGCAGAAGGTGACCCCCAGGTGAACCCCCAAGTTCTGTTTATTGGTGTAGACCCTAGGTGAAACACAGAAAAAAATGTGGAAAACTGTATGGTTTCCCGGAAAGTGATCCACCAATGGTGGGTTTTCCACATCTACTGTATGTTAGTTGACAGCAAGGTAAACCTCATGAACTATAGAATCTGTAGAATCAAAAATTAGAGTTGACCTCCTATCATATACCAACGTTCCACACGTAAACATACTAAGGGGAGCTTGTAAGTTTTGGATATTCATCCCCGGCATTTTGCCATAGGGGCTGGGTGAATGTTACTTCCCCTATTTGAATAGAGTGACATTTTGGGGTGCCCACCATTTTCTGACAAACATGTTTCTTTCATCATCACTGATAGTGAAACGGTTTTGCTAAGTTGCCATTTGCCTGTGGTACAATGGCAACTATAACTATCAAAAGAAAGATATCTACAGTACCCGGATCTCCATTATATCCCCATGAATACCCCCTTTGCATCCCATAGATATTCCATGGTTGCAATCCAACTACCATATTATAGTTGGTGAATGTTGGTTCTGATATATATATATATATACAGTACCCATTATTATATATCATTATATATCCATTATTTCACCATGAAACATTTCCATATATATATATTACAGATATATCCAGTGTATAGTGTATACATACATACATATATATATATATATACATACTATATGTCCATTTATGTATGCCCATTATACCCATGATAACCCCATTATATCCCTTTCTATCCATTATCATTATATCTCTATTATATCTCCATTCCTGTCCCCGTGTCCAGTGGTTCCCCGAGGTGGGCCTGGGCCTTCGGCTTTGGGCAATTCTCCGCAGCCGCCACGGCGGCCTCTGGCGTGTCTCAGCCAACGATGAACCGATGGAGTTTGGGGTGTCCCTTACCCTTTGGTAATGACTAACATAGCTATGGAAAATCATTATTTTTAATGGGAAAACTCACTATAAATTGCCATTTTCAATAGCTTTTTGTATGTTTACCAGAGGGTATTTTCAGACAACATTCATGAGGATTCTATGTATATTAATGATTCAAAAGATGAAAACTGGCGATTTGATTTGACCCTCAGAAAGACCATCAAAGATGGGATTCTATAGAATGATTAGACATATGGAAACATATGAAAACTGCTGATTTGACTACCGTCATTAAAGAATTGTGATGTCAATATTAGATAACCCTGATGGCCCATCCCCCATAATATTAAACGCTTACATTGTATGGAGTGTTGTATGGTCCCAAATATGTGGTTTCATCCCCCATAGCAAACCATGGTTTCCTGGGGCGGTTTAATGTTAGGGGGAGGTATGACTAAGATAGCCATGGAAAATCCCAAAAATACATGCAGGTTTTAATGGGAAAATCATCTATAAATGGGTCATTTTCCATGGCTATGTTAAACAACCAGAGTGTAATTTGATTATTGGGTTGAGAGTAGCTTCACGGTTTCAACATGTTTCGAAGCTGATTATTGTGGCTAAGATCAGCGAGCCAGTTCAGTCTGTTTCTGTGGTGGGAAACACCACAGAAACAACTCTGTTTCAAAAGGGTGAAAACTCTGACTGTCCAAAAAAGAATCATTAGCGCTCATCGATTTAATGAATTTTGCCAATGATTTCTGACAAGCTGCGGCCCAGAAAGTATGGCCACAGAAGACTTCGGTCCAGGGCTCCTCATTTTTCGGCCAAGCTTGGACAGTCAGGGCTTGAGAGTTCCTTTAAATGCAAGGAATGCTTTTGAAACATCATAGGGAGAGAGGATCGGGCAGCAAATTTCCCACGTTCCTTCCATGTTTCACTTTTTTCATTCATTGCTGATTCTGGTAGTTGGGCAAAGACAATACCATGATGCTAGACATGTGACATGTCAGTCCCGCTATCGCGGCGTCGCCTCTTTTCCTCGGGCGATCCCTGGACTCCTCCCCGAGAATGTAATGGTTTAATAATGGGCAATTCAATGCAATACATCATGTTCTTTATCACAATTGCAAGAATTATAAGGGTTGCGGGGTTGTACTCCATTTCCAAACACCCAAACAAACTACAGCTATGGCCCTCTACCAGTTATAAGTCAGTAAGTCACCTCATGTCACCCCATTTCTGGAATGATAACATAACCGTAAAAATCACTGGCTTAAGATTTACTGTAAATCTCCATTTAGATCAATTTAGTTTGGGGATTTTCCCATTGAAACATATAACCATTAAAAACCTTATACTTATAATGTTGGTAAGACAATAATTAACCCAGCTTTGCAACCCAACAGCATACCTGAATCTTCCACCTACGTCTTTTTTCAGACCCTGTGCCAAAGTCCTGTTTTTTCAGTACCCAGAAAACTTTTCAGGACCTACTCTCAAATTCAGGACCTGGCCATTTTGGGGTATCAATGGTAATGGCAATCATTGGGTGCAAACATGTGAAACCAACATTTGGTGGATATTCAAGCCATTGGCATTGATCCACGCAAATAAAAGAACTCCCAGCCCAAACTCATGGCAAGGCAGGATCAGAATATAGTATATTCCAGAAAGTATGTCAGAATAGATGCCAGATAGGATGCCAGAAAGAATGTCAAATAGAATCTCAGAAAAGAATGTAAGATAGTATGTCAGAACATATATGCCACATATACGTCCAGATGATATGTCAGAAACTATGTCAGAATAGTGTGTCAGGGTGGGGATCACTCTTAGTAAGGCAATTTTGAAAATATATTTCAGGTTCGGAATTTTCAAACTGTTGTCCTTCAGGCGCCGAAGCTCCCGTTGAAGGTCAGCATCGCCCCATGTCAACTGGTCCAGTCCCACTTCCATTTCAACAAGTCCAACTTCATCGATTAGGGTGTTGGTTGAATAAACTTGGGACTCTAGCTGGCACGGCATCCCTTGTAACCCTGTAGACACTGTAGTGGGCAAAAAGATTGTAACACACAGAATCAGCATCATTTTGATCAGGCATTCTTTTTGCTAATCCTTTCTCCCTATTTCGAAAAATACCCCCAAATGACAAAAACTAGGTTCGATTTCCAATTTTGGGAAATGTCAAATTGGTTAATGTGATTTTTAATTGATCCCCTTGAGGAAACAATTTAAAAAATGAAGGTACCATGTGAGGGTTTCACCCCCAAAGAATAAAAAACTAGTCAACACCGGGGTGTCTTTTATTGGGGTCCGTCCTTTAAAATCGTCAATTTTAGTTTTTTTAATTCAGGTGTTGGTGTTTTATTTGATACTAGGCGAAAGCTTCGAAATCCTATTCTTGGCAGTATTCTATTTAAAGATTATTTTCATGGATTTTGAAATTAGAAACAAAAAACGGTTTAATCCCTTCCCCCTGTTGCTAAACAGTCGCCCCTTCACCCACCCACCCAAATAACAAACACCTGGAGGAGTTTTTAGTATTGGGGGGGTCTTTAGTATTAGGGTACGAAGCTTCCCCCTAATACTGATAAAAAACACATATATATATATACACATATTTCTATTTCAAAATCGATCAGATTTCTTTCTTTTTAAATCCAATTAAAATATGGCAAACAAGTGGATTCCGAAGCTTAATATCAAATAAAAACCCCCAACATAAAAAACTATGTATGTTTTTCTATTTCGAAATCGATTAGATTTCCTTTTAAAAATTAAATAAAATATGGCCAAAAAATTGGATGTCGAAGCTTTTCCCTTATATTAAACCCTAATATCATTTTGTTTTTTTCCTGTTTCAAAATCGATTAGATTTCCTTTTGAAATCTAATGAAAAAAAAAACATAAAATTGATTTTGAAGCTTTCCCCTAATATCAAATTAAAATCCAATTATGAAAATATGTTCAAAAATTGGATTTCGATGCTTCCCCTAATCTTGCATGAAAAATTCCAATATAAAAAACTAAATTTGTTCTATTTCAGAATCGATTAGATTTCCTTGTAAATTCAAATTAAGATATTGCCAGAAATTGGATTTCGAAGCTTTCCCCTCATATTAAACCCTCATATCAAAGACTATTTTTTCTATATCAAAATTCATTAGATTTCCTTTTGAAATCTAATTAGAATATGGTCAAAAATTGGATTTTGAAGTTTTCCCCTCATATTACATTAAAAAAACCTAATATAAAATTATTTTTTCTTTTTTGAAATCGATTCGATTTCCTTTTAAATTGTAGTAACAAAAATAAAAACAAAAACCGGATTTCGAAATGCTTCCTCTAATATTAAATTACCAGCCCCAATATATTTTAAAAAAAACTGTTTCAAAATCGATTAGTTTTCTGTCTAACATATAATTAAGATATTGCTAAAAATCGGATTTCGAAGTTTTCCCCTAAGATTAAATTACAAACACTAATAAAAAAAAAACTATGTTTTTTCGATTTCAAGAATCGATTAGATTTCCTTTTGACATCCAGCAAAAATATTGCCAGGAAATGCCAAAAAGTGGATTTCGAAGTTTTCCCCCAATATTATATAAACGTTGTAATATAAAATACTTATTTTTTCGACCTTAAAAGACCCTAGTTTAAAAAATCACCAGGGCTGACTAGTTTTTATTTTTTGGTGGTGAAATCCTGAAATGGGACCTTCATGTTTAATTTGTTTTTGAAAAGGTATCAATTAAAAGTCAAACTGGCCAGCCTGAAATTTCCCAAAATTTAACGCGGACCCTAGTAAAAGGAATCAATGTAATATTTTAGTATTTAGGGTACGTTTAGTAAAAGGAGGTGGGGATTAGTAAGGTTTTCAATTTAATATAAGGGGAAGCTTCGAAATCCAATTTGGCAAGATTTGAGTTAGATTTTGAATAGGAATTCAATCGGTTTTGAAATATAAAGTTCATTTTTTTAAACGAATGTTTTCAATTTAATGTCAGGGGGAAGCTTCGGAATCCAATTTTGGCAATATTTTAGTTAGATGTTATTTAAAAAATGTTTTCCAATTTAGTTTTTTTAACCAAGGGGGAAGTTTCGCACCCTCATACTAAATACCCACTAAATACAAAAAACTATTCCGTGTGTTCATTATTGGGTGGGGAGGGGCAGACGGTTTATTATGACGCAGGGATTGGTCAGGCATCACTTGCTGGAATTATTGGATTCTTTTGGGATGATTGGTATGATGTTTAGTCAGGCATGGTTCCCTTCAGTCATGCACGATTTTTGCAAAAATCCTATTTAGGCACGACCCCAAAATCCCAGCCCGGCAAATTCCGGCCCGGGCCCGGCAAATTCCGGCCCGCGCCCTGCAAATTCCGGCCCTGCGTTTTTCCAAAATCAGGCAAAACCAGTAAATCAGGTATTAAGTCAGGTGTAGTTACCTTTTAAGTCATTAAGGCTAGTCAGGCATGGTTCCAGTGGGTACCTTTTAATTGTGAAGGCTAGTCAGGCATGGTTCCCTGAATTCCAGGGGCATGGGTACCTTTTAATTATGAAGGCTAGTCAGGCATGGGTTCTGTTAAGTCAGGCGTGGGTGGGTACCTCTTAATTATGAAGGCTAGTCAGGCATGGTTCCCTTAAGTCGGGTGTGGTTATGCTTTAAGTCATGAAGGCTAGTCAGGCATGGGTACCTTTTAAGTGATGAAATCTGAATCAGGCGGAGCTCCTATTCTAAATGTGTTAAATCCAATTGTTCAGTGTGGAAAATCGATTTTTTGGTTGGTCTACGGGCAAACCCTGTGTCTTCCAATACCATAGCGTGCTGATGTCGCTCCAAAGCTTAGGTCATCAGTGTGATCCTGAAATGGCGCCACGACCAAGAAGATGACATGTGTAAAATGGGCCCTGGATTAACAAAGGCTGACTAATGAATTTGGAGGATGCCACTAAAGTATGACATGTAATCACTTTTGAGGAGCACTCTATGGCACGCAGCGCGCGCAGCCTGCTTTACGGTTTAGCGTTTGAAAGTTTTAGGCTTTGCCTCTATGGCACGCAGCGTTTGAAAGTTTAACCGTTTACCTCTATGGCAGGCTGCGCGCGCAGTACGCGTTACGGCTTAAAGTTTGAAAGTTTTTGGGTTTATGTGTGTGGCACGCAGTGCGCGCAGCGCGCATTAGGGTTTAGGGTTTGGAAGTTTTATAGTTTATTTTATTGCATGCAGCGTGCACAGCGTGGGTTGAACTTTAGGGTTTCGAAGTTTTAGGGTTAACCTCCATGACACGATGGTTTAGGGTTTGGAGATTTTAAGCGGTACTTCTATGGCACACAGCGCGCGCAGAGCGCGTTAGGGTTTAGGGTTTAGGGTTTGGAATTTTTAGGGTTTACCTCTATGACACGAGAGTTTCAGGTTTGAAGATTTTAGGGTTTATTTCTATTGCACAAAGCGCGCGCAGCGCGCATTAGTGTTTAGGGTTTGAAGGTTTTAGGGTTTATCTCTGGCACGCAGCGCGCACAGCACGCATTAGGGCTTAGGGTTTGGAAGTTTTAGGGTTTATTTTATTGCATGCAGCGCGCACACCGCGGGTTAAACTTTAGGGTTTGGAAGTTGCATAACACGATGGTTTAGGGTTTGGAAATTTTAGGGTTTACTTCTCTGGGACACAGCGCGCGCACCGCGCATTAGGGTTTAGGGTTTGGAAGTTTTAGGGTTTACTTTATTGCATGCAGCGCGCGCAGCGCGCATAGAGTTTAGGGTTTGGAAGTTTTAGGGTTTCAAGGGTTCCAAGGTTCCAGTGTACCAGGGTCCCACGGTTTCAGGGCTCCAAGGTTTCCAGGGTTCCAAGGGTTCCAAGGGTTCCAGGGTTTCAGGGTTCCAGGATCCCAGAGGGTTCCAGAATCCTTGAGGGTTCCTGGGTGCCTTCCACGGTCGCAGGGTTCCAAGGTTCCAGGGTTTCAGGGTTCCAGGCTTCCGGGGTTCCAGGCTTCCAGGGTTCCAGGGTTCCGGGGTTCCAAGGTTTCAGGGTTCCAGGGTTCCAGGGTACCAGGGTACCAGGGTCCCACGGTTTCAGGGTTCCAAGGTTTCCAGGGTTCCAAGGGTTCCAATGGTTCCAGGGTTTCAGGGTTCCAGGATCCCAGCAGGGTGCCAGGTGTGCAGGGTTGCAGGGTTCCAAGGTTCCAGGGTTCCAAGGTTGCAGGGTTCCAGAATCCTTGAGGGTTCCAGGGTGCCAAGGTTCCAAGGTTTCAGGGTTCCACGGTCGCAGGGTTTGAAGGTTCCAGGGTTTCAGTTCCGGGGTTCCAAGGTTTCAGGGTTCCAGGGTTCCAGGGTTCCAGGGTTCCGGGGTTCCAAGGTTTCAGGGTTCCAGGGTTCCAGGGTTCATTCCGGATTTTGAAGGCTGCAAGTCCCCGCGAGCCAGCCCCAGCCCTAGAGATTGAAACCCAACAGGCCCTGCTGTTGGGAATAAACCATCCCCAATTTCAGCATTTTTATAGATATCATATGGTTACCATTCCCAGTCATGGTAGGTTTATGGCATTGTTTTCATTGTTTTACCATGTTTTACCCTCTGGTTATTTAACATAGCCATGGAAAATCACCATTTTTAATAGGTAAACCAAGGTAAACCATCTATAAATGGGCCATTTTCCATGGCTATGTTAAATCACCAGCCAGCCACATAACCTCAGGCCGCAGCCACGGCCGAAGCAGCAGCAGCCACGGCTGCAGCAACTGCTAGCGCCTGGGGCCTGGGTAGTGCCATTGCTGGTGCTTCGACGGCGGGCTTGACGATACTTGGTGGAGTGGCGATCGGGGGATGACCAATGGACGATCTATGTATTATGGATCTCTATATATATATATCTATATATATATAGAGACAGACAGACAGACAGACAGATAGATGCATAGATGGATAGATGGATACATGGATAGATGGATGGATGGATGGATGGATAGATAGATAGATAGATAGAAAGAGATAGAGATAGAGATAGAGATATATAGATAGATGATTACAGTGTACATATATATATAAATTATATATGTGTATAGAGATTTGGATTTATATGGATTGAAGTGGATTTATATGGATTTATATGGATTTATATTATAGGAAACCCAAAATCCTTGTAGAAAAGTGGGACACCTGGAAATTACGAGGAGTATATATTCTATAAGATCCTGGAAGCACAGTTCTATGTGTTTGGGGGGGGTTTATATACAAAAATCCTCTGGCCACTAAACATTAGGGAAAATGATGAATAATCACTAAAATATCTTTTTGGCCACTAAATATTAGGGAACATGATGAATAATCAGTGGATGGAATGGGGTACTTGTGGATGCGCTTGTGCGTCAAGTTGTGAAGATGTTGTTGGCCCAGTCGAGACCTGTGATTTTGAAGATCGAAGACGTGTGGAGATGTTGTTGGAAATAAGACGTGTGAACTTATGAGGTTTTTCTTTGCAACCTGAGATTTGTGAGGAGGGTACCCTCTGGTAATTTGACAAAGTTATGGATAAAAAGTAACCGTTTTCAATACGTAAATCATCTGTAAACGGGCATTTTTTTCCAGAGGGCAAGCGGCACCTCAAAAGTCGAAGTGTTGGAGCATGGTATGCATCCCTGGGAGAGTCCTTTGTTGTTATAGGTGTTGCCAAGTTTGGATACTTTATGGTTTGACATATCTTGAGATCTAGATCCCTTATTGTGAGGCGTGACATACAATTATTATATAATCATACCAAGCTTGTATGTTGTGTTCTTAATATAGCCAGATTAAATTCATTACAAGTATGATTATTATAATATATTATAATGTAATATATGATATAGTATAATAGTGTATTCATATTATACTGACATTATACACCATCCTAATGATATATTATTTTAATGATACATAATGTCATATATAGTAACCTCCCACTAAAATAATGATCAATCACTTTTCTATCGCCAAAGGATCTCAGCTGCCACTGCTGGAAGTTCATCAGATGGCGTGTCGCACATTGCCGGGATGACGGTTACTGGGACAACAGCGGGAAGCTGTTGGGTGGGGATGGGGGTATCATATTGTTTTTGGGGATAGCAGAAAAAAAATGAAAAACACATGTTAATGTGGGCAAGCCAATGCCATAAACCATCATAAACCTACCATTTGGGGATGGTTTATACCAGCCATGTATGGTGAGTTTAGGTATGGCTGATTATCGGGTTTATCCAATAATACGGTGTTTTTCACCCAAAGATGAATAGGACATGATGGAGACGGATGGATTTCAGAGCAACTCACAGTTTCGATCTTGGATGTTCCAACGTTCCAACCCGTGGACTAGTTTGCCAGATTTGCTGACAGGTTCGGCTCATAATGGAGCAGATTATGACAATGGTGGTGGTGGTGATGATGATGATGATTATTATTATTACAGTATGTTTATTATTATTACTGTGCTACCATTAGGTGTTGGATGGTATTGTGATGATGATGAGGATGAGGATGAGGATGAGGATTATGGTGAGGAAGAGGAACAAGAAGAGGAAGAGGAAGGAATGACAGCCGGTACCTGAGGTGTGTTGATCGACTTCAACCCAGCCACCTCACATTCCCAACGGTTCAAACAGAATCACAGGATTCCAAAGATGAACTGGATTGTAAGTTCAGACAAGTCAGATTGAAGCAACCGATGTAATTATTTCAGACTCCGAGTTCAAAACGGTTCAGAACGTCGAAAGATATCCATGAGGGTCACGATTTGTCAAGATGTGAGCCCCCCTAACCCACAGTCTCCATGTTGTTTCCATCCTACCGGTGAGAAAGATTCCAGAGGATTTTCCTATTTTTCAGGCGGGTGGCTCAACCACCAACCAGCACATGTTGGATAGGTTTATCTAACCCCCAAGCGGGTCAGTGTGTTGCCATCCTGTGCCATGTCAGGTTGTTCACGCCTCTGCAGCCACTTGGAGTGCAGACACCAGACACTCAATCTCCGCTTGGGGATGGTGAACAATGGTGATAACCTCATGTTTGCGGATTCTTTTTTTGGAGATTCACCACATTTTTATATAATGAGAAAAATAGTTATCCAAGAATGAATGGTGATTTATAATGATTTCCCTGCAATTTTTGAGGGTTTCCCTTTGCTATCTCTGACTGGGCTGAACTCCACTGCTTGACATCATGGGAGTATCAAGCGGTCAGTCGGTCATTCTGACGAGCAAATAGACGAATCATGGAAGCATAATGAGCAAACAATAAGATACCCTTGGGTAAACTAAACTAACATATGTAAATGTGGAACATTAACCAGTTGTAGATTCTTTTTTATTGGGGAAACCATTTGTTTTTCTCATCTTTTTGTATGTTTACCCTATGGTAACAAAATGCATCTTCTCAATCTTATATGTTTTTCAAGTCTGGTGATCCCTTTTGATGGTCATATTACTTTGACTCAGGGGACCACCAGTAATTATGGTTCTATCCCATGTCCTTTGGTTGCAATTCTCTTCCAAGAATTAATAGAAATATCCATTTCATATTATATGAATATAGATACTTGATGATAGTTGTATAAGATTTCCTTCGGTGACGACCCCCCTTCCATGTATTTTCCTTGGAGAACCCCACCCTTCCCCGGTGCGCTCGTCGCGGCGAGGTTCGCGTGCGCGACGTCCGCCTGGCTTTCCGCGGCTTCAAATCCAACGCCTCAGCGGAACGAATCAAAGCTGGGAAGAGCTATCGAGACGTGGATCGCAACGGTGGAGACTGGCGATGGGAAAGATTTTATATGATCATTATGGGGATAGTAATGGGGATTACATGAAGTCTGCCAAGACACATTTTTCTAAAGCAAACATTTCGCCATAGGAGCTCTGTGCTGAAACATGCTGAAACTAAGGGTAACTGGTAACTATATAATGCTTGTTGATGGGCCTTCGTAGCATAGCAACTTTGGTGCCTGCGCTTTCAACCAATGCAACAGAGTTTTTTCCCGAGACAAAAGCGTTTTTACCCGTGCCCCAGTCTTGGATAGGTTTGGATGGTTTATGTTGATGTCCGCATCACAGTCGAATGGTACGAAGGATTGCAATTCGAGAGCTCACAACCCATGCAGGCCATGTCAATCCATGTTTTGCTTCAAATTGATCAGCTGTAGGTAGCATCACTATCACTTGCAACAGGTTTGTTGGTTTCCCTTCAACCTGGCTATTCTTGATCATTTGGAGCAAGAGCGTTTTTGGTCTCGGCGGCGGCGTTTTTGTCCGGCAACAACCAAAATAAATGCTGTTCCAGGCGAAGACAAAAAAAAAGGGCACCAGGAAGGCTTAGGTAGGACATTATGGGGATTATTATCACCATTATCATCATCATAGGCACCAGGTAGGATGATTATAGGCACCAGGAAGGCACCAGGTAGGATGATTATGATTCCATGATGATTTTTTCATGGTGATAATAGTGGGGATCACGCGGTGCCCCATACGAATTGTAAAGCAACCCCCAAAAAAGATAGAACAGCAAGGCATCCTATACTAAAATAGTCGAACTATGTCGAACTAGTGATGATTTACTTGTCCATCTTTTTTGGTGGTACTAAAGTGACAAAAAAAAATGGGCGTAAACCATCCAGTGTTTTCTGGAGATGTTGGTGGGGAAAAAAGCAACAGACTTGGGGATAACCAAATTTTCTGGACAGACATGTCCTAGCCTTGTGACTAGAGTGAACCTCTTGGTCCTGAATATTGAAAAATAATATGTACTGTATAGAGTTTGTTTCTCAAGCGCAATTCAATTGTCGTGCAACACACAAATACATGCGATATGTCACTGATATGTCTTCCCATAAAGAACTCCCATATTCAAATCCTGGCTGAGTCACCATGCATGCAGATAAGACGCGAAACAAAGCTAGTTGGTGACTTGAACAGATGATTCCCCAAGAAATCTTGGTGATGACCTCCACTAAAAAAACCACCCTGAGGAGATGTGTTGTTCTACCCAGATGGCACTGCCAAATGGAATCGCTCTCAAGATCTAGGCGCGGGCAAGGGTTCCGATATGAAGATGGCAGGGTGGTGGTGCCGGTGGTGCAGTCTGGTATAGTCTGCTGCTGGTGAGTTTGTGCGTATGTTGTACCGTGTGGAGATTTGCGGAGATGGGTATATAAACATCTAGAATACAAGCTATTCGGACGCAGAATGATATCATGTTCGGATATGTTTAGGATTGTTGGGGTGGATGAACATCCATTTACTTGCTGTATTGATGTTCACAGGCTACCAGGGTTTTGATCCACAGTCCCTGGCGCCATATCATTGACCTGTCAATGTCTGCTTGGGCCACTGCTTGGGATGATTGATGGCTCCTAATTTTGCTATTCTGGAGTATGGTCGCGCAACCCACAGATAGTTTTACAGTGTGTTGTCTTACAGAGCTAGCTATAGTGGACAAGAGGCATGATGGGTGAAGAATCTTTTGGAAGGCTTGATCAGATTCGGAATATGTTTCAATAAAGTCTATATACCCTCTGGTAAACTGACATAACCATTGAAAATCACCACGTTTCATAGGTAAATCATCTACAAATGGGCCATCTTCCATAGCTATGTTTAAAACGCTATGGCACCAGGATCCCAGGGGTCCCAGGATCTCGTTGTCGTTTCGGACCAGGTTCGCTGCCGTATCCGTTCCTGCATCTTGGCACCAGTTGGAGTATTTGCAATGATAGGACATGATATGACAGTCATGGTAGTAGTAATAGAATATATGTGAATATACATATGAATATAAATGAATAGAAATGAATATTGAAATCCAGCGCACCCTGGCATTTCTCCAATCAAAATCTTGCCACGACACCCTCATCCAAGATGACCTGCAGGACATTTTTTGGCACACCAAGTTTTGCTGCAAGTGAGGCTTTGCCATCGAAAAAGTTCGGCTTATCTGACATTCGATGGTTCACAAGTCCATGCATGCACTGCTCGAGATAGGCGGGGGCTACAACTGGGCTAACAAGATGGCAGCCAATTATGGCCCAGTGTGCCAGTGGTGCATGAGTCAATGTTCATTGAAATGTGTAGTGTCATATTGGGGAGTGACTTGAGATGTTCAAACATTTGTCTCGTAGAAGAGGTATCATTAGTTACTTTCACGTTCGCCTTCCTGCCAGATAAATTGGAGTTTGCACAAGAAATGTTTGCTTTCAAGGGGTTAGTAAAGAGCAGTTTGTATATGTCAGAACGAATTGCTTTTCAGTGTAAGTGGCAGAATTTGCAATGACTGCTTGCTCCCATGAACCGTGGCACTTAGATGACCTTGGGCCCAGTTGCCCCGTTCAGGCCTGGACAGTTGTGGTGGGCCGTGCCTGATGAACGCAGCTTGGGTGTTGGAGCAGTGGATTTCATGGGTGTTCACCAGCGGACCTTGCTGGGGATAGAGGCATTTCCAAACACGGTGGTGGAATGGAACAAAACTAGGAGTAGTTGATGTAATGAATGATCTTGGTGGCTCTTTGTCCCAATATGATCAAAATTCCGTATCCGTATAAAAGGTGTGTTTCCTCAAAGCATACGGGAGAATGGATTTTCCTAACCTCGCCCCCTTGCGAATGCGGCGGAAAGGTCAGCTGGATGACATATTCCAAGGTATGTCAAGACAACAGGAAGTCTTAGAGTTTTATAGTAAATTTACCCTCTGGTGAACTAACATAGCAATGGAAAATCACAATTTTTCATGGGAAAATCCACTAATAAATGGCCATTTTCCAGAGGGTACAGTGATTTACAGTAATTTACAGTAATTTACAGTACAGTAATTTACAGTAATTTATGCAATCCTTTGAGAGTCACAGGCCCTTTCATGGCCTGAGTTTTTTTTGTTCCTTGGGATCATGGTGGGTAGACCAAAGGTATACCTGGAGAGTTTGTGCTGCAGAATGCTGTGTCTTGGCGATGGTCGGTGATGCCGTGTTGAAGTGCAGTTTGTAGGAGAAGTGTACGATTTCTGAGGCAAACATAGGTAAACTATGAGATGTTGGAGCCTGTGACTCACTGTTTACTGTATGTGTTTTTCCAGATCGCAAGTAGTTTGGGTTCTGATAATTGTTGTGATTTTGGCACCATGACCTCTTGCCGAATCATTCGCAGATGTGAACCTGACTGTGATCCTGCATTCTCGAACATATCATGTTGGTCACAGAAATTGGGACGCTATTCATGTTCGCACATCCCAAGTCCACCAGGGCACAGATCAGATGTCCCAGTGATTGGAGAAGACTTGAACTTGAACGGAGTGGCCAAGTCCAAAAAGGGTGTAGTTTATATGTTCTATCCCAAAATTGAAATTAAAATGGCCGATCAAACTCGGAAAGTGATCATAAACCCTTGAATTTCAGAGCTTTTGAGAATGGATTTCCTTGGATCCAAGTGGATGTTCATCCGGGCCACCGGAAGTCAGGAGCATTTGTGCAACCTTCGCCTCGAAGAACCCCTGTGGCTTTCCCCGGACCGACGGATGGCCGTCAGGCGGGCTGCGATGAGCAAAGCACGTGGGGAAAGGGGCGCTTTACTGGGAAACCCATCATGGAAATGGGGAAACTTCTCTGGTTGAAATGCATTCTACCAGCAGTTTTAGTTGGAAAAGGATATATAATGAACTAAAATCTTCACCTGAGTGGGAGAGGATCACTCTTTTCTTTGCACTTTGAGCAATCATGTATAATCATATATATATATATAGCTCCGTACAAATCTTTCAACGTGTTTCCCAATAAACAAACACTGCAGTGGTTCCCCGTCTCAACCAAACCAATCAAAATCACTCAACCAAACTCAACAGCCTCAACAGCAGGTGAATTTATATATGCACATCTTCATACTATTCTACATATTATATTATATTATATTATATACTATATTGTATTATATTATATTATATTATATTAGATAATATTATATTATATTATATTACATTATATTATATTATATTGTATTATCTTATTGTATCATATTATATTATTTAGTTATCATATCTTATAATACATATATATATACATATATCTATCTATCTATCTATCTATCTGTCTGTCTGTTTGTCTGTTTGTTTGTCTATCTATCTATCTATCTATCTATCTTGACATATATATATATACTGCACATCTATGTATATATATATATATACATATCATATATACATATTTGGGGAGCAACAAAACAGATGTCACCTTTCCTTTGCATCTTCCAGCTACTCGAGGTGCACTCCGGAAGTTCCAGGGCAAAACTGGAGCCTGAGCCCAGGCTTTGAGGCTGTGGGATGCGGCCTCGGAGGGTCTGAAGATGTCGAGTTCAGATGGATTTTGCACCTGGAAAACCCATGGAATCCATGGATGGAAAATCTATGAACATTCCAAATTCCAAGGGATTAGAAAATTGTGGTCCCTATGATTCCATGCATGTGCGTAATTGAGTTGAGAAGTTGGAAACTTTTGAGGCTCTAAGTTTGACTGAATTGATGTGTGTTGAATGAGACTTCTTCCTCTGTGTTGATCCATGTTGAGACGCCCAGTTGATGATTTAGTGGTTCACTTCCGCAGGAAGGATCGGTTGCGTTGCGGAACGTACAGTGGCTGGCTCAGAGAGATGCAGGAGAATGAAAGGGCCTTTTGCCCTGGAAGAAAAATAGACAGGAGATAAAGCCACTGCAAAAGGATATGCGGATGGATCAATAATCCTAGAATCCTATGAGCATCTGGCAATACCAGCGGTTTTGATGTTCACCAAGAAACCATAAGAAACCAGGGATTCGACACATGCGCGTTTTGAAAAGGTTTGATAGTATATCTATCATATCCTGATCATGTCGGAATTTGCAGGGTTGAAAGCTGGAACATGTCAGGACTTCCTAGTTGCTCAGCTATAGATGTATCAGAGGGCTTTTTCCCACTCCTCAGAGCTTCCTAGTAGAATTGCCCTGGCACCTTTCAATGCTAGAAAGTAGGCCTGAAGGCCCTTTGTTGAATTCATCTCAAGGTATCTCAAGGTGCGATTGTCTGGAAAATAGGGATATACCCGTAAATTCAGCGGTTAATCATTACTATTATCCCCTTGACAATCAAAGCCAAATTCACCTTGGCTACGGCTTCATCCATATCAATCCCAAGCAAGGCTGGGTCAACAGCTCTACTACGATGGTTTCTTCATGGGTGCTTTCCACGAGGCTGGATGCTGGACGATCTGGACGAGGTATGTCCAAAATGACTGATGACAAATGCCCTACAAATATCAAACATGGCATGATTGGCATGATGATCATAATGGGAAATTCCCCGAACTAAATATGATGATCATATTTTTTTGGGCCTTACTAATTATATATATTATGTTCATTTCTTTTCCATTTTGGTGGATTCAATCCCCATGATGTCCGCCATCGTTCGGGGTCACCGGGTCACAGGTCACCTGTTCGTCAGGCCTACGAGGATCAAGACTGGCAAGTGCTTCCACAGGTGTTCGGGGCTGAGAAGATCCCAGATCCCATGGGATGTTCCATTTGCACCACAACGAGTTGCTCAGACTGGAAGGGCAACTCCCCCAGAAACGACATGCTACGTGATAGTAATGAATGTGTATATATATATATATTTAGAGATATATACATACACTAATAAAGAGAAGTAGGTAGGTAGGGAAATTATAGCTCGTATAGGTCTCATTGGGTCTTTGTAAATGAGAATAATTATTATGATAGGTCTGTGTGGTTCCCAGTCATATATGTTTCTGCGAGGTTTAACACATCAAAGGCTGGTTCATCTGTGGTTCAACAACCCAAAAAGTGATGTTGGTGACAGGGAAAACCAATCCTGAAAATGGTTTGGATTACGCCTCCCAGCTTAGTTGAGGGTTTGGTAGGCGACCAGCCTGGAGGATTTCTATGAATTTCTATCCCTGCACTGTTTTGCATGAGTTGTCCTTGGTTGCCAACATGGCATCTTACCGGCATTCAACGACAAGAAAGGTCTATCAAAATCCCAACAGCTTCAGCCCTGCTTGGGGGTCTGGAGGTGGTGGACTGTTTGCGGGTCGTTTTCGTGTCGTTGAGCTCTAATTACGTCGCCGCGCTGTCTATGGGGAAAGTGAGAAAAGGAGATTTGTGACGTGTGAAAGCACATTGTGAAGTGTGAAGTGGGGAGTGTGAAGAGTGGTGTGTAAAGTGTGGAGTGTGGAGTGGAGAGTGTGAAGTTTGAAGTGTGAGGTGTAAGGTGTGAAGTGGAGAGGGTGCAGTGTGGAGTGTGAAGTGTGAAGTGTGAAGTGAAGAGTGGGACGTGTGGAGTGTGGAGTGTGAAGTGTGGACTGGAAAGTGTGAAGTGTGCAGTGTGCAGTGTGGAGTGTGAAGTGTGGAGTGCGAAGTGTGGAGTGTGAAGTGTGAAGTGTGAAGTGTGAAGTGAAGAGTGTGACGTGTGGAGTGTGGAGTACAGAGTGTGGAGTGGAGAGTGGAGAGTGTGAAGTGTGGAGTGTGAAGTGTGAAGTGTGGGGTAAGAAGTGTGGAGTGTGATGTGTGAAGTGTGGAGTGTGGAGTGTGGAGTGTGAAGTGCTAAGTGTGAAGTGTGGAGTGTGGAGTGTGAAGTGTGAAGTGTGAAGTGGAGTGGTGAAGTGGAGTGTGGAGTGTGAAGTGTGGAGTGGAGAGTGCGAAGTGTGAAGTGTGGAGTGTGTGGAGTGTGTGGAGTGTGTGGAGTGTGAAGTAAGAAGTGTGGAGTGCGAAGTGTGGAGTGTGAAGTGTGGAGTGGAGAGTGCAGAGTGTGAAGTGTGAAGTGTGATTGGTGGAGTGTGGAGAGTGTGGAGAGTGTGGAGAGTGTGGAGCGTGGAGTGTGAAGTGTGGTGTGGAGTGGAGAGTGTGAAGTGTGAAGTGTGGAGTGTGGAGTGGAGAGTGTGTAGTGTGTAGGGTGTAGTGTGTAGTGTGGAGATTGTGAAGTGAACTGTGGATTGGGAAGTGTGGAGTGTGGAGTGTGAAGTGTGGAGAGTTAAGTGTGGATTGTGGTGTCTGGAGTGCAAAGTAGTACTGGGATTTACTTTGTGTAAGGTTTGCAGAATAAAGTAGTACTGTGAGGTACTGTGCGGAGGGTTTGTAGTACAAAGTAGTACTGCGAGGTGTTCCGGATGTGTCAAGCAAGAGTGTCCAACCAGAGTGTCTTCCAAGAGCGTCTCAGAGTATTGAGAGAGAGTGTTTTACCAGAGTGTGCCACAAAAGTGTCAGGCAAGAATGTATCACAAGAGTGTCCCACAAAAGTGTCCCACAAGAGTATGCCACAAGAGTGTCACAAAAGAGTGTCCCACAAGATTGTCCAAGAAGAGTGTCAACCAAGAGTGTTCTGCAAGAGTGGTGTTCAATGCGATCCAGCATCTCCTGTTCGCTTTTCATTGTTCTGTAGGAACCCTTCTTCTACGTGAGTTTGAAAAAAATGCATGCGGGTTCGTGGTTTCTATCAGGTGTTCTCAACTTCTGTTTGGACCGCTGATCTCTGACCCCTTTTTTGTCGGGCTACCGGCTCAACCTCTCGGCGGGGATGAGGCCTTTCTACATTGGTCACTTCAGGGAAATGCGGATGTCAGGCAGAGCTTTGCAGGGGAGTTTCCCCAGCTAGGGCGCAGAGGGATCATGGTGTTGGCACATGTCCATATCCATGGTGTCAGGAGATGTCAGGAGAGACAGAAAAATATTGACCACCATGAATCCAAGGTGATCACCATTTTTGGCCCAAAAAATAGTTTGAGAAATTTGGGTGTTGCATTTTTACTTTTTTTTGAAGTGTTTTCTAGTTTGTTCGATCATTTCAAATATGTGTTTAGTGTACCCATACAAAACCGATCAGAATAATGATTGACCTATAGACTCACGGTCTGATTTTTTGGGCACCAACCCACCCGTTTTTTTGGATTGAGTTTTGAGAGCTCCAAGTCTCAAAAAATTGGCCCAGGTAAGGGTCAATTCTTTTGGCCGAACGGTGCGCCTTTGTTCAAGGCATGGAATGCCTGCCGGATCTGCTAAGCAAAACGGGAAGATCTCCCCAATGTTTGCCATACCGATGGTTTACTACTGGGTTTATTGGGTTTATGTTTGGATCGTTCTACTTGGCTCATGTGAACATAATGCGAGTGTTTGCAGCAACTTCCCAAATCCCCATTTCCATTGAAAGGAACGCAAATCCACCAGATATGATTGATATGATTTACTGGAGCCTGGATAAAGCTGGGAAAGGCAATGAATTTTGGACCCCGGCCCCATGGACTGCTCCTGGCGGTCGCAGGGAAGCCTGAAGGCGGGCAAAGTTGTGGATGGTTTCGTCTTCGATGAGCCCTGGCAGTCCTGGGCTGCAAGCGGATGGAAGATTGGAGAGTAGCAGGAGTCAACTAGACAGATCTATGATGTTTTTTTTTAAATGTGTTTTAATAGTAATGCTATAAATAAACATTAATACTGTGTATATATATATGTAGAGATAGAGAGAGAGAGAGACGTTAATTCCGGAAACTTTGCAATTATACTGCAATTCGGCCATGAAAATACAGAACTGTATTTGGGCCTCCGATTGGCTCATGGAGGTTGTAGAGAGCAACTGCAATAGCAAGGATTTTTTGAGTTTTGCAGAGGTCTCTGTATATCATTTGCGTTTTTTTTCGTATTTGTATGGCCTTTGATCCTATGGCATTCTCTGGCAAACCATGGAGGTCTCCCTTTCGCTGAGATTTGGGTACTCCAACTCTGTGCTAAGTCTTAGTGATCATGTCAGTTCTAGGTTTGTTTCTTCATGTTTCCTACATTTTTGGGAAGGAATGGAATTTGGAAGCCTGTCAGGTATTAGTATTTGTGCTTCCTTTGTTAATATTGGCTTATCATTGCCCCAACAGGATCTGAGATGTCAATCTTGGATATTGAGGAAATTGGACATGTGGAAATCAATGTGGTGCTTAAGGCAGCTCAGAGACATGAGATTCTCATGGTCTTCATGGAAGCATCGTGGTCATTAACGGAAGCAACGACTGCCTGTTTGTTTGGAGTGCGGAAGCAGTGCAGTGTTTCTAAAAATTGTAATGTGTTTATGATAGTTTTTTGGCCTATAGCCCTATGGCTCAAAAATACTAACCCCAGAGCTGGATGATGTGGATGCAATGGGCTATGGTACTCGTACCAAAATGAACATGTTGCGGGTCTATTGATACGTAGAACGCTGGCTTTCTGTGCTGCGGAGCTGACCATGCAGATTGGCTCGGCAGAGGAAGAATGGTCCAAGATGCAATAAGTTTTTGCCACAAGCAAAGTGGAAGTTTCCATAGATGGGGGATCCCCAAATGGATGGTTAAAATGGACAATCCTGTTAAAGTGGATGATTTAGGGGTACCCCTATTTCAGGAACCTCCAAATCATCTAAACTACAAAGATTGCATGACAACAGCACACGGCGTCAGCAGCTCAATGGGGTGCACTTTCCTGCTCATAGTAGCATGGTCAGAATATCTGGACACTGTTGTCAGACCTGTGCGGACAATCAGATACGATGATTATTCTTGATATGCATCATCTTGGCCCAATGTGCCCTAAGTCACCAAAGTCTCTTTACAGCTGTACACATGGTGCAGCTTTGAAACATGGCCATGGTTGCCATTCTGGGCTCCACTTGGTAAACTTTTTTGGCTCCGCTGATTGAGCCTCTGCTCTGCGGCAATCATGGAGGACTTTGAGACGGGAGATGCTTGTCCTTGGAGATCTGAACATGGCTTGGAAAGGGGTTGACTGCCATAGACCGTGGCTGTCCCACAACATTTTGGAGTCAGGCAACTTGCGATGCTAGTCGAAGGATCATCCCGTTCTATCCCATGAAGGAAGTGCCTCTTCGGGGCTTTAAATGTGTTTAAAGCAGCAATAAAAATCAAAAGTCATCCCAATTTGCTCCCAATATTTCAGAAAACACCATTCGCCTGGTCGTAGCCTTGCCTTCCCAGCTCAGGATAAGATTGAGCAGCTGAACAACCTTCCAGTATGGCAGAAGATCGCTGAAGGCGACATTCATTTAGTGACCCAGAAGGACCACTGCTGAAACATGGTTGATGAAGATGCGTTTGAAATGCCTATATTAAATGGTTGGGAACTGGTTGGGAAATGGCTGCTTAGTGGATGTTTAATCAATATGTGAGGGATATTTGATGGATGTTTGGATATTTCATGGATGGACATGTCAATGTGAAGGGGAGTTTCCTGCCGAAGAGGCAACGAGGGCTGATTCATCTGGGACAAAATTTGAGGCTGCTCAGGCAGAATGGCTCAGGTCCTGAACATACGCAAATCTATCCTGAAGAAAGTTGCAAGACGTCCCTTCCTGAAAGGAACAAAAACCCAGGAGTGTGTGGGGTGTTTGTGCTAAATACGCGTTCAACATTTGAACACTTAATGGTGATACATGTCTATTTTGTGTGACTTCTCATCCCTCCTCCAAACTATCGACTATCAACCCAAAACTCCCTATCACCATCCATCGGGTTATATATTTTGGACTTGATTGGCATGTTCTATGGTGCCTCATGCGGATCACTCCACCCCATTCAACAGCAACTCTCATACTTCTACATTTCATTGCAATTCTACTAAAAGGTAATGTGCATACACATATAATATATATATATAATTATATATACACATATTATTACATATTATTACATATTATTACATATTATTACATATTATTACATATTATTACATATTATTACATATTATTGCATAGTGTATTACATATCATTACATATTATTACATATTATTACCACATACATATCTACACATATAAAAGCCTTGAAGAAATAGTCATTATATTATTATATCACATACTGTCACATACATATTATATGAGCTACAGCCAAAATTTAGGTTAATGGAGAGTAGTATTCGAGACATCTTTATTTTTTGGAAATTGAACTGGGGCGTGGAAAACTATCATACACTCTTCAAAAAGTGATGCCTTGGAGCTATATACCACATATTGACCGTTGCTCATATACATATTATATACATATTATATACATATTATATACATATTATATACATATTATATACATATTATATACATATTAAAGCATTCTTATATCATCTATGACATATGTTACACAGCACATATAGCTGACAGCGCAGGACATCCAGCAGCTGTTCAGCGTCATGGACGATGGCCGCAAGGGCTACGTCTCGGGCTCGGATCTCATGACGCTGCAGGCCGTGGATGCGGCAAACCTCTCGGAGCACGACCTGCAGGAGTTTTGTTGATGGAAATGCAGCGGGATGCATACGGAACATGTCTGGAAAATGTTTGGAATATATATATATTTATATATTTATATACACGGAATATAGATATATTGCATATAGATATATGGAATATTACATATATGTAGAATATATACATAATATACATGGGATACAACCCATGGAACATGATATTTCAGTCTGTCTGAAAACCTTGCAACAAACAACTTTAATATGATGATAAACAAAATCATATAATTTTGGGTAGCATTTTTTCTACACACTCGTATATGATGGTAAGTGGCAAGTTCAGCAATTGGGGAATCTACTGAGAATATGTGTTTGGCACACCAAATCATCAAATATTTTATAAAACATAGTCATGTTCAATGGGAAAATTAATGCCTTGAAAAATGAATGACAGTACGTATATATGTTGATATGGAGGAAAACATCATGATTTCATGGTGGTCATGACTTCACGAACTTGAATGATGGCAAGTATATGGGGCGTCATCATTTATTGTTACAAATCAGGGGAGTTTGTTATATTATATATACACATGCTACAAATGTGTATATATATATACATACTGTATATACATATTCTGTGGTTGTTAATATACATTCAATACATAACTGAAGCAATGTGTACAATCCAGGTTTATTCTAGTATAATTTGCCAGAATACGATACTTGCACAGGATGATCCTGGAAGATGGCATATAAATGGATAGTAACTGGGATGAACTCCCTTAAATTTTACCGGAAAATAGTGGGACAAAACCCAGATACAGAATCAGTAGTTCAGTATCTGGGGTTTATCAGATGATGTATCTTAGGATTTGACGTTTCTTTGGGGATCTCAACCCAGTTACCTGCCATGTACTAACTTCATTAATTTTCCCATTGGGATTGGTATCAGATGGGTTGATGAATATATAGTCTTCGATCGATATGTTATCGACAAGTGTCTGGAAGCAAATTGCAACCTTGCCTCTCTTGTCATGGTGGAAAGGACCTTGACTTCTGAGGACACGTTCAATCCTAGCCGCGTCGACATGTGTTTGGCAATTTCCTCCCTTTAACGGGAAGTTGATTTTGATCCCATACTTACCCTCTGGTAAACTAACATAGCTATTGAAAATGGCCATAAAAATACTGGATTTTCCCATAAAAAATGGTGATTTTACATAGCTATGTTAGTCATTACCAGAGGGTATGTTAAGGTCATGCTTGCTACCTACTGCTCCATATGGAATCCCCACTGTGCACACAAAATTTACCATCCCCAGCCACATGATTTCATGCAGGCTGCTAAATTTATTTGAAGAAACAAGTGACCGTCATTTACCGTATCGATATGGGAGACACAATTTAGTAGACACCAATCTGCTGACGTTGGCAAGTTGCTAGATTCACTATCTATCTTGTACATCCATTGCTTGAGTTTCTTGGGTACCCATTTTTGAACGGCATCCGCTTGCCTGTACCCTTCCCAATCGATGTTTCTGGCGGACGTTACCCATCCCGCAGGAGTTGGTTAAGGAGGTGGATAAAGATGGCAACAGCAAGTGCTCGCCCGAGGAGCTGCCTGGAGCGGTGGAAGAACTGGGGTAAAACAATGCCATTTTTACCAGCCATCACTGGGAATGGCTTATACCACCTATAACAATTGTGATTGGGGGGATGCTTTATTATTGTTTTACACACATTTGAGAAGTGGGAGGATCGCCTGCGAAGTTGACGGAGCTGACATGTTCTACTGTTGTGTTAGTTGTGTTGTACCGGTGGTTTATGTAGTCATTAGAAAGCATTATTACAATGTGGGCCCCCCAGTTATAAGTTGGTTTATAAACCCCATTAACTATAGTTATAAGTACCATAAACCATAGCTATCTTGGGGGCCCCACATTGTAGTCATGAGAAAGCCGGCACACCGAAACACGTCAACATTTACCCAGCAAACGTGCTGCCAGTTGCCACAGCATATCTCAGGGCCTTCAGGGCCTCAAAGCTGCAAACCTGCCATACACATGGGGAAATCTTGTGATGGTAATGTGGATATATGGGTATGGATCAATACCTATTAATACCATTTTTAGTGGGATGAACATCTATCTACCAGCTATTTTGATGTTCACCAGGGGTACAAGGTTTTGACACACTGCCATATGTGGATATGATGATCAAAAATTGAATGCCCAAGAATTAGGATCATCATATCTATATCCATACCCATCCATATATTTGATATGGATAGATGCTTGATTTTTTGCCCCATATCCATGCATTTGTCGTGATAAGCCACCGAAAGTTGAGCAGAATCTGACTGGATGATCCCAACTACAAACTCTTTGGGTGGCCATTAGTTTGTGTCCCTTTTCATAGCAAGGCCACCGTTTGCTGCAAATTTACGGTTAAAACATGTCAAAACAACTGTAGGACTGCTGGGCTGGTCACCCTGGCTGGCTGTATCAATTGTATTTCTAGATTTCCAAATGATTTCCCTCAACAAAATTATATAGAGAATTATAGAGACCTCCTCTTTACGCTGCAACCCTTCAGTGCAAAAACACAGGAGACTTCATTTGAGTAGACTTCCAAAATTTCATAGATGAATATGGATGATATTCCCATTAAGAATGAAGCGTTTAACAGCCAGCGCAAAGCTGGAGGGGTTCCGATGACGCCCAGGTTGTATCATGCGATCACCTCTGGCGCTATCGCCTTCAACATCGTCAAGGAATCCCTACGGAAGAAGGAAATCGAGGTGCGATCCTACAACTGTGACAGGGAGAAGTTGCTGGAGTGGATGAAGACTGAGACTCGGTTTGCTCGGATGAGTCGATGGTTTCATGTTTAATCAAAATGGGGTCAAAATGAGTGGAAGTAACTTATAATTTCTGCGGAAGGCTGACGGAGTTGAGAAACTATGTTTGTTGCAATACACCCATTGATTCACGATGATATTATATATATATATTCATGATTGGTGATTTACATGCCATTACATCATGTGTGTTTAGATGTACATGTACGTGTAGGTACGTGTACGTATAAATATATATATAATGATATATACTGTATATATATATATGTATTAATATATATATATACATAATACATATATAGATAATCATAAATCTGTACAACGGGGCCGGGGAGAGGTTATGCATGGTTATGCCACTAGTGGGTATCCCTCTGGGATGAACGGCTTTGTCTTTGCATGGGAGCACAGTTTTTTCTTTCGGATCTGAAGTGTGTTGTGCATGGAAGGCATATTACAACAGAAAGTACGAATAAGTACGAAGTGAATGCCGAAAAATTGGAGTAGCGAGCAGTCTCTGGTAATTTTTTTCGGTCGGTGAAAACATCCTCCAATTGTAGATGATTTACTTCTAGAAGATATAATTGTTTCCCATTGACATGTTCAAGTTCCCGAGGGTCGCGGGTTTTGAACGTCTGTGGTCAAAGATTCCTGTCCCCCAACTATATCCATAGCGAAGTCGTTGGGATTTTGATGGCTCCCAGAGGAATTCCTATGAAGGTACCTCAAATCATCCAAAATCTGTTGCTTTTGTGCCACTCCTTCGTTTGATGATTGTTCACAAACACTTCCCAAAAGAGAGCGTCAGGATGGATGATCTGTTGAACATGAATATGAACTAATATGAACTAATAAGTAACTCTAAGTAGCTGCGGAAGCAAAGAGTAGCTTGCTTGTTGGTACTGTATCAACTGGGATGCAATTGAAGCAACATGTTCAAGAGCTGATTTGGAGATGTGTCAGGCCGCATTGCGGCCACCAACATGACAGGCCTATTCCCAGCGGTTTTCTTCAAAGCAGGGTCCCGCGGAGTACACTGATCCATTGCTATGTGGGTTTGTCTGCAAATGAGATGCCCCCGCAATTCCAATGGAGTATCATAATTATCACATATGATCACCATTGAAATTGTTGTGTCTACTTAGTCTACTTTCTCAGTTGCGGTGTTAACCCCCCAAACATATTTTCAGACACTGCCATCACGTGCCATCCCCCAGGAGTATGAGACTACAGCTGCATTGTGGTCCTTACCTATGACCATTGGGTCCTTCATCACCTTTGCCCTGGTGGCCAACACGCACATCGACCTCTTCAATGCCTGGAGGGTCCACAACGCCTTGCAAGAGCAGTTTCCGGTGCCCTGGTGGCGAAACTTGCCGCGTTGCGGCAGAAAGTGCCTGGTAGATGTGCTACAAAGGTGGAGGTCTCCCAAACTTCAATGGATAAAGCGTTGGCAAGAGGTTGATCCAAAGCCTCCGGCTGATGTTTACAACTGTGGCTGGAAATATGGATCAATCTTGAACTCCCATCACTGAATATTACTCCAGTACTAGAAAATAGTCAGCCAATTTTCAGCTTTCGAGGTTCAAACCGCAATGAATGTCTCAATGAATTTCAGCAGTGATCAAATTAATTACTCAAAACCGGGGCTCTATTCGGGTGCTCAAACAGTCCCAGCGAGCACGAGTGTGTATCATACTCATGGCTGCACAATGCTTGGGACAATGATCCCAAATGACAAGCACTTGAGTTTGCTTGATAATAGGGGTCCCCCGATTCCCATTGTTGGTGGCTCGGTCATCCTGTAAACGCGTTTCTTGTGACGGAATTCCTATGAGCACGGATGCGCATTTTTCTCCACGTATGTCATCTTTTGGGGTGGGGTGGGGTGGGGTGGGGCACTCACGTGATGCTACGTGATAGATTTTAATATATATATAGATGGGTTGGGGTGGGGACGGGTGGCGGGAGATAGTAACATCAATTGGCACTTGCAGGCTCACGTGATGCTACGCTATGGATCTTACCTCACAAATGTGTCCTGCTATAGAGATGTGCTACATTAACCCAGCTTTGCAACCCAACAGCATACCTGAATCTTCCACCTACGTCTTTTTTCAGACCCTGTGCCAAAGTCCTGTTTTTTCAGTACCCAGAAAACTTTTCAGGACCTACTCTCAAATTCAGGACCTGGCCATTTTGGGGTATCAATGGTAATGGCAATCATTGGGTGCAAACATGTGAAACCAACATTTGGTGGATATTCAAGCCATTGGCATTGATCCACGCAAATAAAAGAACTCCCAGCCCAAACTCATGGCAAGGCAGGATCAGAATATAGTATATTCCAGAAAGTATGTCAGAATAGATGCCAGATAGGATGCCAGAAAGAATGTCAAATAGAATCTCAGAAAAGAATGTAAGATAGTATGTCAGAACATATATGCCACATATACGTCCAGATGATATGTCGGAAACTATGTCAGAATAGTGTGTCAGGGTGGGGATCACTCTTAGTAAGGCAATTTTGAAAATATATTTCAGGTTCGGAATTTTCAAACTGTTGTCCTTCAGGCGCCGAAGCTCCCGTTGAAGGTCAGCATCGCCCCATGTCAACTGGTCCAGTCCCACTTCCATTTCAACAAGTCCAACTTCATCGATTAGGGTGTTGGTTGAATAAACTTGGGACTCTAGCTGGCACGGCATCCCTTGTAACCCTGTAGACACTGTAGTGGGCAAAAAGATTGTAACACACAGAATCAGCATCATTTTGATCAGGCATTCTTTTTGCTAATCCTTTCTCCCTATTTCGAAAAATACCCCCAAATGACAAAAACTAGGTTCGATTTCCAATTTTGGGAAATGTCAAATTGGTTAATGTGATTTTTAATTGATCCCCTTGAGGAAACAATTTAAAAAATGAAGGTACCATGTGAGGGCTTCACCCCCAAAGAATAAAAAACTAGTCAACACCGGGGTGTCTTTTATTGGGGTCCGTCCTTTAAAATCGTCAATTTTAGTTTTTTTAATTCAGGTGTTGGTGTTTTATTTGATACTAGGCGAAAGCTTCGAAATCCTATTCTTGGCAGTATTCTATTTAAAGATTATTTTCATGGATTTTGAAATTAGAAACAAAAAACGGTTTAATCCCTTCCCCCTGTTGCTAAACAGTCGCCCCTTCACCCACCCACCCAAATAACAAACACCTGGAGGAGTTTTTAGTATTGGGGGGGTCTTTAGTATTAGGGTACGAAGCTTCCCCCTAATACTGATAAAAAAACACACACACATATATATATATATATATACACATATTTCTATTTCAAAATCGATCAGATTTCTTTCTTTTTAAATCCAATTAAAATATGGCAAACAAGTGGATTCCGAAGCTTAATATCAAATAAAAACCCCCAACATAAAAAACTATGTATGTTTTTCTATTTCGAAATCGATTAGATTTCCTTTTAAAAATTAAATAAAATATGGCCAAAAAATTGGATGTCGAAGCTTTTCCCTTATATTAAACCCTAATATCATTTTGTTTTTTTTCCTGTTTCAAAATCGATTAGATTTCCTTTTGAAATCTAATGAAAAAAAAACAAAAAATTGATTTTGAAGCTTTCCCCTAATATCAAATTAAAATCCAATTATTAAAATATGTTCAAAAATTGGATTTCGATGCTTCCCCTAATCTTGCATGAAAAATTCCAATATAAAAAACTAAATTTGTTCTATTTCAGAATCGATTAGATTTCCTTGTAAATTCAAATTAAGATATTGCCAGAAATTGGATTTCGAAGCTTTCCCCTCATATTAAACCCTCATATCAAAGACTATTTTTTCTATATCAAAATTCATTAGATTTCCTTTTGAAATCTAATTAGAATATGGTCAAAAATTGGATTTTGAAGTTTTCCCCTCATATTACATTAAAAAAACCTAATATAAAATTATGTTTTCTTTTTTGAAATCGATTCGATTTCCTTTTAAATTGTAGTAACAAAAATAAAAACAAAAACCGGATTTCGAAATGCTTCCTCTAATATTAAATTACCAGCCCCAATATATTTTAAAAAAAACTGTTTCAAAATCGATTAGTTTTCTGTCTAACATATAATTAAGATATTGCTAAAAATCGGATTTCGAAGTTTTCCCCTAAGATTAAATTACAAACACTAATAAAAAAAACTATGTTTTTTCGATTTCAAGAATCGATTAGATTTCCTTTTGACATCCAGCAAAAATATTGCCAGGAAATGCCAAAAAGTGGATTTCGAAGTTTTCCCCCAATATTATATAAACGTTGTAATATAAAATACTTATTTTTTCGACCTTAAAAGACCCTAGTTTAAAAAATCACCAGGGCTGACTAGTTTTTATTTTTTGGTGGTGAAATCCTGAAATGGGACCTTCATGTTTAATTTGTTTTTGAAAAGGTATCAATTAAAAGTCAAACTGGCCAGCCTGAAATTTCCCAAAATTTAACGCGGACCCTAGTAAAAGGAATCAATGTAATATTTTAGTATTTAGGGTACGTTTAGTAAAAGGAGGTGGGGATTAGTAAGGTTTTCAATTTAATATAAGGGGAAGCTTCGAAATCCAATTTGGCAAGATTTGAGTTAGATTTTGAATAGGAATTCAATCGGTTTTGAAATATAAAGTTCATTTTTTAAACGAATGTTTTCAATTTAATGTCAGGGGGAAGCTTCGGAATCCAATTTTGGCAATATTTTAGTTAGATGTTATTTAAAAAATGTTTTCCAATTTAGTTTTTTTTAACCAAGGGGGAAGTTTCGCACCCTCATACTAAATACCCACTAAATACAAAAAACTATTCCGTGTGTTCATTATTGGGTGGGGAGGGGCAGACGGTTTATTATGACGCAGGGATTGGTCAGGCATCACTTGCTGGAATTATTGGATTCTTTTGGGATGATTGGTATGATGTTTAGTCAGGCATGGTTCCCTTCAGTCATGCACGATTTTTGCAAAAATCCTATTTAGGCACGACCCCAAAATCCCAGCCCGGCAAATTCCGGCCCGGGCCCGGCAAATTCCGGCCCGCGCCCTGCAAATTCCGGCCCTGCGTTTTTCCAAAATCAGGCAAAACCAGTAAATCAGGTATTAAGTCAGGTGTAGTTACCTTTTAAGTCATTAAGGCTAGTCAGGCATGGTTCCAGTGGGTACCTTTTAATTGTGAAGGCTAGTCAGGCATGGTTCCCTGAATTCAGGGGCATGGGTACCTTTTAATTATGAAGGCTAGTCAGGCATGGGTTCTGTTAAGTCAGGCGTGGGTGGGTACCTCTTAATTATGAAGGCTAGTCAGGCATGGTTCCCTTAAGTCGGGTGTGGTTATGCTTTAAGTCATGAAGGCTAGTCAGGCATGGGTACCTTTTAAGTGATGAAATCTGAATCAGGCGGAGCTCCTATTCTAAATGTGTTAAATCCAATTGTTCAGTGTGGAAAATCGATTTTTTGGTTGGTCTACGGGCAAACCCTGTGTCTTCCAATACCATAGCGTGCTGATGTGCTTGCCTGCATAATAGTTAAGGCCAAAGCTTAGGTCATCAGTGTGATCCTGAAATGGCGCCACGACCAAGAAGATGACATGTGTAAAATGGGCCCTGGATTAACAAAGGCTGACTAATGAATTTGGAGGATGCCACTAAAGTATGACATGTAATCACTTTTGAGGAGCACTCTATGGCACGCAGCGCGCGCAGCCTGCTTTACGGTTTAGCGTTTGAAAGTTTTAGGCTTTGCCTCTATGGCACGCAGCGTTTGAAAGTTTAACCGTTTACCTCTATGGCAGGCTGCGCGCGCAGTACGCGTTACGGCTTAAAGTTTGAAAGTTTTTGGGTTTATGTGTGTGGCACGCAGTGCGCGCAGCGCGCATTAGGGTTTAGGGTTTGGAAGTTTTATAGTTTATTTTATTGCATGCAGCGTGCACAGCGTGGGTTGAACTTTAGGGTTTCGAAGTTTTAGGGTTAACCTCCATGACACGATGGTTTAGGGTTTGGAGATTTTAAGGGGTACTTCTATGGCACACAGCGCGCGCAGAGCGCGCGTTAGGGTTTAGGGTTTAGGGTTTGGAAATTTTAGGGTTTACCTCTATGACACGAGAGTTTCAGGTTTGAAGATTTTAGGGTTTATTTCTATTGCACAAAGCGCGCGCAGCGCGCATTAGTGTTTAGGGTTTGAAGGTTTTAGGGTTTATCTCTGGCACGCAGCGCGCACAGCACGCATTAGGGCTTAGGGTTTGGAAGTTTTAGGGTTTATTTTATTGCATGCAGCGCGCACACCGCGGGTTAAACTTTAGGGTTTGGAAGTTGCATAACACGATGGTTTAGGGTTTGGAAATTTTAGGGTTTACTTCTCTGGGACACAGCGCGCGCACCGCGCATTAGGGTTTAGGGTTTGGAAGTTTTAGGGTTTACTTTATTGCATGCAGCGCGCGCAGCGCGCATAGAGTTTAGGGTTTGGAAGTTTTAGGGTTTCAAGGGTTCCAAGGTTCCAGTGTACCAGGGTCCCACGGTTTCAGGGCTCCAAGGTTTCCAGGGTTCCAAGGGTTCCAAGGGTTCCAGGGTTTCAGGGTTCCAGGATCCCAGAGGGTTCCAGAATCCTTGAGGGTTCCTGGGTGCCTTCCACGGTCGCAGGGTTCCAAGGTTCCAGGGTTTCAGGGTTCCAGGGTTCCGGGGTTCCAGGCTTCCAGGGTTCCAGGGTTCCGGGGTTCCAAGGTTTCAGGGTTCCAGGGTTCCAGGGTCCAGGGTACCAGGGTACCAGGGTCCCACGGTTTCAGGGTTCCAAGGTTTCCAGGGTTCCAAGGGTTCCAATGGTTCCAATGGTTCCAGGGTTTCAGGGTTCCAGGATCCCAGCAGGGTGCCAGGTGTGCAGGGTTGCAGGGTTCCAAGGTTCCAGGGTTCCAAGGTTGCAGGGTTCCAGAATCCTTGAGGGTTCCAGGGTGCCAAGGTTCCAAGGTTTCAGGGTTCCACGGTCGCAGGGTTTGAAGGTTCCAGGGTTTCAGTTCCGGGGTTCCAAGGTTTCAGGGTTCCAGGGTTCCAGGGTTCCGGGGTTCCAAGGTTTCAGGGTTCCAGGGTTCCAGGGTTCATTCCGGATTTTGAAGGCTGCAAGTCCCCGCGAGCCAGCCCCAGCCCTAGAGATTGAAACCCAACAGGCCCTGCTGTTGGGAATTACGTTATGGAGTTGGGGCAGTAACGTTCACGTCAACTTGTCCAATTGTTCTTACACTAGAGATGAGGAAACAAAGGTGCCCAAGATGTCTCTTGGCGCGCGTTTACGAGACAACCGGGCGTTGTTGGTCATCATGTTGGAAACTGAACTTGCCAAATTACTGTAACCATTGATCCTATTACTGTATACAATCAATTTCAGACACACACACAAAAACATCAAACTAGTGTTGCAACGTTTTTATCATGTTTTACAATGAGTTATAATGTGTTACAATGTTGTATACTATGTTATAATGTTTTTATCTATCTATCTAATCTTACCTATCTTATCCTATCTCTCTTATGGTATTTACCTTACCCTATCTATTTGATCCTATCTATCCAATCCTACCTATCTTATCCTATCTATCTTATCCGATCTATCTTATCTTATCTATCCTATCCTATCTATCCTCTCCTATCCTATCCTATCCTATCCTATCTATCCTATCATTTCCTTTCCTATCCTCTCCTATCCTTTTCTATCTTGAAGTTCCTATCCTATCTTATCTATCTATTCATCTATCTAAATCTAATCTTGACTAAGCTAAGCCAATCCAATCTAATCTATAATCTAATCCATCCATCCATTCATCCATGCATCCATTCATGCGTCCATCCACATCCTATCCACAATTTGTAGTTTCCCCCAATTATGTTTGTTTTTAATCCCAGTTATTTTGATGGTTACACCCTCCTTTTTAATGATGCGTTCTTCGGGTTTGTGCGCCAACAAGCCTGCAGTTGTTCGAAATTCTCAGAGGTCATGACTCTGCCGTACAAGTTCAAGGTGGTGGATATTCCCACTTTGAACAAATGGACAGAGGACTACTACATCCCCACGGTCTTTCGTCAGGATCCTGTCTATGACCCGATCCCTGGAAGGATCGCCCACCACAACCAGGTGGTCACAGGCTCGGTAGAGGATCACCCCACTGGTTTTCATAGCCCTGGTGGGTAGCTATCCCACTGGCTTATAACATCTATAAATGGAGTATAACTATGGCAAAATTAGCTACGAATAGGGGGATCCTCGAAGTTTCCACGCATGACTTGGATGATTTGGGGCTTCCCATGGCTTTGGAAACTCCCATGGCTGTTTCCAATGGCATTTCACGGAAGATAAGGATGCAAATTGTAGCCTGGTCAAATGAGCGCAAGTGGCTATTTCACTTTGAGGTGTATTTGCTTGATGGAGTGTTGACTCTCAATAGCGGTGTCGCCAAGTTGGAGACACCCAAGTGCGATATACCGGTATACCCTTCTTCTCACACCAAAATGGTAGTTGGATGTTTATCATGTTTATCATTGTTTCTCTCCAAAACAAATATGATATGTTTATGTATTTCATAGGTTTTGGATCATTTTCAATCCCCTTTGTGAGTCATTCCCTCCAGGTCCGGTATCCGTTTTGCGCCAGGTATCCGTTTTGCGAAGTTCTTTCGGGACCCGCAGCCGTGCCCTTTGGACGAGGTGCTGTCGCGGGTCTTCAACTCCGTTTCAGGCAATTGTTACTTCGAGGGTGAGGCCGGGTTGAGCGGAGACATGGATGCGCGAACGTGGGTAAAGAATTGGTATACCAAGGTAATTATGATAATATATATAATATACATTCATATACACATACAATCATAAATAGATATACACATATACGATCACACATATATATATATATACTTAAGTATACTGATTCTAATGGCTAATAACCCTATTATAATACGTCACTATCGGTTTGATAACTTCATAGACCATCCCAAATTGATTCATGGTAGATTAGTAGTGATGGCTTTGGGTTAAGAAGATAGCAGATGGATTGGAAAGTTGTGAGGCTGATCAAAATTATTGACTTCAAAAAAATCAGTGGGTTGAAGAAGGACTATCAAGTTTTTTTGGTCCAGTAGTAGCTTCCACACCTGGAACCATGCCATGAGCAGACCCAACTCTCACGTGGTATTTTTCGTGTTGTGCAGGATTTGTTGAGCTTTCATTCTGAAGTCTTGAAAAAGCGTAATCCTTTACCGTTCAATCCTTTCCCATTAAATGCCAACATTTACCAAAATGTGTCCAAAAGACCAGGCAGTGTTTGGATGCCTAGATTTCAGCAAGATATAAGGCTAAGGTATATGTATATAATACATGTACGATGTACATACCCACATATATCCGCATTGTATAATTATCATCTCTTCCGGTTCAGCAGCCCTCACCACAGCTTCTCAAAAAAAAAACATTGGTTGGTAGTTCCTTAAATATTGTGCCAGCCCCAAGTTGATGCGATGATTTGTCATTGAGTCATCCTATTTTTTTCTGGGGCCAACGGCTCAATGGCTCAGTTGAAGTCTGACTTTGTGGTCTTCCCGTACCAGCTGGAGAGACCTGTGCTGCTCGAGACCTTCAAAAATATGACTCGCCAGCCATGGCTAGATGAAGCAGTCGAGAGGCTCGAGTATCAGGCACGGCAGCCTGCAGGCTTTCCCGAAAAGTTTAGGGGATGTGCAATTGATGCCTGGAATTCCAGGAGACCTATCTAGCCTATAAAACATCTATAAACTATAGATCAATAGGTTCAAGAAACTGCTCAGATGTAAATGGCCGTGCTCTCTGTGACGGTACTTTGGTCCATTTTGAAAGGATGTTCTTGAAAGGAAGGGTTCTGCACACTACGTCTTGAAGCCGCAAGGTCTTCACGTACAATGCCATGGTGAACTTATATACCTTGGAGAAACAGGAGTTCACCTTTGAACTTGATGGCCGCCTGATTCACAGATTTCAACACGAGTCCTTCATTGCGGAACCTTATTTGTCACTGGGCATACCAAAGGGTTGATAGATGGAGCGCCCACAGGCCATCATGATCCCAACCGCGTGTGTGCACGCTCCGAGGTCTGTCTTAGCCTTTGTTCCGGACGTGGCCTTCTTGTTATTAAGCTTACGAAGCTGGTGCTTGAAGTACGTCTGCGTGTGTGTTGTTTCATTGCTTCTTTGTTCCATGCAATAAACTGAATTGAAGCCATGGGATTTAGATGGATTTAGTGTATGGCCAATCTCAGCTGAGATGGGAACACGACAAATCTGCCAATATGGGATCCTTTTTTTGAAGCAACTTGGGTCATGATGGTCACCAGCAACCAGGAAGTGTTTACGTGAATCTCAAGGAGGTGGTTCCTGCTCTCATGGCGGGACTTGATGGACTGATCAACTACCTGACCTTCTGGAAATCTGTGGAATGGATTTCACTGCTCTTTGGTATCGGCTGCTTCATCTTGTGGGTGTCTGGAAAGATTGTTACAAAAATCGTATTGTTTTGATATAGTTATATATATATATATCCATAATTGCCACAATTATGGTTAATGGATAATATATATATATATATATTATACTCATATTCTGTTTTGCCATATGTTTTGACATACCTTCAAAGCAATCCAAAAGCCCCACGGCCACCATGGGATGCAGGTGACAGTCTACTTGCAAATCACCGTGGAGCTTCCAGAGGAGATTGCAAAGTTGCCCAAACAGGACTTCGATGAAGCAGTGCGTGAGAAAGGCCGCTGGGATCGAATGGAATGCTCATGGTTTAGTATCACTTTCTTCAACTGATATAAACTGAGGGGCTATACTGCACTCCATTTTCAGACAAGCCTAAATTGTAATGTTCATTTTTTTCTATAAATGGGTATTGTGAAATATTATAAAGGCTATCCAACTAACAGCTATAGCTATTTTTTTGTTGCAGGGTAGCTATTTTTTTGGCCGTGGGATGATCTTACTCATTCGGCATGTCATTGCAAGCGGACGCAGCTGCCCTGTCAGAGGCCAGTATTTGGACCTTGTTGAGTTGCAACGGATCATGAGCATTCCACGGATCGCAGCTGTTCTGAACGACATCATGACTGTGGGCAATAAAATCCGCGACAATCACGAGTTTATGCGAAACTTGTTCGCCCTGAATTTTGTGGCCCTGATTCTGCGCTTCTTTAAGTCGTTCACAACAAATCCGCGACTGGACGTGGTGATCCAGACCATCGTTGATTGCACACCCAATGTGGCACATTTCTTCATCGTGTACTTCTCCCTGTTCGTTTCCTTTGCATTTGCTGGACATTTCCTGTTTGGCAGCATTCTGGAAGGATATTCTACAGCTTTAGCTTCTCTCTTTACCCGTTATCGGAAGTCCATGACCTTTGAGGTTCTGAATGAGATGCCGGTGGGACATCAGATTTTAGGCTATACCTGGGTTTGGTCTTACCAGCTGCTGATGCCTTCATTGATCTTAAGCGCCTAGGCATGCCTCGGCCTTGGCTCACAGCTTGGGATGACTACTGGCTGCTCAAAAAAACATCAAACATCCAAGCACCTTAAATGGATCCCTAAACATCTAGATTCTGGTTGCTGTCAAAGGATCTACAATGATCTACAAATTATTTAGTAGTTATATTTGCAGAGGATCCATGGAAAATCACGGAAAAATCGGTAACAGCTCGAGCCCGGGGCCATTTGCAGATCATCGGAGACGCCTCCGGTGGGTCCAAGGTATGTTGATCGGCATTGTCTTCGGAAGCTACTACGCCATTCAGAGTCGGGTGGGTGAGCCCGTGACGCTATGGACCCAGGTCCGAAAGGCCATACAGACTGCAGCCGAAACCAGGACAGCAAAAACCATCAAAAACCTTAAGGGAAAAGGCCGAGTCGGGTGTGGCTCAGAATCATCTGAGCAGATTTGAATACAATTATATGCAATTACACCATTGATCACAATTTCATAAGGATACTTGCCACACTACATTATATAATATTATGTTAAATTGGATTGTTCATATCACTTGGTTGGATTGTGATTGAAACTCTACAGGAAATCTATCCAATTCTGGGAAATATATGTTTTTTTGATTTTTAGACCATGCTATACCAGAGGGATGGCTATGGATCAAAACCTATCGAAAGCCATACATGATTCCCTTCCTCCAGGGATGAACATCCACGGTACCACGGTTTTGACCGATAGCCGGAATCTAATGGTTGGGGTACTTGTACCCCCAAATAAAGACGTTAATCATCAAGATTTCCCCATGAATCAGTGACCATTTTTGAGCATACTGACCTATTTCAGACATAGCCGAATCTAAGCATGACCAACTTTCGAGTCCATTGCGACTGCATCTTTGAGAAGGAACTTCATGAGCTTGTGGAGCCTGATCGTCTCATTGGAAGATGATGACTATCCTGCGCACCCGCAGAAAACGGTGACTGCTGCTGGGCCTGCAACTGGTTGGTGAAGTGTTGACACACATCTACCACCAAACCATTCGAGGTCTATTAGGTATATTATGTATATTATATTTGATCCAACCCCAGTTGGCAGTTCTGCTGGACGATTTAGTATCTAACGATGTGAGTAGAGGAAAACTTGCTCCTGACTCTAGATCACATTGTATTATAATCTACGACATAACATAGCCTACAACTATACTATACCAGGCCATACCAGGCCTAAAAGTGTTGCAATCTCAGACGATGCATTACACATTCCGTATCATTCCGTCCAAATCAGCTCGGTTAAACTAATGTCATGTGTGTAAAACAATAATAAACCACCCATTTGGAATGGTAAACATACCACCTATTTCTGGTGATGACTGGGGGGATGGTTTATTATGGTTTTACCATGTTTTACCCACATGATTGCAGGACAACCATGACTATCCTTTCCCAGCACGTTCCCGGAGCGTCGAGGCCAAATCGTTGAAGAAAGCCTTTGAAAAGGAGAGGATGACCCGGCAGAATGCAGAATACCTGGTTCGAAGCCTGGTGAATGGTTGAGTGTGGTGATTTTTCTTCGGCTTGTTGAAGCGATGAAAGTTAAATAACCCAGACTATTTGGATCCCGGACTATCTTCCGGAGTAGAATGCATTTCATGGCCCCGGGGATGATGGCTTGATGGCTTCAACCTTGGATTCCGTGAGGATTTCTGTGATGATGTTTGTGATGATTTCAACTAGTAACTAGTGGTAGCCAAAATATGTGTTGTTTGCATACAGAAGCTCACGGAGTGTTTTTTCTCCAAGTCCGATGGATTTGATGTTCAGAGATGTTCATCATCGGGTCAGTGACAGGAAAGGGTGTGGAGTACATCAAAGCGAATCTGGAGCAACCAGTTCTAGACTTGCCAGATGCTGTGAAGATTATTGGGAATAGTTTCAACATCATGCAGAAAAACGAGGAGATCTTGGAGCAATCCGTGATTGTCCCCCAGTCTGGCCCGGATCACGATTTCCACGCAGTGGGAATGGTGCAATCGGCCCGTTCAGCACAGGTGAACAACCCGAGTCATGAGGAGAGCTCAAGCTCCGACAATCCAGTGGCTTCATTCAATACGGAGAGGTTACCACCAAGAAATGGGTGCTCATGAGGATCAAAGAATTAATGTATATGAATCTGAAGAACCACTGGGTAGCTTGGATGTTTATGTCCATCCCAACACATGGCTGTGTCTGAACATCTCTGTTTTTCCAGCAATGGGATTGCGGGTAGCCTGTTTCAGTCGCACCGTTCAAACCCAAATCGAAGTTTCCTAAAATTGCGCGTTACCCCGAGTTCTCATCCATTTTAATAGGATGTTCCATATATATCCATATATATGTTGATAGGCTTTTCCATGAAAGAAACCATCCAAATTTTTGAGGTACCCATCCATTGATGATGCTAAAATTCCAGGTGGATGTACTGGAGAAGGGCATCATGAATCTCACCGACCTGTTGGCGGACCTGCATCATTCCCACAATGCGGCCCTTGAGACGCCTGGGCGACGATGGTGATTTCGTGGATTTTCCAAACGGGAAATCCGTAAAGAAAAACTGGGGAATCAGGAATATGTTGTATGCTGGAAATTGGGATATTATATGGAGGTTTCCTAAAATGGTAATACCCCCGAAATCATTGCAATTGGACCATTCTGTTGTGATTCTAGTCTAGTCAGCACATGGAGACTTGGGGATCCCCCATGACTTAAGAATCCCCAACATTTATACCCCAGACCAGCGAAATTCCAAGGAACATGAAGGCCAAAGTGGTCCAGGAACATCGGATGACTCTACAACGGCAGCATCGATTGAAGGGCCACCTGGACGAGTTCAAGAGCCGCGTGGTCCGAGCACAGCGAGGTATTGGGCGGCTCAAAAGCTTTGTAGATACCGCCGATTTTGGTGGGATCGCCCATATTCCTGAACAAATGGAGAATGATCCCTGGTTGCATCAAGAGGGCATCTTTTGAATGCCCCATGTAAGATCTACCAACATTTACCCAAAACCTAAATTTTGCATAATTCCCCACCTGCCAGGTGAAGGTTGTTAGATTTTATCAGAGTTGTTCTCCTCCTCCTCGGCTAGCTGTCCTCCTCCTCCTCGTCCTCCTCCTCCTCTAGTTTCTCCTCGACCATGTCTGCATCAACTTCCACCTCCACTTCCGCCTTGCCAACTCTTCGCCAAGCTCTTTGCCAACTCTCTTCCGCCTTGCCAACTCTTCGCCAAGCTCTTTGCCAACTTCCCAGCTCAGTGTGCACTGGGACCTCAACCTGGGACCTGCCCAGCTCAGTGTGCACCGCTGGACCTCAACCTGGGACCTTCCCAGCTCAGTGTGCACCGCTGGACCTCAACCTGGGACCTTGCCAGCTAGACCTCAACCAGGGACCGTCTCAGCTCAGTGTGCACCGCTGGACCTCAACCTGGGACCTGCCCAGCTCAGTGTGCACTGCTGAACCTCAACGGGCAGATAGAATGCCAGAAGATATGCCAGATACAAAGCTATAAGATATGCCAGATAGAATGCCAGAAGATTTGCCAGAAAATATGCCAGAAGATATGTCAGATAGAATGCCAGATAGAATGCCAGAAGATATGCCAGGTAGAATGCCAGAAGATTTGCCAGATAGAATGCCAGATAAAATGTCAGATAGAATGCCAGAAGCTTTGCCAGTAACAAAATGTATAAATGTCATGGTTGGGCTCACACGAAGTAAAGTAATTTAGCTAGTTTTTGCTAAAGATATGTAAATGTTCCGTACACGGGGCATTTGGGAAGAGTAGTTTGGATGTTTCTGCTGGCAGCAAGAGCATGCACATTTTGTATTAGGACCGGAGCATCGCGGCTTGGCTCAGAGCCACCTTTTCTGGCGATCATCCCATTGTATCCCAATGGAGCTCATGGCTCGGCACAGTTTTCCCACCTTTTCCTGGCCCTGGGTCGATTTTTAACAAAACGATATCCCCGTGATTTACTATGAAAATATCCACCAGAATTGATAAATACTATATATAGTGATAATCTAAACAGTGAGTAATCCCAACAATAATCATAGTAATGACAACTATAATTATCGATAGTGCTCATATGCAGTACAATGATCCGAATGATATTAAGTCATGTTCATGATACTGGTAAGTAGTAATACGGATAAACGTATATAACAATTCTATCCCAGCTATCCGATTTTTATGAGGACTAATCAATATGACTATCAACTATAAAAATAATAAAACACATCATTACCCTTTGATAATCAAACATGGCAATCATTGCAATTGAGCATCCACTATAAACTGAAGGTTTATATCTGGGAAAATCATCGAACCATGGCCGGTGGATGTTCCATCTCCCCAGGATTTGATGCGCTGCTTTGGCTCTCGACCTGCCTTGGCACGGGAGAATCTGTCGCCGAGCGAGGTGAATCACCTGGAACGGCAGTGTCAGGAGCTGCTGAAACAACTCAATGAGCTCTCAGGGGAGTTCAGTAGTTTAGTTGACCCTTGGCATTAAGTCATTAGTGGTGATAGTGATAGTATCTTTTTATGATATTATTATACATATATATATATATACACATTTTGCCCTTATCTATATAAAGTCAAGTTTCACATGTCTCTATGTTTTTATATATACACACGCGTTACACTTCTTGTTCGTGAAACAAGTCACCGAGGGTGATGGGAAGCAAGAGCTGAAGGTTTGATGGCCACTTCTGGGCTTCTTTTGAAGTTTGGGGTTGAGACTGACTTGGGGTTCAGTGTTGCTGAATTGATACCACACAGGGAGCTTGTGGTTGGGTAGAGCCAATCAAGCAATGTGGTTTAGACTCAGACAGATATATCTACTATGATTGTTACACATATATACAGATACATATATATATACATATACATATACATTTACATATACATATACATTTACATATATATATATACATATATATATGTGTATATATATACTTATATATATACATATATATATACATATATACATATATACATATATGCATATATACATATAATCATATATGTATATATATATACATATATATGTATATGTATATATATATATGTGTGTTTATGTATGTATATATATATACATGTATATACATTATTTATTTAATGTATAGACATTATATATACACATACATATGTATACATGTATACATAACATGGATTTGCAGCCTCTCAAAAAGACAGGCTACCTTGCGAACATGTGCAAAGCCGTGGTTACAACCATTTGCCAGGTCTCATCCCAAGTTATGGTCATGACATGGATGGTGCAAGGAGATACCCCATGACTTCGGAAACCTCCATGTTGGGTTGTTTGGTTCGATGTTTTAAGTTCTTTCCAACTTTACATATGCATGGTTTTGGGGCAAACCCTGATATGCGTTCGCAAAATTAAAGGTCTTGTTGGCACACTCAAGTGAAACGTGCCTGGTGGTTTCCAATCATTTCCAATCCTACTATTCTGGGATGATGATTCCTTTAGCGAGAATGGTTGATGGACTGTTGATTTGTCAGTCTCCCGGACTTCGCTTGGGTACAACATGGTTATAACATGGTTATACCCCCACTTGCCTTCCTTGCCTTGTATCATTTCCCACCATATCCTATACTCATATATGTTTGCATATCCTATTATATTACATATCCGACTATACGCTCTACTTATAGATAAACTATGCCATACATTACCATATCCCATAGCATAAATCCTGCCAATATCACTACACATATTCCTTTTTTTAGTCCCTAGACTGACAGTCCCTTCATATTTCGTCGCTCAGGACTGTCAGCCCATCATCTGGGAGCTCTGGCGGAAGTGTCGCTCGCAGTGTCGCACCGCGCACCTCCCAGGCGTGGCCTCGTCGCCGAGTAACCGATCCAACCGATCCAACCGATCGCGGTCGCCGCCAAAAACGCGCCCGGGATAGGCGACGACGAGTGGCGCTAGGGTTGCTGGGGTTGCTTGGGGGAGATGTTCGGATGGGCTCAAAGTGAGGCCATTTTAGGGTGAAAGGTGAGAGTACTTAAACTTATTGGTTGTATTCATGGTTTTGGAACAAAAACGACCAGTTGTCAGAGGCGGCAACAGTTTTTGAGCAGACACTCTCGTACCCTGCCACCCGAGTGTTTCACACTCTCTGCAGCCGTGTAAAAATTGCACGATCTGCAAGGGTTGACAAAAAGACGGAGGCAGCAAGTGCATCTGGGTTTGTTTGAAAATTGGGTACCCCCACATCCCACAGTTGACGATGTTGACGATGATGATGATGATCATCATCATCATCACCACCATGGTTTTCCAATGTTTTTGCACATTCAAATATTTATTTGGGTACAGCCTCCCATTTCTGGACAAGCAACTTTTGGGCTTCCCAGGGCAGTTCGTGGCGTTTCCTTAGCACCAATGTTGCCCTGTCATTTCGTACCAAGCTGAGACGATCTTGATGACTCCTCTCCCCATTTTGGTTGCTGTGTTTTCCCATGTATACATCCCCTAAAGCATATCTATCTATCTATCTATCTATCTATCTATATATATATATTATAGTTTGTGGATGTTGGTGGTTTCCGTTTTCAAAAATATTGCAATGCCCAAAACTGGGATCATCAACATGTTGAAATTTGCCCGAAACTGGGATGATCCGCAACCGACAGTCATTCATAGTCTCTGAAAGGGTGCTGAGCTCAGCAGCCCAGGAACGCTGCATTTGCCACGGACATTTCAGCTTTAGCGATGAGGATGAGCCGACACTGGCAGGTCTGCAGCCAGAAGATGCCACGGAAGGAGACCGTGACCTGCATAAGACACTGACAAAAAGCACCGGGAAGTCCTTATTTTGGATGGGAAAATATGGGAAAGATATAGGGAACATATATCATGAAATGTCCGGAAATGGATGACAAGTCCGGGATTTTCCATGGATTTTCCCATGCCAGGTTGCGTGACTGAAGGCTATATCTTAGGCCTTATTTCTTACTTGGGATGCCTCGGGTTTTTTGCAAAGGTGAAACCACCAGTGAGACAACTGTTTTGCAAATTGAAAATTTGTTTGCTTTCCGTTTGCAAAGATTAAGATTGCAAAGCGCACAGATAGAGTCGACATTTCGTCTGATCAGAAGATGTGACTGACTGACTGTAGATGCACAAGTCAGAGGATTTGCAGAAGTGTAGAATGATTTTGGGCCAGGTAATTGAGATCAATATAGACATTATAAGACAATATAGATCAATAATTGATCATCAATTAAGTATATATTCTTGTTCCATACCTTACCGATCCTTACTGGCTCGTTGCAGGAGAATCTCTATGCGAAGTCTGTAAAGAGGTGCCAAATATGGCAACTTGGCCTTGATAAGATCATCTCAGCACCAGGTTGCAGGAACTGGCAGGAACTGCTCAAACCTTTGCAAAGTTGGACCAAGGCAAGCATGGGGAAAGCCTTCAAGCCTTGCAACCATGGTGCATGGTACTCAGTGCTGGAAAGGTTGTTTCATGGGATGCTGCCGATGCCAAATTTAGAATTGCCACTTGAAGTTGGGTTGAACTGTGCAATCATTTCGCTTGGCGGTTGAACCCGGAATCACCGTCCTAAGTTTTTCATAACATGCAAGACGAGTTTCATTCACCTGCAGCATCCCTTGCGTAAAGTTTGAAGATCTGAAGCATGTCACATACAAGCTGCAAGCTTCTTGGGTTTTTGTTGAGTTGTTCGATGTGGGCTTTGCAGAGAAACCATATTATAAATATATCATTACATTATACAGTATATACATATATTTGTCAAATGATGCATGTATATTTATTGTATTTACTGTATACTGCCAAATATATTCTATACTGTATCATGTATTATCGCTGTATTATCATGTATTTTCATGTATTATCGTTGTATTATCATGTATTATCATGTATTTTGATGTATTATGATGTATTATCATGTATCGTACGTATATCGTATATATCAGTATTACATATGTTATTGTCCATGGTATATTTTATAACATGACGTGTGCATTTTTATATATTGTATTGTATGTATATATATATATATTACAACCATTATAAATTATACAATCCTGTTTATTACATGTTTTAATTTACCACATACCCGGCCGCATACAGATGCTGTAGATACGGGGACCGTAATACAAATGTACATATATAATAGATAATATATACACATGATGTATAATATATAATATATAATATGTAATAAATAATATATATTTTTTTATATATAGTATACAATATACAATATACAATATCTTTTTTAATATTCAATATAATATATATATTGCATCATTTACAATATAATATAATATATGGTTTACAATACATAATATACAATCTATAATATATAGTATATAATATATAACATAACATATAACATCGCATATATATATATATACATGCACTCTGTCCAATTCACCCTGTAAATTGTGAGGATCTTTCAACACTTCACCACTAAGGGCACCTGTGAGTCTTGCGCCGCTGCAGCACCTTGGTGTTGAAGGACCAGCTGTCATGGCAGGGTTTGATGATGACCCAATGCGATGGCCATGATGACTATGGACGATGAGAAGATAGATGATATATATATATATAAGATACGTATAGACTGTATAGATGGTAAATGATGATATGATATCTATATATATATACATACTTATAAGCTTGATGACAACGACTGTTACTGTGGCTGTGACTGGTGTTGGTGATGGTGATGATGGTGGTGGTGATGGCAAGAGGGCAAGAAGGCACCCCTGTTGTGGTTTGGAGGGACAACTTGTGCAAGAGAAACGGATCTGGGTCAAAAATTTCCGCTGAGCTAAGGTACGTGAGTGCAACTTGTTTGCAAAGATGGGGTCGTGACATTTGGATCAATAATAACGACCTCACTGGGACGTCACTGGAATGATGCTTAGCAGGGATAACTATCCCGAAAGACCCTTCTTTTAAGGTGATGGTTTATGATGAGTTATGACGACATACTTTGTGACCATGTCAGTACTTGTTCCACCTGAAGGTGTACCTTGATCAAACAGAGTCAACCAGCGAGTTCCGAGTTCTGAGGTCCCTATTGCCGTTCACCAGTTGAAGGGGTGCATCGAGTGACATGACCAAAACCCATTGAAACCCGAATTGTTCTGTTGTTCCATGGATTTCGCATCAATTGCCGTGCAAAATCCTTTGTACATAATTTCAAACACGATCGAATTAAATTATGACAGAAAAATATATAATATATATATATTATATTTATAGATTATATATATTGGAAATAATATTTAAAAAACACATATAATGATATACCCTCTACTACGAAATGTCTAAGATCCCCCTGGGGAGAATTCCCACGGTTCTAGAATGGGGATCGCGAGCAATTAGAGACTTTTGACCTTCCCCCTATTGTGGGCCTTTGGAGGTTTTGGTTCCTAGACTGTTTTGTGATATGTTGTAATGTGCCACCTCCGATATGCATGGACAATCCGGAATTAAGTTGTTTTTAAAATATATAAATATCCTGGATAGAAAATTTCTTATGCCGAAAATATGATTGATATTTTTGGGAGGGAATTCGGTATTATATTGGGATACCTACATGGGATTTGAATTTGAAATGTTCTTAGATGTTTATCTTGATTTTTTTAATATAATTTTATTGGAACAAAAATTTAAATATAAATTATTTACCCTAATTTATTTAATAAATTTATATTTATATGGATTATAAATTATCGATAAATATATTATTATTTTAATTGTATAATTTCCTGAATTAAAAAATATAAAATAATGTAAAATATATAAATATGAATTTAAAAAAATAAAATATTAATAATTATTTATTAATATAATTTTTAAATAATATTTTTTAATTTATTTAGTGTTTTGTTTAAAAAAAATCTATAAATAAAATTTAAAATAATTTAAATTTATTATTCTTATATAATTTTTTTAAATAAATATGGAGAAATTAATTTAATTTATTATTTGGAAATAATTTATGTTATTATAAAATTTTAATATATTATTTTTAATTTATTTTATA